TTGGACGGCTGATTGTGATTTATGGGAGCGGGTGTGGCGGGCATGGGATCGTGACATGGAAGGAATGGAAGAGCAGGTTTTGGAGAGCGGAGGACAGGATGGATGCAGTGTCTGGTAGTGCTTGGGACGGTCAGCTGACCAGGTATCAGTCGTATACCACAGCCATCGCACAGCACACGGGACTCGGCATATCGTTCTGGATCCAGGTCCCACGGCCAGGCACTCGGCCATTCCTGTTGGCGGTGGGCAGACGGTGAGCTGAGGCTTAGTTTCATGGCGCATCCAGGCACGCCAATGTGAGTGGACGGCTTCCTTCGTGTCGTTTCAGCGCCTAGACTGTCCGGGCGCAGCGGAGCCAATCATCCGCCTGTTCCGATTCCCAACCCCTGCCAGCTCCTCACCAACCCTCCCATGTTGCGAACTTCATATCCACTGTTTCCCTCGCATCCCCTCTGACCTCACGCTCGCCGTCCCTTGTCGTGTCGATTCCATACCTTCGTTTCTTGTCCAACTGTTGCTCACTCGCTACGGCAACATAGTACACCTACCTTCGCTTCTCAAGCTGTCTTCGAGCCGGTTTCTAGTCCCCTATCTCCTGTCTTCAGCCCCTTGTGAAGACAAAGTCTATTGACGTCGCTTTCAATTTCCTCGGCCCTACTCGCCTTCACCGTCGCTACTATCGCTATCGATACTGCACATCGCAATCGCCGCCTAACGCTTCTGTCGCCTAATTCCACCGGACTGGACCGCGTCTCGTCTTCAACACCACCCCATTCACCATCTCGACGTGCAGCGCACTGTCGGTTCTCTCAATCTTTGTGCTTACACACCGGCTCCTCCACGACACATTGTGATGTATTCACGGTGACCACGACCTACCCTCGCCCCACACTGTCAACATCAGCCGCTTCGTTAAGCGCGCGTGGGATATAGGTCCATTGACAACGACATCGCGCCATTGCTCCTGCTTCAAGAACCTACCGTCACCGCAAATAGCACCTGGTAGTGCGCAACATAATTCACCGACCGCGTCGCATCACATAGCCTCGCACACCCGAGAACCTGCAGTTAGCAACCCTCGTGAGCACCGACTCGCGAGCGACCTGTACAACTCAATAACCGAAACACAACTCCCGAGACATGTCTCTCACAAGATTCCTCCTCCGCCTTCGTGGCGTCCAACCGACCGCGCCCATCGCCAGGCGCCACTTCCTCTCAGACTGGGACGCTGCTGAGTTCGAAGATCTCAAATACTCGTACGGTCTGGAGGGTGTCGACCAAGTCGGCAACTACATGTGGGTCGACACCTTCCTGTACCTGCTGATAGGTATCTCCGGCATCCTCCTTCTCCTCCGGATATCAAACATGTGGTGGAAACACAGCCGTCATCTGAGCGCCATGGGAAACCCGAAGCAAAAGTACTGGGAAGTCAACCGGACAGGCTGGTGGCCGTGGCTCAACCGCCATGTCCTGATGGCACCCCTATGGAAGAAGAAGCACAACGCTCAGTTTCAGATCAGCAGCGCCATCGACAACGGAACTCTGCCCGGCAGATGGCACACCATCATGTTGGTCATCTATGTCGCCCTCAACGTCGCCTGGTGTGTGGCTCTCCCTTACAAGGTACTCGACCACAAGGAGACCCTCGCCGCGCTCCGTGGTCGCTCAGGAACACTCGCGGCCCTCAACCTCATCCCCACCGTTCTCTTCGCCCTCCGCAACAACCCACTCATCACCCTTCTCCAAGTCTCGTACGATGACTTCAACCTGTTCCATCGCTGGGCTGCGCGAATCACCATTGCGGAAGCCATCGTTCACACTGCTGCCTGGTTGTACAACACCAAGCTTGCAGCAGGATGGCCTGCCGTTACAGCTGCTCTCCACACCGAGGGCTCGTACGGCTGGGGTATGGTCGGAACCGTTGCCTTTACCTTCCTTGGTATTCAGGCATGGTCGCCATTCCGCCACGCTTTCTACGAGACCTTCCTCAACATCCACCGTCTCTGCGTCATTGCTGCGCTTCTCGGTCTCTACAAGCATCTGGAGCTGCACAGTCTCCCGCAAGTTCCCTGGATGCACCTGGTCTTCTTCTTCTGGGGTGCCGAGTGGGTCTGCCGATGGGCCTCAATTCTCTACTACGGTATCGGCCTCAGGCAAAGATCATCAATCACTGTCGAGGCCATGCCCGGAGAGGCCGTTCGCCTGACCATCAACATGGTCCGCGAGTGGACTCCCCGCCCAGGATGCCACGTGCACATGTGGATGCCAGCCCTTTCCCTTTGGTCTTCGCATCCCTTCTCTGTAGCCTGGGCTGCAACTCTCACCCCAGAGTCCAAGGAAATGACACTGCCCATGCTCGAAGGCGATGTCCTTGCGCTCCATGGCCGTCCTCAAAAGTCAAAGCAAATCAGCCTGGTCTGCCGTGCGCGTACCGGCCTTACCCGCCACATGTACGAGAAGGCCTGCAAGAGCCCCAACGAGCAATTCACCACCTTTGGCTTCATCGAAGGTCCATATGGTGGCCACCACAGCTTAGACTCCTACGGAACCGCAGTGCTATTTGCTGGCGGTGTAGGCATCACTCACCAAGTCATGTACCTGAAGCACCTCGTCAATGGCTACAACAACGGAACCACCGCAACACAAAGAATAGTCCTCATCTGGACAGTCCCCACATCCGACTGCCTGGAGTGGGTACGGCCCTGGATGGACGAAGTCCTCCGCATGAAGGGTCGCAAGCAATGTCTCCGCATCAAGCTTTTCATCTCAAGACCCAAGGGTCGCGTTGAGAGTAGCAGTGAGACAGTCAAGATGTACAGTGGTCGTCCGCAACATGCGGCCTTGATCGAAGAAGAGGTCAAGAACCGTGTCGGTGCTATGGCTGTCACAGTTTGCGCGTCGGGCGGCATGGCGGATGGCGTAAGACATGCGGTTCGACCGTTCCTTACGCAAGGTAGCGTTGATTTCATTGAGGAGGCCTTTACATACTAAGAGGCCTTGGTCAATGTACGATACAGTTGGCAACGTTACGCTTTGTTCATCGCCTACTATCGCACCGCATCGTGCACGACGCTTACGCTCGACCACCTCGGGCAAGCCACACCCGGGTTCATTGTACATCATCCTCTCTCGACTATTACCCAGTCGAGAACTCACATAACTATACCAAAACATTATCTTTCTTATTCTCCACATTGTTCACTTCTTTGTAAATACCTCCTACTTAATGCTTTACTTCTTGTCCAATATGTCACCGTCTCATACTTGTCATGTCTCTCCTTGAATCTCTGATCGGCGTTTTATGAGCGATGCATTTGTTAGCCTGTCCGGGTCTTTGTAGATATTCAGCGTAGCTTTGTGTATAACAGTAGCGTATCATCTACCAAAAAGTTCATCACTTCATCTCTATCTCTTATCTATTCAGTCTCTGCCTTTGCCGATCGCCCTGGTGTTTACTGATCGGGTACAAGGGTAAATCCCTCAGCCTTAGGTGTTGATCAGGGTACTGATCCAGACTTTCTCTCAACATCGCTAAGCCCACTCAGTCGTCACTTCCCCCACTTCCATTGTTCGGACGTCCACGTAATCGCTGTCTTACGTTCTCGATATGTGGCTTAGTCGGCCAGGGGCACACCGCCGACCTATCCGTGCGCGCCAATGATTGGCCGACACCACGTGAAGTGGACCCTCGGCCAACTCAATACACAATGCATCCCCACATTGGCGCCGAAAAGTGGCGGTGACGACACTGTGGCTGATTCACTGCAACCGCGACTTGCCTGGTGTTGTGTCATGGAAGCGTATAAATAAGAAGGTGCTACTTCGGCGGGTTCGTGCTTCTCCAAACAGTGTGACGCTGTCGGGAATCTTATCTTCAACTTTAAATATTCCCTCTCCCCCTCTAGCTCAACTTGATCTACAATTCAAGTTACGAGATACTCGACCTTACCTAGTATAACCTAGTCATTACGATCTAAGCTTATCACTCCGTACACAACATCATGTCTGGATACGACGGCTCCGGCTACAACCAGGGCGGATACGGACAGCAAGGCGGTTACCAACAACAGGGTGGTTATGAACAACAGGGCGGCTATGGACAAGACAACCACAATAGCAGCGGTGGATACCAGCAGCCTCCTCACCACCAACAACAGGCCCATGGTGCAGCTAGCGCATACTATGGCGGTCAAGGAGGCCCTCAGGCCTACAGTCAACAAGGGGGGTACGACGCGGCGCCACCTCAATACCAACAGCTCCCTTCTGCCGCCGCACACTCATCTAACTCAGGTCGCAACTCGATGAACCAAGGTCATCAGAACCAATACGGTGGCGAGGGTGACCCAGAAGGTGACCGTGGTGTCATGGGAGGCCTCGCTGGTGCAGCAGCAGGAGGTTATGGCGGCCACGCTCTCGGTGGTAAAGCCGGCCACGGCGTAGCAGGAACCGTAATAGGAGCCCTCGCAGGAGCATTTGCCGGACACAAAGGCCAAGATGCCGTAGAAGAAAAGTGGGACGAGCGCAAAGAGAAGAAGAAGCAGGAAGAAGAGGAAGAAAAGCGCAAGAAGTACGGACAGCAACACCAAGGTCCTCCCCCTATCCAGCACCACCAAGATAGCAACAACCAGCGCTCCCAAGGCGATTTCGGCGGAAACTTCAGCGCATCTTCACGCGACATTCGTCTCGATGCTCATGGTGACTACACGCTGCACGCCCAATGCCGCCGTGCAGACGGCTCCTACCAATCCTCCTCCATCTCCCTGAACCGCATCCTTGAGAACGATGGCGGCAGTTTTCGCTGGTCCGGCTCCAACTCCAGCGGCGGCGGCAGCGAAAACACGTACACAGTCCAGCAAGGCGACACTCTCCGCGCCATTGCATCCCGCTTCTCGCACTGCTCCTACGAAGACCTCGCTCGCCACAACAATATCACCAATCCAGACCAGATCTGGCCTGGTCAGAATCTGAGGGTCCCGGGTGGAGATAGCAGTCGTGGGGGTGGGGGCTTTGGAAGTTCGGCTAGGGGTATGAGGTTGGCGGATGGGGGGCAGAGGTTGGAGGGTGAGTTGGAACACCAGGGGCACTGGAGGATGAGGGAGATTAATCTGGATGAGAGGATTAGCAACCGGGATGGTGCGCTGGTGTTTGTATAGAGGGTTGTATAGAGGAGATAGCGAGCCATCCTCACCTATGATCCTGTAGTATGTCTCGAATCCCATCAATTTCCTGACACGTATTACACGTCCACACAATTTGCATATTGCTTCAAGAAATCATGCAGCTCAGCCAGTGAATCCTTCGGACCGAGAGACATATAGCGACTCTGCACATCGCCGGCATGTGCCAGTTCAAGGACCTTACAAGTAACCCACCACATTTCCAAGCCATGTTTAACAAAGCCTAGCGACGTCCTATGTTCGGCCTCACGTCTTGCATGTATAGCATCCCATAAATTTTTCCAGCGCTTCAATGCACGGAGTAAGTTGGAATGTGCCGAGGAGATCAAGAGAGCCGCTCGAGACACGCAAACGATTGAGTGCAATGCTACACATGCGTATCAGCCCAGGACCATAAATGCCGACGATGTGAAAGACGAATAATCCTACCAAATATGCAGATCATAACAAGTCGTAGCTCGAGGATGTCGAGAAGAGGGTTGCTCTCTTCATTTGGCCAGCTCTCACTCATCAACGAAGAGATGACTTGCTTTATACTGGGTTTCTGATTCGAAAGACGTGCTGATTGTGTGCACAGTTTACTAAACTCTTCTGGTGTTGACGCATCAAACAGCACGTCATTGCACGGGAGCGTCTGAGAGACTTCTGCAATAGCTATCTTGGGGAGCAGACCGAAGAAGAAGGTATCCATACAATTCATGACGAACATGAAGTATACGGCTCTCACTCTAGACTCTTCGGCGATAAAGGTATTCCACTCAGGGATTTTGCTACTTGTCCTCATAGCGTTTGTTGGCTCCAGCAACTTGAGTGATCTTATTGCGGCGATGAGTTCGGGGTGCCGGGATATTCGGACTCTTCGGCGGGTAGCTTCCTTGTTGAAACTACTCTGCAATGCCACAATAAGCAGTGCAGCTTGTACTGCTTCCAATGCGCGACGACCAAGAACGGAATCCGGGCTTGCTACTACGTCACGTAAGTGTTCGAAGATAAAGTCTTCACCTAGATCAAAGAAAGAACGGCATGATAGAGCACCGTCTGTGGGAACGCAATGCACCGATCCACCGAAAACAACCGCGAGCAACAAGGGTAACGAGACGCTGTGCATCTCGAATGTTGGCCAATGAATCAGCGGCTGCTGCGGGTGGAAGACGGTGAAGTAGGCCCAGGCACATGCCTCGAAGTTTTCCGCTGTGAAGACCGCTCTGACGGCCTGCACCGAAAAGGGGCTGTCTCGGTTGAAGCTGGCTGTGCGACGTATTTGACTATACGTGAAGAGCTGGGAACGAAGTTCATCGATCCTGGATTGGAGATGAGGTGTCGTGTGAGGCCTCTCAGGTGCTGCTGGTGTCGAAGCACAAACGTCCGGGCCTGTGTCCATGAAGAAATCCGAGAATATGCCGAAAAGTGCCATGTCCCCTTCGAATAGTTGGTCGTCTATACCGTGCTTCTCTTGACTATTAGACGACTGTACAGGTATTTTCTCGTCGGCAAAAGCGTTGAGGATCGAATCTCGGCGAGGGTCTGTATAACGGTACAAGAACGTGATGGGGTAGGCGGAAAGACTTTGCACGTCTGATGCCCCAGTCGTGATGTCACAATCCAAGTGGCTAGAAGTGGTTTCAAGAGCGCGACACGGCTCAGAATGGCTTTCGGTGTTTCTGGGTCGACTTCGTCGTCCTGGTTTTGCGGAGGCTATTGCATCGCTTGCGCCTCGTTTTTGGCATGACTTTGAGTGCCTTCTAAGGACGTCACTGAGCAATGTCAACGTCGAGAAGCCACAAGTTTACCCAAACATGCGTGAACAACCTACTGGCGGACAAATGTGCGACTGCAGAAATTGCAAGTATTTAGACGACTGCGGGTATCTAGTATGCGTTTAAGTTAGCTTTCGATGGAGTGTCCGAATGATCAACTTACGGGACGCTTCATGTCGTCGTAAGTGGCTGTTACTTGAGAAATATTTGCCGCACGTGGTACATTCATGAGATGTGTTACCCGTGCCCGCGTCACTAGCGTCTATCATTGATGAGTTTCTTGTCGTAGACGCAGCCGCCCGTAACGTGGGCTTTCTAGGGTTGAATGTGGGTTTCGAGGATGTGGGTTTTCCGTTCATGTGGGCTTTAGATGCAGCCACCTTACCGCAAAGGGCGAACCACGTGATGCAGCATCCACGCCCTTCCCATACTATCCAGTATCAACAATTCTGTTGCAAGAATGATTCTGCTTCCGCCAACTACTGATACTCGCCATGTCGAAGCTGCGTGAGTTTGTAAGCCGAAGAAGCTACCGCACATTCGGTATTATGTCACTCCTTCCATCTTGAATGAACCGGACTGATAATGCCCAGCATCAACGTCAAGACCTCATCTTATACAATCTCGACTTAGATATGCAGCATGCGGCAGACTGTCTACCAACTCCCCTCGCCACGAGACCGTGCAATTAGATCGACAGCGCAGCGAGACACTCCTCCCATCAGCCATCGTCAAACCTAGGGGTGTCGTTGAACACGTCCTGTGAGCCATGCTCTCCTATGCATACCGATGTACTTGCTAAACCATTCCAGCACAACCATGGATCAAATACTCAACTGGGCTCGACAGAGCTCGCTCCACCCACTGAGCTTCGGCCTCGCCTGCTGCGCCCTAGAAATGATGCATTGCTCAATGCCTCGCTACGACCAAGACCGCTTAGGCATCATCTTTCGCGCATCCCCTCGCCAGGCGGATGTGATGATCGTGGCAGGCACGGTCACCAATAAGATGGCCCCCGCTGTTCGGCAGTGCTATGATCAGATGCCAGAGCCGAGATGGGTGATTAGCATGGGAAGTTGCGCGAATGGTGGCGGGTACTATCACTATAGCTATAGTGTGGTGAGGGGCGTCGATAGAATCATCCCTGTGGATATATATGTTCCAGGTTGTCCACCGACCGCTGAGGCATTGTTGTATGGCATCTTTCAGTTGCAGAAAAAGATTAGACATGCGAAGACGACGAGGATGTGGTATCGAAAATAGTTGGCAGCGCGATAACCGAATACAGAGATGCTCAGATGCATGGGAAATTCATCTCTCGCCTTCTTCTCTCACTTTACTGCGCGGCATACCCGGTCGCTCCTGCCTTGTCGTTCCCTCCTTCCCTAAACATCTGCGCTACATCTGAGACTTCACCACTCACCTCGCGATTGAAGCGTTTTCGCATCATCTATCGGTTCTATCGTTTCTTCGTCAGTTCATCGCGTCGCATTCATTGTACAACAGTTGTAACTTCTCGACAACGCGCACAAAGCCGACGCCTGACGCGACAAAGAGCATCGCGAGAAGTGAGGGCGAATCTGCGAAGATGCTGAACTCCAAGCCGGTGGAACCCGAAACGCGCGATCACTACTTCGGCCTAGGTTTGGATGACTGGGCTACAACAACAGAGATCAAGAAGGCCTTCAAACGACTGGCGCTACTGTACCATCCGGACAAGAAGGCACCGGGTCAGACCATAGATGCTATCGAGTTTAGACCGGTAAGTTTATCGACCGGTGAAGTTCAACGAGAGAATACTAACGGACAATAGGTTCGAGAGGCATTCGAGATACTAGCGGATCCTGAAGCACGAAGCGAATACGATGCACGATACGCAGATATCCAGATGAACTGGGATATGTATCGCAGCGACTTTGCCGATTACGAAGACCGAGTAGAACGCGAGCGCGTCGAAGCTGAAGAAAAACGGGCGCGTGTACAGAAGGAACAGCAGCGGCAGGCAGAGGAGGAACGACGTAAAGCAGAAGAAGAGGCTCGCGCAGAGGCTGAACGAACTATTCGAGAAAAGAAAGAGAAACTCGCAGAACTGCGATCGTATCAAGCAGCCGCGCGAGCTGAGGGAGAGCGAGCCGAAGCGGCGGAAGAGCGACTACAGAAATGGAAAGAAAAGCAGGAAGCTATACAAAAGCAGCGTCGTGAACAGCGCCAACAAGAAGCGGAAGCACGAGAAGCTATATTCAGAGAGCAGCATCGTCTGGAGCAAGAGCGAAAGGCTCAACAGTATCTTGCTGCACTAGAAGCACAACAGAAGCTCGCAGAGCAGAAGGTGCGCCAGGAAGAAGAGCTCATGGTACGAAAGTACATGCAGCAATTCTTCTCTGAGACCCCCGACGCAGAGAATCAGCGCATACAGCGCCGCGTCCACTTGGCACACATATGGGCACGCCAACTCCGCACAGATGCAAAGACTGCTGCGGGTGCAGTACCTGATGCCAAATCCGAGTACGTGGACTTAGGCTGGCATAAGATCGATGGCACGGCAACTTGCACCTTCTGCGTGAAGGATGTGAGGCTGTATTTCTTCGCTTGTCCCCTCGGAGGCGTGGCAGCGTGTGGTGATTGCAAATACAAGTTTGCGCACGGGTATGAGACGGCGAGTGGAGAGATTATCGGAAATCGGAAGGGGGAAGAAAGGAAGGCTGGGAAGGTTGGTAGAAGGAAGGGCAAGGTAAAGGGAAAAGGCAAAGCGAAGAACTGAAAGAATGTAAGACGCAGGTGATGTCCGAGGGTGTACAGCACGAATATACCCAACCTATCTGTAAGAAGCACGTGAGGAAGAGGCCGCCAAGGTCATAATAATACATGGAATGTCTGCTTGAAGTCTTACAGATGAATAATAATGACGAGTCAACAGACCCACACAATCATGCCAATCCGTTGTCCCCAATGCACCCCCCAAACATGCCGACCGTGATTATCGTAAGAGTAATAAGATAAGTAACCATCCCAACACCGGGGGTATCTTTGCAAGAATAACACCAGACTTTTCCCGCGCCCAAAACACCTTTTTATCCCACAGCTCGGTGGCCGAAATGTCCGTGATGATGCGTGCAGCCAAAGAAGGAAAGCAGACAGGATGATGACGGCAAGCTCAAAGAGGAGAGGGAAGGAGAGTGGCAATGGGACTACCCAGTCCATCCCATATCTCCGCCTTGCTGTCCACCCTGCTGTCCCATTCTTTGGGCTTGTTGCTGTGCTTGACGCATCATCATCATCTGGTTCATCTGCTGTTGATTCATGGCCTGCATTCCTTGCATACCTTGCATACCACCGTTCATCTGTCCACCCTGCATGGCGCCCATGCCTCCATTCATTTGTCCCATTTGCGCCATGTTCATACCCTGACCCATGTTGCCCATGTTACCCATGTTCATGCCCTGCATGCCGCCACCTTGCATGCCGTTCATGGTGTTTATGTTGCCCATCATGCCCTGAGGCAGTTGGCCACCGCTTGCCATGGCTTGTTGACGCATTTGCAGGAGTCGAGAATTGTTTGCGGCATTTGCGCGTTGTTGTTGGAGCATCTGCTGGTACTGTTGCATTTGCATGGGGTTGGGCGTGTTGCCGTTCTGCATGCCGTTCATTTGGCCGCTGTTCATCTGGCCGCCCATGTTGGACTGCATGTGTGCCATCTGCATCTGTTGTTCACGCTGCTCTCGCTGCTTGATTTGCATTTCCATCTGATGGATTTGTTGCATGACCTGGGGAGGAATGTTCTGGCCGTAATTCTGCATGACCGTCTGCTTGTGCTGCTGATAGCGCGCGCGCATCTGCTGGAGATTCAGGTTAGCAAAAGTCATGCCACCTTGATTATTGGGCATGGCATTCTGCTGCATGCCGGCTCCCGGCGACATATTCTGCATAGCCAGCTGCTGTTGACTTTGCTGCTGGTTCTGAGTCAATTGGCGGAAATAGTGCTGCGCGAGCTGATTGCGGTATGCCTGTGGATTCTGGCCTTGGGGAACTCCTTGGGTCTGGATTTGCTGCGTAGCCTTTTGGAATGCCATCTGTTGGAACTGTTGCTGCTGATTACCTGGTGATCCTGTCTGCTGCATTTGCTGCATGCGAAGTTGCTGCTGCAGACGCTGTTGTTGGATCTGCTGAGCCTGTTCAGGCGTCATGTTCTGACCTGGCTGAGGTGTCTGCATCATCATCGGCGTCTGCCCTTGCATGGCCATAGATGGGCTGCCCTGCCCCATGCGACTCGGGGTCGGCGTCATGTTGCGATTCGGCATCGAGGCGTTCATCACAGGTGTTCCTTGTACGATGTGCGGTGTACCTGTACGACTCAAATTCTGCTGCTGACTGACGGAGCGCATCATGTTCTGATGATTGGAGACAGCAGATGGTGGGCGAGCGGGACTGTTGATGGCCTGGTTCGAAGCGGTAGGTACCATTGGGGTGCCACCGAGTTGATGCGCAGCCTGTCCACCAAGCGATGGCGATGCTGCAGCAGCGGCCATCGGCGTTTGCTGGCGAATGGTGGGCGAGAACTGAGATTGCGTAGCCGACTGAGGTGTCTGAGTAGCCTGTATGGCTGCTGCGTTCGACATCTGGTGCTGTGCTGCGGCTGCGGCTCGCAAGGCTTCATTCTGCTGCTGGTTCTGCTGCAGTTGTGCTTGGTGTGCTTGCTGGCGAAGAGCCTGTTGTTGTTGACGCTCGGCAAGTTCAGCCTGCTGTCTGCTCTCGATCTCTCTCTTCCTCTGGATCTCAGCCTCCATCTGCGCTTGGCGTTTGGCTTGAGCGATTCGAGCGTCTTCTTCCTTCTTCCTCCGATCAGCTTCCTCGTGGTTTGCACGGATGTTAGCAATGGTCTTGAAGCGGGCAAATGTCTGGGAGTTGGCAGCGGCGCGCACAGCGTTGTCATCATTGCCGGCGGCTGTGGCCGTCATATTGCTCTGGTACTCGTCGCCCGCCAACATGAAGCGCTGTAGACCCTGGGCCTCTGCCTCGTCGGCAGCCAGTTCGGCGGTGGTCCTCTTGCGAGTCTTGCGTGGAGGTGCAGGGTTCTTGTTGTTCGGATGTGTGATGGCATCCATGAGTGCGAGCGATTCACCGAAGCTCTTGGTGGGCTCCAAATAGAGGGGTGGGCAGGTGGCCTTTAGGAACTCTGCCTCGAACTCGTGCACGTTGCTATCATCGAGGACCATTTTTTGGCGTTTCGGGCTGGGGCCATTAGCAAAGGTGGGTGTGGAGGGTACTGCCGTCATGGGAGTCGGCGGCATGCCACCAGCTCTGCCTTGGGCTTGCATTCTCTTGAGGGTAGCCATGTCTGGGACGGGCGTGGTGGCCAGTAGCTGCATGTCGGCCAATCGCGACTGCTGGGTTGGGAACAGTACCACTGTTTTGACTTTGGCGACGCCTGGCTGCTTGTTCAGAGCGCCGTTCTGACCAGGAGCGGGCATGTTCTCCTTGTCTTCTTTCGTCTCTCCGTCTTTGCTCTGCGCGTTGGCCTGGGTGGTCTTCGCATCGGTCTGCTTGGCTGGAAACGGCGCGAATGGCGAGGGTGTTATGAAGCTGTTGTAGTTATGAATGGAGAAGGCGCTCGTGCCGGCCTCGCCAGTGCTGTTGGTGTCATCCTTGGGCTTGACGCCGGCCGAGCGGTAGTCGTGAACTTCAACGATGAGGCAGTCGTCGTACCAGGGGGTGTTGAACTCGTAGAGCTCCTCGACCATGTTGTGGGGCACTTCCTTGTCCCTGATGGCCTGCAGCAGCTCGCGCATAGGCGAGGCGTAGGACAGCGTCTCCTGGGAGTCGTTCAGGCGGAAGTGCTTGGGGTGTAGATATACACGGAGCGACGGCGGCTTGCCCTTGTGCTTGGCCAGGATGTCTTGCTGCGTGTAGACTGCATTGTATATTAGCGCGTGTGCCGAATGCGGTACCGAAGTGTGAATATACCATATTTCCTGGCCTCTTCCTGCTTCGCGCCCTCGTCCTCCATGTTGGACTGGCGCGTGGCAGTGCGCGCAACTCCCGGGCGCTGAGACTCGCGACGCAGGCGAGGAGGTTGCGCTGGGCGGGCAACTGCGACTGGGCCGGACATGATGGTGGTGACGGAGCTGCAGTTCGTGGAATCGCGGTGGGGCGGCGGTGGGACGGGCTTTCGGCCTGGGGAACCACGACCGACAGCAGCGCGGCTTGCAGACGGCGGAGAGAGGGCAGGCGCAAGGATGCGCGCGATGCCCGAGGTGCTTCTGGCAGTGCGCGAGGGAGCGCGACGGAGTGGCGACTCGAGCGAGGCTGGGCGTCTTGTTCGAGGTGTCTCGACGCGTGAGGATGGCCGACGTGATGTTTGCTGATCCGAGCTGATGCGCAGCTGCCTCCCTGTATGTCTAACCCTGTTTCATCGTCCACCACGTGACTACCACCTCACCATGGCCTCCAGTGCTTCCACTCGACGTCGTCCACCTAGAGCTCGTGTCAATGCTAGAGCATCGAGGAGAGCGCTTCTTGCAAGATCCGATCGACTTCAGTCGCCGCACTCCATGCCAACTCTTGGCATGATGGCTCTGCCAGCAAGGCTGTGCCGCACTCCAACTTTGCATCTGCACGCCATACTTGAGTTTGAGAGCACTGCGACGTCCACAGCTCGGAGCTGATTCTAACACTCCTCTCATATCGAGCCACCATATTCTGATTTACTCACAAAGTTCTGTGTAGTCTCATCGACTCAACCTGGCAGCCAACACCGAAGTAGCCCTCGCTCGTCATGACCAACCTCGAAAGCCTTCCATTGGAAATCCATGAGCAAATCTTCGCATACCTTGTACCCCACCAGCATCACACAAAGCTCTCCTGTCTCGATCCTTCCTACACGTACCTCAAAGAGAGGCCCGACATCTACAACATTCGGTTGACCTGTCGGCGTCTACGTACGGCATCATTGCAGACCTTCTTTTGGATCTTGGAAGATCTTCCAACAAAGTTCCAAGAAAGGACACTGCGGAATCTAGCTGCCCTTCTCAAGTCGCCTGAAATCTCTAGCAGACTCACATATCTGACCCTTTCACCTTACCATCTCTTCACGGGAAAATACTACCCGCATTCCTTAGATGTCATCGTCGACTTCCAAAGAGGCGAATTCCATGCTCGCTGCGCATGGCTTCGAGACACTCTCTCGGAAACGCTGGTGGCCATTGTTCGCCTGGCCCCCCAAATTCGCCATCTGGTCTGTGTCATCGCAACACTTCGTCTTACATTTAATGATGGAGGCGACGGAGCTTCCGTGGGCACGGTTTTTAGCGACACTATTGACCCTTTGTGCGTAAGTTCAACCCTCAACCGTCCAATGCTCTTCTTGGATACTTAGCTGCGTTTTGCCTCCGTCATCTTCTTGAAGGGTGTTTCACATGTGTTGATGAGCTATACAGATTATCCAAGCCGTCCTCAGAGATACTCAGTTGTCAGAAAGGCTCGAGTCCATGTATCTCTTCCCCAGTGGTGGCCAAGGGACGTTTCGGCATACTGGCAACATTCCTGAGAGCCTCACTCCTTTGAGCTACGACAACCTTCGTCATTTGACACTCGCGCCGAGTACACGGAAAATCTCCGACTTTCGCATTCTGGCACCGCATTTGACAAGCTTGTGCATTGTGCTCGACAGACGTTGCGAAGAGGATCTGAGTTCACTATTTACCCAAGGAGTCTGCTTTCCCGAACTATGCCCTACGCTGCGCAGCTATACTATCCGTGGAGATCAGGTCCGAGATGCAGAGTTTGCCAAGCTACTGTGTGAGATCCCGACTAAACTTCTATTACAATTCATTACACCCATCTTCGAACACGACTGGACACTGCCGGTAGTCTCGCTAGAATACATCATATCGGAAGAGGAAGAAGATGGAGAACTCACTCACATCTCTGACTTCCAGGGTAGCGGCCGGATCGGGTTATTGGTTTTCCGGAACTTCTACCATTCCATACCTCAATCGCGGCACAAGGCAGGAACCTCCATCTACGAGAATACCAAAACAGTCGATCATCACTGGAAACCCTACGAGGCGCTGCTTGCAAAGTGCGACAGCTCCCGTATTGAACACTTACCTGGATGTGATTGATCCATTCAGGCGTTGATGTAGAGTGGTCGCAGTAAGAAGTTGATCTCGACTGGTCGGAGTGGAACAACTAAAGGAAAGAGATGGCATGCAAAAGAGTATCAACGCATTACTTGAGGGTAAGTCTTTCGCGGCGACATATGCATGTGAGTATCGAAAGGACGATTGCGACTTCTGCAGCATCCCCATGGCAATGCGCAAACATCACCACCCGAAAGTACAAACGTCTTCACGCCGGCGATGGAAGAGCATGTACTCAATCGTGACATGCGACACTCGTTCCAAGATATTTCAAGCTTGCCAGCTACTTCTGCGGTTCCTCAACCATGTTGTAGTCACATACGAGCTTAAGTCACTGTACTCATACTTGATGCTTGACTCTTGATGGCAAAGTGTCATTCAGGCAACGGTATGTGAAGACGACACTATGAAGACACTATATATGGCAGTGGTTTACCTTTGGTTCTCTTTTGTATAACAACAACACATTGCCACATCTCCGTATCTGCAACTTCTCGTAGAATTACCTGCATTATCACGATACACACACCGGTCCATATCTTCCATCAGCATTCCTCGCCATTCTTCGATTTTCCGCGAATAAGCGCAACTTTATCGTCATTATATCTTCGGACAGTCGACTCTAATCATTATGGAGAAAATCGTGCCGGAATGGGAATGTAGTTGTGGGTTGTACAACGGATCACGTGGTGTCAAGGGAACACCAGATGCGACTGCCCGATGCAAAGGCCAGACTTGCGGGAAGTCGTTTAAGGAAAGCGGCGAGCGGAGAGATTTCTCAAAAGTCTCAAAAGTTTGGAAGTTGAACAAGTCGGTTAACACAACTCCCTCGCGAACCCCCACTACCTACAGCAACGCTGCTTCGCGCTCCGAAACTGTCCAAAATGCTACTGGGGCCTCTGGCCGTACTGCGGCCCCCCAAAGGTCGTCCACCGTTCCCATGCACCACACGAGTTCGAAGACAACCAATCAGATCAAGCTCGTTAACCAGAGCATCACTCAAAACAAAAATTCTCCGGGTGCTAGAAACGCCGGTGGCTGGATTGGATGGTTGACAAGAGCTGCTGAGAAACGCGAGTGATTCAAGAAGCTCGACACACCTAAGAGGGAGCAAGTTCCAGCCTTATAATGCCATGAAATGAAAGAAGCTGTCTCGGATGGTCACGAGCTGGTATCGTGAGGGTTGGCAGGGGAAACAAAGATGATCGGAACAGGCCTCGATACAGCGGTTACAATGGTGTAAATGGATTTGGTATCGGCATGCCGTAGAAGACAGTACATCGTGCGAATGTATTCAAGCATAGTCTTGTTCTTGTTTGAATACGTCGCTGTGGTGAGTCGAAGCTTGAATGAGTCGTAGTATGATACCATGTTCCGCTTGCACGTCTGAGTGTACAGTGTCTCAACTAAGAGACTACAGAGACGGAATTTGAACGACTGGAGCAGGCTTCAGCACCTTGATGGTAGCGCGCATTCGCATTGACGCAGCGTTTCTGAGTCTACGCACTGTGACTGTGTACCAGTAGTATGCTCGGTAAACACACGCCTACCATGATCATTACCTCTTCACCATTCACGCCCGCGCTTGCTATCCAGATCCCTATACGTACCCGTTATCCACATTCAATCTTTGCACCCAGCATGTCAGGGATTCCGCATCACGAAATGCAAGACTACTTTCGTCCAAACGCATTCCAAAGCCAAAAACCACAACAAGCCCCCCAAAATCTTCAGATAGACTGGGAATGTTGTCAAGGGGAATGCAAGCAGCGCATCAACAACAACGTTCCTAAGGAGTCCAGCTGCAGGGTTTGCAAACACAAGCTAGCCGGCGGTGAACTATGTCTGAACACCAGACTATACGACCACAACGAGATACCCAAACTTCCCAGTTCTACCTTTTTGTCGTCGAATACCAGATTTGATCGCCCAGCCGCAACGATTGCCGCGCAGCAAGCTACCAGAACGCATGGGAGATGGAATGCTGAGGAAGCTATGCGAAGGGAGAAGAGAGCCAAGGAAATGGAAAGAAGGGATAGCGAAGAAAGGTGGAGCAAGAGAAAGAGGCGAGTAAAATGCGCCATACTGTGAGCAGTGTTAGAGACAACGGGTGGAAGCAGGTGTGTAGCAGGCGGAGACACCGGAAGATACCCGAATCTTGCTGCTCCGGAAGAGTACCGGGCTGGAAGAGCCATGTACTTCAACGAGATTGTCGGTGGGGTTGCGAGTCCGATATCTGTATTGTGAGCATACCTTCGGTGACCATCATGTGTATAACATCTCCACATGCCAAGCTGATTCGCATTGTTCTTCGCGGATATCAGCGGCAGCTTCCAGAGTAACGACCCGCCTGACTCTGTGATCCGCAATGTGAATGCGTGCGATGCTTCTGCTCTCATAAAGCCCTCGTCTCCGTTGTACTACTTCCTCACTCTACATCCTCTAATACGCCAACTCACCGAACTAACTCATCTACTGGCCATGAACCTAGACAGCGGCATACCGCGTGCCGCTTGCCCGTATACGCAACTCAAGCTTATACCACTTATCCATCCAGCATCAAACTCGATACCGCGATGGGTCGGTACTGCTGCACCTGCGGCACCCCCAACGCCGGCGATGGCGCATCTCGAGAAGACTACACACGCGTGACGGCGTGCAGCAACTGCAAGCATGGATGTTGCTGGCAATGCAGCCTATTCCGTCTGGGTCCAGAATATCCAATGAAAGCATCAGCGGCACCCAGGGGCACCCAGCCAACGTCCAGTTCAAACCATTGGCACTCGGATCATCACGGAGGCTCAACCAACGTACCCGCATCCTATGATTAGGGTGCCGACTCAGAAGTCGCAAGGGAAAGGGAGGAAGAAAGAGAGTGGCGGTTGCGTTGTTTTTTGTGAGGAAGACGAGGGGAAGTAGAGATGTGGAGTGATGAAATGGGAATGCAAGACGAAGAAGTGATAGAGGAGAGGTAGAGAAGCTCGACGGGGGAGACATGATTGAGTATATACGCTCGCGACCAATGGTCGAAGTGTCGCAAACATTCCAATATACGTGATTAACCTCTCAATACCACGTATGACTTCTGATCATGTCGATGGCTGTTGATGGCGATGAGGGGAATGTGACCGGCGATGGAGTAGAAGGCTGAGGCACCGCAGAGTCATGACTCATGAGTCATGCTAGCGTCTCTGGCGATTCACTGAACATCATCGCACCTCCTGCCAACCGCCGTGCCACATCAGAACCACCACATGGGCAACGCGTGCGCAGGATTTTGCAGCGGAGGCCCAGATTACGACTACTTCTCCGATGCCAATAGCGCGCGTCGCTAACATGATTACAGCCACGATGAATCTGGCAATGCTCCTACAAACACCACGCGAAACCACTCACTAACTCATACAACCATCGCAACCCCATCAGCCTATACTCGTTTCCCGTCACTAATGCAACCTTTATCCTCCCTCTCCCATCTTCCACAGCCCATCATCCTGGTCCTCGGTCCCCGGGCCCTTCTCAAACCCACAACCTGCGACACCCAACGCCCCAAGACACGAAACCACAGCGCCGGTATCTCTCGCCATCCGACCACGCACGCGCCCATGCATAATCTTAGATGCAGAGCCCCAGCACGCGAGCCGTCTTTATGCTCAGGAGAGAGATGAACGGAAGGGAGGGAAAGGCGCTGTTGGTGGCGTAGCTGTGTCGTGTATTGGGGGGTTGCGGCGTAGGTCGCAGAGCTGCGTTAGCGAAGTCAGGAACGGTCTTGTGCGGCAGCCACTGCCCTGCGGGATAAGACTCTTGGTGAAGTCGGAGGCATAACAGCGATTGTTTGGCTGCGTCGGTGAGTCACTGACATTGTTCGATGAGATGACGATCAGCATCGTGAGGTCGTCGAGTCGTGTAAAGCGATCTACGATCTACAGTCGGCAGAGCGCCCCGTCCAGCTGCCAAAACAGGTCGAAACTGGCGTGTAGAGCTAAGAGCCGTACCGGAAGGGGTCCTGTCAAACGCGGCCTGACGTGCAATGTGTCAGGTGGCAGGATCGTTCTCGTTCCGGAATGTCGACGTGCTGCTCATCGCATGAACGGAAGGAGTGGAGCAGCAAACAAGCCTCACGATCCAAGGCTGTCTAGATCGTCAGGCGTTTTGGGCGCCTGTGATTCAGACTACAGCATGTTTGGATTGGTGTAAGTGAACATTGTGATGCACCACACGTGGAAAGATATGACGTAGTCGAGATGGAAGGTGAGAAGGAGGGGTTTAAAAAAAAAGGCGAGCCATGTCATTGAGGGTATTTCTATCGAGAAGTGAACCAAGGAAACTATATAACAGCATTCTTAACCCGAGAATGATTATGGTAAGGACTGAGATTACCGCAGCCACGCCTTGCGTAGTGGTGTGTAAGGACCGTTTACCCATCTAATATCAACAAGCGTGTTTAAGGAAATGGAACCCGTGGCTCTACCAGACAGTGATACCATCAGACGTCGATGATATTTCGCGGTCAAGGAATCATGCTGACGGAAGCTTGCCTGCGAGCTCCACGTAGCGCGGCCACGTGTTGGTGAAGACAAGATACTTGATGCTCTCAAAAGCGGCGTCAAATAATTCCTCTGTGAATTCGCTCGGGACTATCGACCTGGTGCTTGATGTTGAAGACGAGGTGATGTTGGAGTCAATACTCGCTGGCCGGCTTAAGGTGTCCTCCCATGGGCACACGACGTTCTCTCGGGTGGTAGGTGACCTCGCATCTTCTGGTGTCTGGGCACGCGGCATGTACGGGTCGAACTCCACTTCTGCGAACATGTTTTGTAGAGTCTTGAAGATCTTGTACTCGATGTTGATCGGTGCCTCGGCGGTGAAGGGGTTGATAAGCGTGTAGAAAAGCAGAGACGCCTCGTTGAACATCTGTCGTCGTTGAGCAGTGGTAACGACCTTGAGGCTGCCCCACTTCTTCCTGAAGTTGCGTACTTCGCGGAGGAAGATGCAGTTTTCGGCTGTGAATTCGCGGGCAGCAGCCCAGGCGATGAGGGGCTCGATACTGTGCTCAATAGTGAACTCCAGTGACTGCATCGACGTTTTGGATTTCATCTCCTTGGTGTAGATTATGGTAGTCGATTTCCCGGATAATTGCGAGTGGTTGGAGGTGAGCGAATCAGTGTCGGAGATTGATGATCGTCTGTTGGGGCGGGCCTTCAGCGCGTCTCGCAGTGGTATGATGATGAGAACCTGTTGGCAGACGACGAGCGAGGGTATAAACCTACATCGGGGTGTCAGCTTGGGCAATAAAGTCAAAGAAGGCTGCTTCACTTACCACCCGGCTGGTGCAAAGAATTTGTTGATTTCATGGACTTGGTGCATCTTTGAGTACGTGAAGGCGATCCACAGTGGCGTTCCTGGAAGACTGAAGGCAATGTCAGCAAGATAGAACAAACTTGATGCAAACACACATACCCAGCAATAATGGCAAGTCTCGTTTGCCAGGCCCATGAGTGGACGTCCTTAATGTTGCGGATCTTCCAAAGTATCCATGGACCGACGATCATTGTCCAGAACAGCTGCACAAAGATCGACGGAATCCTGATTAACAGTCAGTGAAAGAATCGTGCAACTGCGCCTTAACAACTTACCATTCACCTCCTTTTCGGCACTCAATATAATTGGTAGGAACTCCAAAGAAACCGTACGTATCGTGAAAGCGGCGAGAGCCGAAGAAAAGCATGATAGCGGGTAGAAACTACTGCGGTCAGTGGTATACACATGCACGCACTAGAGACTAAACATACCGAAAGAACTAGGCCGATGAAGGTACCAAAGTATACTTTCTTCGCCGCATCGAGATCGCGCCACGCTTCAAAAAGGCCGAGTGGGGTATAGGATATCCGCTTCCTGCGCGCACCTTCCAGAAAGTTGCGCGTCATACGGCGCTGGCTCTCATAGGCCGTGAGCACCTTGGCATTGCAAGCTGCGAAAACTTAGCATGCACCAGACACCACACTGAACCATAGACTTACCTTGGAAAAACGCCATGCCAGAGGGAAGAAATACCGACATAATCCAGAACTCGGCTGAGCATGGAAAGAGACCGTTCCACGGGTAGACGAGTAAGACAAGGACGAGATAGATGTGCAGCATAAGCACCGCTGCGAAAACGATCTTGATATTTCGTATCTGCAAACAAAAAGCCTCTCTACGTCGATGGAGGAAGAAAAGCTCGACACTTAATACCAACGTGTATAATACGGCGACGACAATGTAGCCGACACCAAGAGCGTCGGTATTAGGCCTCGTTGTGCCATCCAGACCGAGTGGTGCTCGTGGGCGCAACAGAGGCGGCATGGTGATCATGCTGTGTGGGGACCAAGCGGGAGTAATAGTTTCGATTGACAGTGAAGTATGAGGATTTGAGAGTCAGGCTCCTCTTCTTACTTAACAGAACGAAAGTGGGACCGTGTAGCGGAAGGATTGAAGGACGCTGATACCGAGGGGGCGGGACGGGTTATGCCAAATGTCCATCGGCGAACAGGGCGGCACACAACTGTTAGGGAGAGCGGGAAGACGTAAGAGGTATTAGAACTGCCTTGCACATGGGTCGGGTCTGGTAAAAGATACAACAGGACGAGGTTAGCTGCGGCTCGGGGAGGCCTGAGCGGCAAGGGATTGCTCGATGAGAGATGTATCGCAGGGTCGGATGATACTGAGCCACCAGGGCTAGTGACTGTTCTTAGTGTAACGGGAAGGGATCGCATCCTCTGCAGGACTGCAGGAGAACGCGTGAACGCCATGGCGGAGAAATGTGTCACGACGACTACCACGGGGGTACAGGCTGCTACCTTGTCGGACTGCGACCGCGGAGAGCAATTTGACGGCCGCCTCCAAACATGCCGGTCAGTATGCAGTCCAGTGATGTGTGAACGGTAGGAAACCCGGTGAGACAAGAGTGTCGAAGTTGGGGTAGATCGTGTTCTGGTTCGTGCTGGGCTGGATCGTCGCATGCCGAGATCAGACATCGGAGGTTTCGGCACTCCAGCAATTTCCCAGGTACCCCAGGATTCGCTCCCACCATCACAACTTCTTCAACTTTTTCATGCTTGAGAGCGTTTCCATTGCTACACACGCCCAATGAAAATATCCCGCGGCTTCTTTCCGTCGTAGTTTCAATTTCAGATGCTTTGCCCTGGCAGCGATGGTCGGATGCTGCGGCTGCAGGTACAGTGCTGTGCTCTACCCTTCGCGGGCTGCGTTGCAACACCGCACGCGCCGAACTCTGCGACTATAGCACTTGGGATATTGATGCAGTTCAATTCTATGTATACAGGAACATCCATGCAGTACTCCCGTTTCATTGTGCTTTCGCACGTCTTCCCATTGACCGGCAGAAAATCTGACGTTCATGCGTTCTTTAATCCTTCGCGGCTTCGAAAACATCGCGCTACATCCAGTCATGCTCAACACTTCTGTCAGTCTCAGAGGTTTCATGTCAAACTTCTAGAAGGCCATCTGTGTTCCTGTCGCGGATGCTTCGACGTAGCTGTCACAAGCTGTCCATCGGGCACGCCGTCCGCTTGAGGACATCTCCGCACCTTTCGATTATGCAACAAGTCGCGGAAACCCTCCAAGCCAAAATACACGCACAACTGATCGACCATATCCACCTAGTGCGGGGAAGCGTGCAGTAGGACAAAATGCCCACTGTGGCTGCACCGTGGCGGCAGGGTGTCAATGCCTTCCGGCCATCCGCATGTCGCATCACCATGAAAGATGTGTGGTTTCGACAAGGAAGGCTGCAACCTCCAGCAGCAGGCCGGGCGCGTAATTACGGTTACCTGAATATCGATGCTGCATCCGACCGAGTAGAGGACGGGATCTCCATCTCGTTTCTGCGAACGTGATCAGGTATAAGGATGCGGTCGAGAGGTTGAGAACTGTACGACCTCGGAGCCCAATAACTTCACGTGCAAACACAATCGTGGAATGTGTTGCTACATATCTTGGTGCGCCTACCCGCAAACCCGATCCCCCTGCCGTTATGGTGTGTCAACGGGCGGAGTAACGCGATAGCACTTTGATATTGACTTAACCTCATGTTCAGAGAGATCAAATGTCACTGCTGAAATATTGCAATACCAACAGTTACACATAGCTACTACGCACGTTCGATAAGCTTCTCCACATCCAATATCGCCCTCTCAGCGTTGTGTATCAACACGGCGCCGAATCAACCCTGCTGAACGCAAACATAATCTTACCGTCCTTGCTATGCAACACCGTATCATCCGCCCAAGGACGACCAAGGCCGTCGCCTGGGGTTTATGGAGGCACTGGCCAATGGGGAAGCGGGCCTTTCGCTTACAAGACTGCTGTAACTCAAATTGCTACTCATTGAGCACTGATCATTTGTACTAGAGACGCTGACTGAGCATGAAGGTTCTCATTCAGGATCTTTACCAACACTCAGTGAACCCGCTGCTTTTGTTTTGAACGGTGTCTAAACCACTTCGCTGCCTGGAGACCATGTCAGGTGACGTTTGCGGTCCAAGCCGACTACGCATACCTAGGTACCATGCATTACTACCGGATACTTACAACTTAGCAATATGGTCGAATAAATACACAAATGATGCCGGTTCTACAATACTTACTGGTATTTTTTGGCGTACCATGGTTGTAAAGTGCATGCGCTTGGTCTCCAGCTTTTCGCTTAGTATGTACCCTCTCCCATAGGATGAGCTGTGATGCGCAAAACGACAGAACCATAATACTCTGATGTGACTCACGAAAAGTCAAAGTTGAGCAACCATCATGAAATCATAGTGCTTTAGTATGTAACCTCGCATCTTCAGTACACCCTTTCCAAGATAGTCTTTTCGAAACACTACTATCATACTATCCAAGTAAGCCACACCGCTCTATACACCACACACAACAGCAACAAAAGACTTCAAGCCCTCCAATATGGCTTCCACAAGCTCTACCCTAGCGCAGTCGCGTGCTAGTTCGGAAAGTTCGACCACACTGGCGCCACAACTCTCGACCCCCAGCCTCGCGCTCACCATCATCCTCAACGAACACAGTTCGCCCGAACGCACTGCACACGCTTGGTCCACAAAACGAAAATGGTGCCTTTTAACTGTGGTTGCATTCTGTCAGATCAGCATGAATCTCAACGCTTCGGTATACTCCAACGCCGTGCCTCTGCTGAACGACTACTTCGGCATCACAAATGCCCGGTTGGGTATGACTGCCTTCCTCGTCGCATATGCATTCGGCTGCGAATTCTGGGCGCCGTTTTCTGAGGAATTCGGACGCTGGCCTGTCATGCAAGCCTCTCTTGGGCTGACAAATATCTCGATCTTGGTCTGCGCTACATCCAACAGCTTTGCCGGAATCATCGGTGGCAGGATCATGGGCGGGTTGTCTTCGGCTGGTGGATCGGTCACCATGGGCATGGTCGGTGACATGTATCACAAAGATGAGCAGCAATATGCCGTCTTGTGGTGTTCGCTCTTCTCTTGTCTCGGATCAGTCATCGGAGGCATTATCGGAGGCCCGCTCGAGCAGTTCCTGCATTGGCGTTGGAATTTCTATATCCAGCTCATCCTCGGAGTAACGACCCAGCTGCTTCACGGGGTAGTCGCCAGAGAGACTCTGGCTCCCGCTATGCTCGACTGTGCCGCGAAAAAGGAACGAAAGAGCGGTAATGTCAACGTCCGGGGACCGAACAAAGACAAGAAATGGAGGGACAGGCTGCACTACAAGGAAGTTGCCAGTACGATGTTTCGACCATACCAGTTGCTCCTGACTGAGCCCATTGTCCTTTTCCTCTCGCTGCTGAGCGGTCTCGCCGACGCGCTCATCTTCTCCTTCTTCGAGAGCTTCAGCTACGTCTTCCAACAATGGTCTTTCACGCCTACGCAGATCTCGCTTGCCCTCGTCGCATTAGCCGTGTCATACATCATCGGTTACTTCACCTTTTTCCCCATCATCGCCCGTCACAATGCTCGACGCAGCCGGGGTGAACAGCTCGCACCTGAGGCACGTCTCAAGCCACTTCTATGGCTCGTCATCCTCCTTCCTGCTGGGCTGCTCATCTGCGTATTCGTTGCAACAGGGCCACCACTCCACTGGTTCGGTGTAATCATGGCTACCCTCCTCATTGGAGTCGCGAACTTCGCCATCTACTACGCGTCCATCGATTACATGGTCGCCGCCTACGGACCACACAGCGCGTCTGCGACTGGTGGCAACGGCTTCATGAGAGATCTGCTCGCGGGTTTATGTGCGCTTTATACAAAGCCCATGTACAGCAATCTAGGTATTCAGAGATCGTACTTGGTACTATTCGGCTTGACAGCGCTGTTTTGTCTTCCGGTATACCTCTTTTACTTCAAGGGTCCGGCGATTCGTGCGAAGAGTAAGTTCGCTAGTCAATTGGCGAGAGAGAGCGAAGCACGCGGTGCGCCAGAGGTGACGACATGCCCTGCATTGCCCTCAAGGGTCTTTCAGGAGGTGTAGCGTTGCGTGCGTTCAGGATGTGTATTAACCTTTAGTTCAGTTCTTGCTTTGGTGGATACTCAGTTGTGCATAGGTTGCTGTTGCTTTATACATATACAACAAAACGGACAATATAAACGATAAAAAGATGTTTGAATAAGTGCACCGGGTATCCATGAATCGGCGGGTATTTGCCTAGACTTCGTAAGGGTGCCCAGGTGATAGAGTGCAGGATAAGTGCGCGTCATGATGACATAAGCATTGCTTCAACTGCCGAGGCTTGCCGGTGGGCGCGATGTTTGACAGGCACCCGTGTCGACTGAATCCTCGAACATGTCATCGAACGGTAATACAAGAATACATCCTTGAGCAGATCATGATCGAATTAGAGCTTAAAATGTAGCATTCACCATATTGAGCTGGTAGCTCAAGGACTCTGACCCGTACTCGTCGCTTCACAGTACATCACGATGGCACCAGCAAAGCCCAAAGATATTGTAATCGTAGGAGGATCTTTAGGTGGCCTTCTGACTGGTGTTGCATTGAAGCGCCTTCGCAAGGATCTCAATATCCGCATATTCGAACGCAATCCGACGCCACTTCTGCAGGATCAGGGCGCTGGAGTGGTAGCTGGACAGGACGTGCAAAAGTTCTTCAAAGCGCACGACCGAAGTCAAACCCCGTTGACAATCCCGAGTCATCAACGGCTATATCTCGATAAGGAAGGCCATATCATAAGCCGTCACAACCAGGAGCAGCGCATGACAAGCTGGGATCTGCTGTACCACCTCCTACGAACGAATTACGATGGTACTGAGACCGACTACGCGAAGGTACCAACGACGGAAGAAGAGGAGGGAAAGACATCCTATGAATATGGGTGTACGATTACGAGTGTTGCGGCACCAGAACCTGCATCATCTCTGCGATTAGATTTCTCGGAACCTGTCAAGATCACGGTCCAACACAGATCCGGGGAGACGTTCTCGACCGAAGCAGACCTCGTTGTCGCAGCCGACGGACCCAGCTCCAAGATACGCGCCGAATACTTCCCTGACGTCAAGCGAACGTACGCCGGATACGTAGCATGGCGCGGCACAGTACCCGAAACGCAAGTCTCACAGGCTGCCACCGATGTCTTCGTCGAGAAGTTCCCATTCTACCATACGGAGGGTATCCAGATACTAGCGTATACTATACCAGGGAAGAACGGCACCACCAAACCTGGTGAGCGATTGCTGAACTGGGTCTGGTACGTCAATTACAAGGAAGAGTCGCCGGAGCACGTCGAGCTCATGACAGACAACGAGGGGAAGAGACATCACATCACACTACCACCGGGTGGAATCAAGGAGGATGTATGGAGGCGGCAAAAGGATCTCGCGAATGAGATACTCCCACCACAGTTCGCTGAGCTTGTCAACAAGACTGAGGTACCTTTCGTACAAGCCATCACAGATGTCATCGCGCCCTCTGCCTTATTAGAGAAGGGTAGAGTACTCTTGCTCGGCGATGCACTCGCAGGTTTCAGACCACACACGGCGGCGAGCACAAACCAGGCCGCTCTAGATGCTATGAAGCTTGCTGGCGCTGTCGAGAAGGTCATCGAAGGAGGAGGAATGGACGTGCTAAAGGAATGGGAGGAAGAAGTAATGGAATACGGTAAAGAGATGCAAAGTCACGGTGTGCAGATGGGTAACCGAAGTCAGTTCGGTGACCATCCGATGCAAAGGTAAAGACAAATTACGAGGTGTAGTAGAGCATTTAAGGTGAAGGTAGGAAGTATCTACTGTTTTCTGTTCTCTAGCTAATAGTTCTAAAGTATTAGGGGAATAAATACCAAGAGTTTTAAAGTTCTCTTACCTCAGATGTTCTCTTAGCATGATTATGTTCTCATACCTATTTCACCGTGTGTTAACATACATCTTATAGTTCTTTAGGTACACTCTACGTTCCCTCTCATACCTTTCAAGACACCCCGCTCTCTGAACGCCTGGTGAGAGAGACGCTTGTCACATACACAAGGTCTTCTACGCTTTCATCTCTTTATTCCTTCGATACCCCTACACCTGACACCCCTAACATTTCATACATTCCATATATCTCACCCACTGCACCCCCTTCACGGATCTATAGTGAACGACAATATGAACGGCCCACCCAACCCTCAAGAGCAGCTCGACTATTATGAAATTCTCAGAGTCAATGAACGCGCATCGCGCGCAACAATAGAGAGGTGTTACAAGCGATTGCAGCATGCATACCATCCTGACAGCAGAAGGGTTGGTGCTACACCTAGCACTGAGCACTTCCAGAGTGTAGGTACATACCGTTTTTCGATCAAAGTCGCTTGACTAAACCCTAGCTACTAGATTGGTGTTGCATGGGACACCCTAAAGAATACTGGCCAGAGACGGAGGTACGATAGAGATCACGCGCGGATCCGGAGAGAGTGGGACATCTACCGCATCAGAATGGGGGCGTGGGAATCTAAGCAACGTGAAAAAGCACGACGCCAGGCAAAACCTCTTGAACGAGAGCGAAAGATTGCAGAAGAGGAAGTAACCCTCGAAAAAGAGAGGCTAAGGGTATCAGAAGAGAAAGCGGCTGAAGCGGCGAGACGACATTCTGAACGCGTTAAGGCCGAGGAAGCACGTCGTCAAGAGCAAGCACAGCAAGACGAAGAAGTTCGGCGACGAGAAGAAGCATTACGTGTACACGAGCGCGAGCGACTCCAAGAGGAACGGCGGCGACAACGATTAGCACGAGCCGAAGAAGAGAAACGGATCAAAGCTGACTGGGAGAGAGCTCAGAGAGAAAGGGGACTTGCCAAGGATCATTGTGCATCGCGAGGTACCGCAGATGAAGACGGAGCCCTCCGGACATTGTGGCGAGAGAAGCAAGAGCGGACTCACGAACAGGCTAAGAGGGCCGAGGCCGCATATAAAGAAGCAGCCCAAGAGCGTCTAAGAAAGCAACAGGAGGAATTACCTCGACCCAACGAAGACGACAAGCAGAAGCGGCTGAAGAGCGCCTTCGTCGCCAACAACACCACTCTAAATCGCTCAAGCGGCCAGCTGACAGTGATGTCGAGAAGAGCGGCTGAGAGATGAGAGCATCGACTTGGGATGGAAACATGTGGAGTATCAGAGCGAGCCATGCCCACAGTGTCATACAAAGAAAAGTGCGGCGCAATTTGGACTGTGGAAATGACCAGAAGGAGGGGCATTACGCTGTCGACCTTGTCTAGCGGCACTCGGCACGTTTAGTGCGTGACGTGGGTGGAAGGGCTTATTGAGGACGGCGTTTACCATGGGGCAAAAGGTCCTTCACAAATTTCACAATTCTCTGAACACACCTTTTACCATTCTCAAGCCGACTGGACATTATCGAACTAGTTCTCATATACACAATCGCAAGGCGCTGAGTGCCTTTATGCTGCATCAAGATCCAAAGACAACGCAATGTGATTCCAAAATGCTATATACACTCCATCAATGCTCTATATACACTGTCTCGCAAGCCTTAACGAGCGAACTAAAAGAAGTATGTACCCATGAATGATCTAGTCCATCCTATGCCCTCCAGACATCTCGCATCTCATTATTCGTGTTTATACCTAGTACTCGAGGTCCTTGGAGTGGCGCTTGGCGAGCTTGTTGACAGCAGGGCCGGGGACAGGGTAGCTGGTGAAGGACTGGAAGACGTTGAACTTGATACCAGCGTCGTCGGCCTAAATTATCTCGTTAGCACATGTTCGATATTGCATGGTACGACTCAAGTGGAAGATCTTACCTTGTACAAGCTAGTACCAGCAACACCACCGCTTGGCTTAGCAGTCCCAGAGCCCTCAACCTTGAAGTTGACGCACTGGGGGTACGCCTGGGCGCCGTTGGTCTGGCCAGCAGCGTGCAGAGCGATGATCTCGTGACGGACAACGTAGTTGCCAGGGGCGACGTTGGGGAAGGTGAGGTCCCAGGCGAAGTTGTTGGCGATGAGATCGTCAGTAGCCCATTTTCCTGGGTTGCTTCCTGACTTCCAGGCGCTGGACTGGATCTTGGTCCACTTCAGGTCAGAGGGGCTGACGGAGCCGCAGTCACCGTTGCAAGGCGCAATGTACTCCTGGATGGGACCAACGTGGCTGATTGGCCAGGTGTCCCACTTGAAGGTGACCTTGCTGCCAGGCTTGACGGTAACGTAGGCACCGTTGCTCTTGCCCTGCTTGTGGCAAACGATGGCTGAAGTGCCAAAGCTGTCAGGGGAAACGAAACCGTTGTCAAGGTTGTCGGCTTGCCATCTTTTAGGACTGAGTCAGTGTATGCCTCTTGTTCGGTTCGTACAAAGTCACTTACCCTACGGTGGCGGGAATGGGGTTCTGGTACTTGAGAGCAGCGTTCCAGCCCTGGTATTCCTTGCCGTCGGCAACGACCTTGTCAACGTGGCCGTGGGCTGCCACAAGGGGCGCGAGCAGGAGGAGGAAAGAGAGCATGTTGATGGTATTCAAAGTGAATGACTTGTAGAAAGCGATTGTTGAAGCTGTGCAGTGATGGGCTTGCTGTCGAGAGTGACCTTCAACCTGGGACTTAACATCCCTTCATATACTCCTCTCCAGTCTTCTAGCGGCCTTCTACAGACGCCCACGTTTTCCCACGACCAGGTATTGGCGAAGCCTTGCAATCAAAAATTTCATCTCCATGCACGAGTCGACCTGGTTTCTGAGTTGAACGCCATCCGCTCGTGGAAACACGCCCTGGTCGTCAAGCTCTTGGATCATTGGAAGCCCAGCGATGTTTCCAGTCTGGTGACGGCGTGAAACCACTGCGATAGGCTAGGAGAATTTCAATGACTCTAGTATTAATATATGAGACGCAGTGCTGTCCTTGAAGTGGTGATGGGCAATCTATCCTCGGCTGCGGCCACTGCCGCCGTCCGGGTAGTCACCAACCACGTGCGAGTTTCAGCCACGACGTTGTGGTACTTTGTTTACTTAAAATCTGGGCGATGTGGACCTCTCGGTGTATTGACGGGACTCAACGAGAAATATTGTTGTTTATGTGTCAAGCTGCATACTCAGGTGCTCAACAACTATGTACGAGTGGCGATGCGATACCCGATATCGAGCAACTCAGCGGCTTACGGGAACCAGCACGGATCTACGGCAGTCATGTAAGCCCTACAGCTACCGAAATGCAGTGTAACTAATACCCCGTGGGGTCTTGGAAACACTTGAAGTGTTGCTGCAAGTGTTGCTGCATCCGAGTCGATTATATCCGGTGGCGTCAAAACCACAGGGCGTTTAATGTATATAGATTAATCACGGGCCGCAAACCCGAACGTCAACCCACTTTGTGGCGATGCAACTCTTGCACAGGCTGGCAATGCGTGCATCTCTGAAACGTCTCAGGTCACACAAAGTGCAGCTCATCTGCAGAGGCGTTCCCTCTACCACGATGCATCCTCGATTCTATAAGCCCTGAGCTGCCCAGCACTGCCGTCTCTTGATGTTGATCCGAAGAGTGGATTCGCTGATGGCTGATTGTTGATTTCCTAATCTGGAGCCTTGGAGGGCCTGTTGGTGTGAATGTGCAATACCAGTATGGGGTCCAGAGTTTCGTCGCTCGGTGTGTGTCCGGCCAAAACAGATTAACCTGGAGACTCAACAGAAGCAAGGTAGCATTGACTATCTTTCTTGATAAGAGAACCCATTAAGATTCTCTTGTTGCGACAGGTAGGATGGACGTTGCCTGCGCGACTGGCGCTTGGGGGCCTTGGAACCATTGCGTTCATCGCACGACGACCGCGTCCGCCCTTGCTGAAGCGCATATCATCATGTGCTGCTACTGAAGGAAGCGCGTCTGCGTTGAAGAGGAGGACTAGAAGGATGTCGAAGGTGGAAGAAGCTTGGGCTCAAGGGATCGTCAGGGCGAGCGCGAGGGACGGTGCGACGTCATCGCTGTTATGCTAAATTTGTCGCTCTGACGTGCCTCAGGATCGGCGAACGATGCGCATCGTCCAGGAGCGGATTTTGCGTCATTGAGTGTCGCATCTTCATATAAGAAGACTGAGGCCCTCACTGTTGGCCTCAGGAGGTGGGGAATCTGGCGCTCGGCATGCCTGGAAGGTGCGGATGACGCGTCACCAAGGCTAAGTAAGACCGCACCACCACAGGCTTCTCCAGCGGCCATTCACATTCGTAGCCCCAAAAGACAGAAATATTCGCATCAAGATTGCGCCCAGAGGCAGAAGAAAAAGGAGGACATATCGCAGTATACAAAGCTAAGGAAACCAAAGGCTCCAAGAGTCGGGCCAAGTTCACGTCCGAAACCTTCTAGTCAACATAGCCTCCCCGGGCAGTCCGGAGACGACACTTCCACGCGTGTCTACGCAGCAGACGAAGCTGGGGTGTTACGCGTTTCCGAGTGCCAACAGGTCTTAGACGTGGTCGATGGGTGGGGTAACGCAGCTTTACTGGCTGCCCAGACACGTGAATATGTGACGCAGCCAATAGCATGGTGAAAGGGTCGCATCCTCCTAGCAACCGATTGGGTCTTTGGTTCGCATCAGATGCACGATCTGGAAGACCTTGCGGTTCCCGAAGCGATAGCTGTAACGGTATATAGGTAAGTGATCGTGGCACGCAGGGTCTCGCAACTCGGTGTCGGTGGAACGTTGCCGCATCACACCATACCATTTCGTCGTCGTCAGCGCAACGCTGACCACTCCCTCGGTCTTTTTACTGTCACTCCTGCATCTTCCGGAACCTCCGCGCATTAGGCTCACTGTCTGCCTTACCTTTGTTGATCGTGAGCGTGTCACCACAGCAAATACTACTCCATTCCTATATCACTCGCTCCCGTCGCACAAGCATTTGTATCACGTCATATACTCCCTCCTTCCACAGTCACAATGTATCTTCAGAAAAGAAACGGCAACATGGGCTTCGACATTGCCCCAGCCCTCATCATATTTCTCGTTATCCTCGGAGCAGGCGCGCTCGTCTGCTGTGGCTTTGCTGTCTACCGGTTCTACGGCGGAGAACCTGAAGACGAGTCAAGCCGTTTCCACAGAAGCCCAGAGCAAGACTCTTATATGAGAGAGGTTCGGGAACGAAGTTGGCGCAAGCTACCCCAGCTGGGTATGCCAAAGCCCTACTATCAGTCCAACCTGGGTCACGCACCGATGAGTCCAAGGTAAGATGACGTCGCTTCACTTGCGAATGCTTCCTCGAACTGACCTGAATAAGCGGCAGCAACACTACATACGGATGAGGAAACGAGCAACCCTCTCACCTCGTCGAGGTGGATACCGAAGAAAGACTGCAACACATGCGGCCAGAGAGGGCGTAAGGCCCTACAACAGGACAACCAGCGACACGACACTACAAAATGACCGAGAGGCACTGCTTTTGCAATTGTATTGGATTAGACCTCATGAGAGACGATCGGAATTTTGTTTGGGTGATAAGAAGCATTGAACGGATCAACCATCACTCCCGGCCTGACGGACTTCACTCGTCTAACCCTTCCCGCTCCAAATACTTCACGATCGAAGAGAAGTGGCTACGAAGCTACCGATCGACAGGGGCAATTGTTCACCTAACGGTCAGAATATTGTCAACACCCGGGGAAGCGGGGTGGTCCGAGACGGATAGATAGCTCTGAGGTGGGTTCCAGGGACATGGTTTCCATAAGGGTAGAGTGGAAGCTTCCAAGAGTTTTGTTCCGCTTTACGACTGGTATAGTGTTCCGAACAATGCAGTGCATGTTATTCACTCTATCATCTTTGTGAACGGCACCGAACCATAACACCCCTGTGACTTTGACAGACATCATCGCAAGACGTGCAAGGGGTATCGGTGCCTTCCTACCGTGTTTCCCGAACATGGACACGACTCAGATGTCAGCACGAAAGACGGATTGGGTCACTGGAGCCTATTCGGATGACTTGGTTTCCGTATTTCCGAACGGCCGAGAGATGCCCACGACTTTGAGTAAAGCCACAGATTAGTTTTGTAGTCGTCTAATGATATGCACAGGGGTCTGAAAGTCTAATGGAACGCTGTCTCGAGTCCGGACTGTCTGTATCACTTAGGGGCTTATCTGTGCCTGGGTCGGCGATGAGCTATCAGCTGCTGGACAACAAGCCGCAAGCTTCCGCTCTACGAATGAACTAACCACGGGACGAAGATTACTTTACGTTGGAAGTGGAGCATTCTTCCATACAGGTACACTGGAGCTAGAGCCCGTAGGCTAATGCCCGAACCATGCTAGTCCGATTAGTCGTTTAGGTGAAGAACGGTACTCTTCTGGATTGCTCGTCAAAGAAGAAATTCTTGCAACTGTACCAAAAAAAGACAAAAGCTTCATGTGGCATCGAGCTCTCTAGCCTCTACAGTGCGGCTGTTATCGCGCGCGCCGATTGAGGCTATCAGACTACCATTGCGTCTCAAGATGGGCTTGACTTGGGCAAAGACATGCTATCATGATCGGAGAACGGAGGCAGATGTAGAGGGTGCGCTGTACTTTGATTTGCGTCTGTTGACACTCATCATTTACCTTTCTAGAGTTCAAGTAAAATTCAGGTAAGTTTCGAATTCCAGGCGGAGGCCGTGATGGAGGAAATATGGGGAGGCGCAGAGGTTTGACAAGGCTGGTGATAGAGCGTTGAGCGCTCAGCGTTCTTTCCAAGGTTCGGTCCACTTCCTTGGGGTAGGCGCGCTAGCCTGTTGTGGCATGTAGTCACAGAGCGCTTTTCAAGATTTCCTGTGTTTATGCTGTCAGAAGGAATTCAGTTCTCATTACGAAATATGACAAGAAGTTTATTCGAGCATCGTTTTTCTGTCAAACTCAGATACGTGTGGTTAAATTAGTTGTCTTCGTTGGCAGGTGTCGGTGCGGCAGCCACCCCGCATATCGTCAAAGCTCCATGCACCCCAGCTATGACATCGCAAATTGCCGGCACTTGTTGCGTTGGAGTCAGTTGACAGACACCTTACAGCCTTGGAGTCTCGTCCGTGAGCTGCCTTACTACCTTCTTCTTCTGAATACCTCCAATTTCCAGTCCGCTGACCGTTCGGGCCGGCTCACGAGCTAAATGACGTCGTCGTGCTTTCAACCTCGTGGGTCCATCGAATAGCTTCAGTGAATGTTGCATCCGTTGCCAAGCCGTCGATGCTCACCAGATCCATAAGCGGGGTACCTCCATTCGGAGTAACAGGCAGCGAATGGAGCAAAGACAGTCGGTGACCATGACGATCCATGTGTGCCGTCATAGCCCCGAACATATACTCCAGAGTGATCCTCGCTGTACATTGTCTTCGGTACCTCTCTCTGGCTCCTCAAGACTGCCCTACTATCATCCGACAAGATGCGCAACCTCATGGTTCTCGGTGCGCTCTCCAATATACCGTTGCTCATCTCAGCGCAATGCCCAGAATACGTGGACTACGCGTTGGAGGTTCATGAACCTCTGAGTTCCGGCAAAAACCAGCTTGCCTATCAACGGCCGTCCGAAGAATGTCGAACTTTCAAATCGCAAGGCCTAGAGGATACTGTCGCGCGCATGGAACATGTAATCAAGGATCCGGACCTGTACCGCCTCTTCCAGAACGCCTATCCCAACACGCTCGACACGGCCATCAAATGGAAGGGCTACGCTGCCAATAACACAGAGGAGGAGCTGACATTCATCATTACGGGAGATATCAATGCGATGTGGCTACGAGACTCGTCGAACCAATTGCAAAGTTACCTGCCGCTTTTGAACGCCAGCAGCGACCCTAACTCAATCGCCAGCTTGTACCGGGGAGTCATCAACCTGCAGGCACGATACCTACTTGCCGCACCGTATTGCAACTCGTTCCAACCGCCTGCCGAAAGCGGTGTCCCTCCGGCAGAGAACGACTCCGCCAACGAAGACATCGTTTTCCCTGAGTATGACAACAGCACCGTATTTGAATGCAAGTATGAGCTCGACTCGCTCGCAGCGTTTTTGCAAATATCTGCCGACTACTACGAGGCCACCGGAGATGTCGAATTCTTTGGCAAGTTCCAGTGGGTGAAAGCTGTCGAAGCGGTACTGGATGTGGCCGAGGACATGATGCTTCCTACCTATGGTGCAGACGGAGCAGTCTTGCAGAGTCCATATACGTGGGAGCGAACCACTACCCGAGCGACTGAGACTCTTGCAAACGACGGAATCGGTAACCCCGTTGCCAACGGGACTGGCTTGATCCGGAGCGCGTTCCGACCGAGCGACGATGCCACCATCTACCAGCTCTACATCCCAGCCAACATGATGTTTAGCTCATACCTCGCTCCAACAGCTGAGATTATGGGCAAACTTAATGGTACAAACTCTGCAGCACTTTCGAAGAGAATGTCCGGGCTCTCGGAATCAGTGCGCAACGCTATCGAGACCCACGGAACTGTCGACCACGCAGTATACGGCAAGATCTACGCATTCGAGGTTGATGGCTTCGGCGGGCGCAACATCATGGACGATGCCAACATTCCGGGTCTCCTCTCAGCGCCATTCTTCAAGTATCCAGTCAACGAGGAGACGTATGCGAACACGCGCGATCTCGTGCTCAGCTCCATGAACCCTTACTTTATGAGAGGTCCCGTGATCAACGCCATTGGTGGGCCGCACCAGGGACCGGGTATGGCCTGGCCGATGGCTTCCATTGTTCGCATCTTCACGAGCGATGATGAGAGCGAGATCGTGAACGAGCTAGCCCAGATTGTGAGCAGTACAGATGGCTTGGGTTTGATCCACGAGAGTATCAACAGCTTCAACGAGAGCGACTGGACGAGGCAGTGGTTCTCATGGGCGAACGGGCTGTTTGGACAGATGATTCTGGATTTAGAGGAGCGCAAGCCAGAGATTCTCGAAACCAGTTTTCAGTAGGCTTGGGCTTGGAGGAGGGTTTGATGGTACGACTAGATGCTGGTCATACGTGCACCATGCATGCGCTGGGGAGTGCAAAGCTTTGAAAGCCTGTCAAATATCTCACATGCAATGCTAGTCATCACTGTCGTATCACGTTGCTGGTTCCTGCTCAAACTTTGGCCTGCATGCGGGCGGCGCCTGGACACGCCGCCTTCAGCCACCAACCCTTTGCGATGGAATAAGCAAGACCTTTTATGACTGCATAACCCTTCTTTTGAAACTTGTATACGCTGCGGCAAAGAAAACAACTTCCGCTCGCTTGCTGTATATCGCTAACTGATAGCTCATCCGCCGTCATCGCGGTGTAACCGATGCCGCTAGGAACCAGCCCCGGGGTTTCCAAAGCATGCAGCACCTCTCCGACGACCATGGTTGGCGATGGCTATCTGCAAGGCTGTGCCGCAACCGGCGCTAGGAGCTGTGTCGGAATTGTGACGCTCTCTGCGAAAACTTGGTTCGAAGAGTTCGGTGCCCAGTGGGTCGCACTAAATTCTGGTTTTGTCGCGATGGCAGGTGCTCAGGTGCTCAGGTGGTTTCCTCGCTCTCTCGCGCACCGGATACCTGTTGCAAGGTACGGAGAAGGGATCTGGACGACGAACTCCCCTGGCAGCGACAGCCATGCAGCACCTGGTTATGCGCCATGCTCGAACGATTGCATGCACCAAGGAAGCTGAAGGAATCTAGCGCAGAAGCCCTCGTGGAAGATAGCAGGGCTGTGAGTGGGTCGCTTCATCTTCTCCGGCGATCGTGTCAGGGGCCTGCGAATTAAGCGGCCGTGTGGCGGTCGCAGCAGTAACCGCGCGCTCAATCGAGTCGTGTCTGGCATGCCGTTGGCTGCTTACGACAGGGGAACTGGAGCTACCGTGCGATCTGCTTCCTGCTCCCGAAAACGAGATGCCGATATCCTGAACCCACGATGTCAAGATCCGGTCCCTTTACGAAACTGCAGCGCGGCATGATGCTGGTCAGCCGGTCTTGTCAAGTGAGGAGAACAGCAACTAGCGGTTCGGTCCCTTACTCTGCAACGGTCCCCAGCTCACTCCAAATCTTCGCAGATGGACTGGACGGCTGAGGAAATGAAGGAGCTGAAGTGTCTCCTCTTCGGCCAGCGTTGGCGGCCAATGAAGCCCATGACATAAGCCCAATAATGCGCCTCGCATTTGGCGTGTTTGGGATCAACTCTTCAGCTGCATCTCCGATTCTTCCCTCACGATTACTCTTTCCCTACCACAGCAAGAAAGCGCCAGTGGCTGTCATCCGCTTGGTTCCTGCCCGACTAGTACCGAACTACATCTTTGACTTGCGACCCATCTATTTGTCTCTTCTCTTCTCATACGCCAAATTACACAGCATTCACTCGCTTTTGGACCCCTCCTGATACCGTGTTTCACCTAAACGACATTTCAGCGATTTGAACGTCTATGCTAAGCGCTGAGGCTGCATCCTCCCACACTACATACCAACACCATCCACAGGCGCCAATTCGACCAATCTTGAACCACCGCGACTGAGGCTCTGTCTCCACACTCCAACATTCACTGTCTGCCGGTGACGAGCTGCATAAAACATCCAGCCTCTGTTTGCTTCACAAAATTCTCCGAGTTGATCTGATTCCTCGGACTGCGACGTCCCTGGTCAACCTCGCCATAATCATACATACGCGCAGTAGGCCAGTTTCAGCATTTTCTTCAAACGCTTGCTATTGCGCACCAATCATTCACCTACTTGCTGGAATTTTCGCCGACGCGACCATACAGAAGGAGCAGGCTAAAACATCCAACTCACCGACCTGCATGCACTTCTATAATTGACACCCACGATTCTATGCGACACATCAGAGGTGGCCAGGGCTTAGACGCATACGCGCTTCAACGCCGGTAGTCCTTGCTGTTATCAGCTTAGGTTAACCCGACATAATGGCCATGGACAACACTACGCTCCACACTTTTCTGTTGTATGTCTACCCCCTCTGTGCCTCACTCTAAGGCAGTCACTTATTCTTGCATCAAGTCACTGCCCAGCTGCACTGCGCAGTGTAGTTTTACTTGGATCTTGGGACAACTTTTCGCGGCCATATCCACTAGAACTCGACGTACGCGGGGGCCGAAATATCTGGAAAGGCTGCTTTACCTTTTCCGATATCATTTGCGACGGAGATCTGGACCACCAAACACCCAAGCGGGACGGACTTCTCAAGATGGGTGGGACTTACTGGTACTACGTAAGTTAGCTACTCTGCAGGGTCGACTTACTTATTGACAATGTACAGTACAAGGTTGATGAGGATGATGAATGCCACAATCCTTCTGAAGAGTCGACGACGTTCTGTCCTCTTCTGCCAGGGCAGCGCCTTAATGTCTTGGATGTGCCTCGCGAAGGGGGACACAGCCGCAGCATCTCAGATACCTCTTCCGCTTTCACACGCGACCCCAAAGATAGGTATCTGACTCCAGTACCACCTGCGAGCCTAAGGCCCCTACTGCCTTCAAGATCAGGTAGTAGTGGCGAGGCTTACACTTTGCCTCTACCTTCGCCTTGGACCCCAAAATCGGCGACGCATCCACCCACAGATGGGTTACTGTCGCCACATGTAGTGCGCCATGCCCGAAGCGCATCAGCATCTCCCTACATGCCGTCAACTCCCATCTTCCCGGACTTCAAGGTTCTGAAAGAGAAATTGGCATCGAAACGGTCAGCTTCGAGGAATCGCAGCGGATCAAAGACCAGAGAGCTAGACATCAGTGCGCCAGTACTTGTCAGTGGAGGAGAAGAGCTGAACCTCATCCCGCTGTCTGTGTACCGACCCTCAATCGAGTCTATCAGAGAGGTGGATATACCCACTACAACAGCATCCCGCGCAGTACCGAACATCCGAAGGCAGTTCTCCCCGCTGGCATCACATCCTGTTGATCCCGTTCACGACTCATTGTTTGGACCTGCAGAGCTGCCCACCGCTGATGAGCGCGCTGTCAGGCGTCGCCGCTCACACGTTCCCTCGACTGTGATCACAAGCGAGTTCAAGGTTGAGCAAAGTCGCCTTCGTGCTAACTCTAGCGACACAAGACGAACCCAACATTACCTATTCTCTAATGATCCTTGGCTTTCGTCTCCGAAGCTTCAACAAGACTTCGAAGTGGAGGACCGCGTGGTGGAGGATGACACCCCATCTGCGCCTGTACTCTCACGACCGTCGACCTTCCTCGGTGCTCCTATGTCGAATGAACGACCTACATCAAGCCATGGTGGCATTCAAAGCACAGAGCTTCGACAGTCGCCGCTAGACAAAGAGCTTCCGGCCCTTCCTCGCTACCTGATACCCGCACCACTTTACGCCTGCAACGAAGTCACGATCAGTGAACTACCAGCCAACGAACCAGAGAACGAGTTCGAAGAAGACGAAGACGACGAGCGTCTCGACAACTTCAGCGTGCAGTTCCAAGACAAAGCACGCAGCCATTTCTCTACCTGGAGCAACGACTCCATTGGCTACAACTCACCCATCTCGGACAACAATGACGACGTCGTCCTCTCCCCCACCTTCAGCTCCCTCACCAGCAACGACAGCGACATCGACACGCCCCAAGGCCTACTAATCCACTACTCGTATGCCTCACCCCGGCAAGCATCGGCCTCAAAACACACCTCCACCGTCCCCGAAATCCAAACCATGTCCAACGACACCACAGACAACGAGGAGGAAGAGTCAGAAGAAGGCGTCCAATCCCCCTACCGCCTCTCCACCCCACCCCAACTCAACGAACTCCGCATCTCAACCTTCGGCTCTGACCTCTTCAAAGTCGAGACGCAACACTCTGACGCGTCGTCACGGCGCTCGTCGCGGCGCCAAGCGGCTTGCTTTGGACTTGGCTTCCAGTATAGTCTGCCCGAGCATGACGTTACGAGCAAGACTACGCTTGCGGAGTCGACGGTCGTTGGCGAGACGGAGTGCATGCAGCGCACGATTAGTGTGCAGAGGGAGGGTTCGATGAGTGGTGTGCATGCGCTTATGGAGGACTTTGCTTTCTTGGGCGATGCTGTTATCTGAGACGCACTGCGTTAACACTCACGTACGTTATGGCATCGATGCACAGCTCACCGCGTCCGCAACATTTACCTGCGCATGTCTTCTCGCGATATTTTCGCTTCTTCCAGCTTCTTTACGGCCGAATAGATCACTCTGTCTTCGCCTTTCCAGATATGCTTTTTCCATGTACAGCATTCAGCTTTTTTTTTTTTTTCTTCCTCTTTTCAGATACCATCGATGCGATTATCTAGCGACTTAGCAGCGCATTACAGGGGAGGCTTACTTGAATCGATGATATAAGACGCACACAAACAGATGTACGACCTTCGGTTGTATTCGCTGTGCGAGATTGGAGGAGATATGAAGACAGCATGAACAAATAGATACAGAATGATGTTTTGAGATAGTAGATAGTAGCATCGCAAGGTGATGAGAATGGATCAAAACATCCATCAACAGAAGAAAATAGTCAACTCTGTGTGTGATGATTACAATGTTCACGTCCAAGTTCACTGGTTGGGCGAAATTCGAAATTGGCGTAAAGTGCAGTGATCAGTGCAAATCTTCTTATTCCACTTCGTCTATCTGATTTATCCTCTCCAGAGGTCAGAGCTACCGATGAGACATTCCGAATAACTCTTCGACCCTCCCAATCTACCACCTTTCGCGTATAATACCGACTTCTATGAGATGGAATAGTTCTCAGCAACAGACTTGACGTCCTTGGAGAAGTTGATCTCCTGGCCCATGGAAAGAAGAGTCACAGAGGAGACCTGCGATGTTTGTTAGCTTTTGACGTTTTACAAGATCTGGGGGGGAGATGACTTACATCGACGTCCACGAATGGTGTAGCCTTGCTGAACCGTACGTTCATAGGGAAGAACTCGGAATCACTGCCAGCCTGTGCCTCAAACTCGAAACTACCGGAGCTGTTTGCATCGTCTACGGCACCAATGTTCCACTCAATGCTGTCACCACTGACTTCGTATACGGCGTCGAAACTCGAAACATTGGGCTCGTCGGTCTGGTATGGGATGGTGACGGTGACATCCTTCAATGAGTCGCCGCCGGTGAGCTCGTACTCCACAGTGATGTTGTACATGTTGCCTGAGTCCTCGACCCATACGCGGAAGGTAATGGGAGGGTCGGAGATATCGTCAGGCCGTGGTGCCAGCTTCCACTTCATGACGCCAATGCCCATGTTTGAGGGGAAGCCCTTGCTTGTGTCGGCCAGCTGGAGGACCTTGTCGTTCCTGAAGACTGTCTTGTCAACCTTGGGATGTGTCATCAGCTGTGCGCCGCGAGTGTCACCAGTGGCCAGGTCGAGCTTGACTTGGGTGAGGGAAGGGTCGGTAATCTTGAGTTGCATCTCGCCCTTGACTTCGAAGGACTTGAGCAGACCCTCACGATCCAGACGGGCGGAGATGGTCTCGTTGGTAGTGATGTGCACGGCTTCGCGATCGGTCGAAGTGGATTGGCGTGCGCTTGCTGGAGCGACTGCAGCGGGGGCAGATGGCTTGGGCGCGACGAGCGGTTCCTCCTCTGTTGGCGCCTGTTCGCCAGTGACTTGCTCGTACATGTTGTTGGTCTTGTTCTTCTTGCCGAGCTGCATACCCTTCTTGCCCAGAGCCAATGGCTTGCTGGTGGCCTTCTTCTTTTCGGCCTCGTAGCTGTCGTATGTGTCGGTGACATTGGTCGTGGGCACGCTGGGCGTGAAGGCAGGATACGAAGGTGAACGACCGCCCATGCCACCACCCATGCCACTGCCCATACCGCCTCCCATGCCTCCACCTGCTCGCTGGGATCTTGACATCTCCTTCCTTTGCATCTCGAGCTGCTTGGCCCGGCGCTTTCGCTCTTCTGACGCCTCGAGCTCCTTATTCCGTGCGATAATTTCCTGGATGCGCTCCTCATGCGATTCCATGTCCAAGAAGGTCTTGATCTGGCTCATGGTCAGGTTCTCCCTGTAACCCAACGTGACGATCTCGTCGAAGGCAGTAAGAAGCTCAAAGGCATTCTTCTGGATCTCGCGCTCGTCGAGGGATTTGCATATCGAAGAGACAACCTGCGCAAACAGGTGCAGCGAGTTGATGTCTTGCAGAATGTTGGATTGTAGGTTGGTGATCAGAACCATGTAGAGTTCGTCGAGGGGTTGGTATACGTAGCGCACGTTGTCCTGTTCGCAGGTTGTGTGCTGGGTTCCGCTATCGGCGAGCTTGGGGAAGGATGCGAGGAGGGCCTCAATACGGGAGCGCTGCATCTCACGGAATTGGCGGGAGACGACCGCCTTGCCGCCTCGGGTGCATATCGAAGCTGCGAGGACCACCTGGCTTCGTCAGCTGGGTGTTGTAGAGGGAGGCGCAACCAATTGTGTTGTGTGTAGTCTCATACCATCGTTTCTAGAATTTGGACGAGGTCGCAAGGGTAGACGGCGCTGTGTGGAGTGTGGAGGCTTCGTCAACAATGTCCCTAGACTTGAGGCCGCGTTGTCGAAAGTGGAGGGGAATATTGTCCGTCAGGAAGTTGCTAAGGAACACAATTCCGCCTTTTGTGTTTACGGGGGGTGAGAAGATGCAGCCAGTACGAAGAAACACGAAGACGACACGACTGTATCAAAAGCAGGACTCGAGCTGGACAGGTCACTGAGCCAGCCCAACTGCACCAGTCGCAACACCTGGAGGTTCCAAAGTGGACACCTGTAGTCACGTGCAGCTTCCGTCTGCCTAGCGGCAAATCCTCACTGACGCGGCTTCCCCTCCGTTGGACTGTTTGACAGCATTTGCAAGCTGCAACTTGATTACTTCTCCCGCCTTTCCTCGCGAGATATATTTTGCGCCGTCACGAGCAGCAACACCCCAAAACTACAAAGTGCATCCGCGTCAAGTGTAAGTGAAACCATCCGAGCATCTGCCACTTGCCCGCTTGCGCCAAAGCACTTTCCCATCTTAGCGCGAACACCACCGTGCTTCCTCTGTCCAATTTCCAGACAAGCCTCCTCATCCTCACCGCGTACAGGCTCTCACCATCGTAAACCCCGTGCGAAACTCATCGCCATGCTCTTCTAGCCTCTAAGCGACGCTGCGCACTCACCACAAACCCCGGTTTGCCGCATCGCCACTCACCAAGTGACTCGCCCCCAGCTGTGACGCGCTTCCCACACTCCTTTTGTTCGACGCGTTTCGACCGACAAACCAACACCTGCAAACGCCTTTCTTACACCCTTAATCGCATACCATGGCTGCCGCAGCACACACGATACCAGGTTTCGAGTTCTCAACCGCCGACGACGACGACAACAACAACATGGATCTGCATTCTGATGATGGCGGCATCGACTTCGACGATGGTGACATCGACTTAGATCTCGACCCTCCGCCTTCCCAGGCCCAGGACGAAGAGATGTCCATGAATGATGCAGCCTCGGTCAACGACATGGGTTCTCAAACCGTACCTGGCGAGCAGGACGATTTCATGGTCGACCAAGAAGACGTGATTGAGGAAGAGTATAGCTTCCAGGAAGATCAAGGCGTCACAGTCGTTGACCAGCCTGTCGCACCGCCCATACAGTCACCGCAACCTGCCGCAGTCGACCTTCCTCCGATCCAGACCAATACATCGCATCAAGATGACGACCTAATTGACTATTCCGAGGAGGAGGGCGATGACTACCACAACCCCGAGCTACGTTCACCGTGGCTGCGAACCGAAAGCTACGCAAGCTATTACTCGGACGCGCAGGCGGCACATGATGAACTGCCCGAGGAGATGACTGAACAGCAAGATGAGATACCCGCTGACTTGCAAGCTCTACTTCCCACGCCTGCAGATAACAAGTCGCCCAGTCCGCATCGAGAGCCTCAGCCCGCAGCTGATCACAGCCCGACGCGCACAGCGGCGCATGAAGCTGCACCCTCGCCCCGCCCGCATTCGGTCGACGACAACGAAGAAGACAGTCAGAATGAAGAGGGTGACGGCGGTGTCATGTTGCCAGGCCCGGAAGAACATGCAGATGGTGAAACCCAAGATCAAGATTCGACACACCACGGCTATGATCAAGAAGCTACTGCTGATGACAGTGAGCATCATGACAGTGACTCATTTGAATTTCCATCTGTCACCGTGAATTTCCATGGCGAAGAATTTTGGCTTTTCAAGCAGCATGATTACGACAACAGTGGAGACTGGCTCATTCAGGACATCTCGCTCGCGAAGGCCAGTTTGTCAGACCTCTTTCAAGCATGCCGTATGTCACTGTGTGAGGATGTGTCAAGCGAGACAGAGATCGGCTTCAAATTCGAGCACTTGCAGAATCTGGAAATCTTCGAAGACAACACGGCATGTGTAGCTGTTTCGCTTGAGCGTCTTGTGGGATATTACCGTTCGCTTCATGCACAAGATGGCAACAACAACCCAGACTCCTTCTATATTTCTTTGATGTTTCGACCACGCTTCGCTACTCTGCTCTCAGACATCGCGAAATATGCCGACCAAGGAAGCGGCTACTCCGCTTTTGAGGCTGCCGTCATCGCTGGTGAGACACATTTCGCCGGCATGATTGCTGGAGCTTCGAGTGATGAGCCCACTGAGTGGGACACCCGGGAGCAGGACCAAGAGTATGGCGAACAGCAAGGAGAAACAATCGATCCTGTTGAGGAGCTAGAGTCTGCGAATGCTGAAGCACAGGCACCAGAACATGACGGCGAGGGCGATCACAACGAAGGAGAAGATGAGCAAGAGGCTCACGACGGTGAGGATAACCACAACGAAGCAGAAGATGAGCAGGAGGCACATGACGGCGAGAGAGTGGATATGCAGGAGGTGGAGCACACATCGGCCGATCATGCTTCTTACAATGAGCTCGATCAAAACGAAGAACCCACTGGGCAGAATGCTCAAGAGGGTGATGGTGTGGAGGGTCTAGAGCGCGAGGACGTTGAGGTTGTACATTTGCCAGAAAAGGGGCAAGCACCGGCCCCTGAAGAAAGCCACAGTGTGCAAGCTGCTAATCCTAGTGACGTATCCGCCAACCCCCAGGAAGTTGTAGAGCAACCTCAGCAAGAGAGTCCCAAGCCGAGTCAGAAGACCGACGCCGAGTCGGAGGCCCTTCGCTTGCAGGAGCAAGATGACTTGATTGACTACAGTGACGATGAGGACGAGCCTGCTGTGGATGTCAAGGAAGCTGAAGATGCTTCCGCTAGTGACCCCTCGCCCTCGTCAGCGACGCTCCAAGACGATGAATCGACCATTGCAGATGGACATGGCTCCACTGTAGGCTCGACCAGCCACAATGAGGATGCCGCCGAGAACGCTGAGGAAGCTGGCGAAGACCCTCATGGCGAAGCAGTACATGATCAGACTGAAGCCAACGACGACAATGAGCAGTCGTACCAGGACTTCGTGCAGGTCTTTGACGAAGAAGACCCCTTCCAGGACTTTCAAGCGGATGGAACAGATGACTATGGTGCAGACGCATACGACGGCGACACTAACCAAGACTTCGCCAACCAAGAGTACCAGGATCTGGACCCACAGCCAGATCTGGACTTTATGAACGGAGACGAGTTTAATGTTGCTGGCGCCGATGTGACGGATGGCAACGATTTGAACGGTACGGACGACTTCCTGGATCTAGAAAACAATCCCGAGTGGGACGCCGAACCGGACCTGGCTCAAGATGGCCTAGGGAAGCCGGCCATTGCACATGGATACGCCGACGCTCAAGACGGAGAGGACGGTGTGGCTGGACAGACTGCGAACGCAACGTCTTCGGCTGCAGATCCTACAACGGCCTCGTCTAACGATGCCAATGATGTGTCCCCACAAGGACAAAAGCGATCCATCGACGAGGCTGGGCATGGAGCGGATATTGCATCTGACTCTATAGGTAAGATGATGCCCCTTGCACGTAAGCACTCATGCGCTGACTATTTTGCACCAGACGCGAAGCGCCCCAGAGTATGAAGGCCCACCGTCCTCCGAGTCTACGGGGTTTTCGACTCTACTAACAAGCAGCTTCACTTTCGCCCTTTCTTCGACCCATTACGCTCTTGAACTAATATGATGTATACTAATAACAGGTCCGACCATGCAGCGCGCGCCGCCGGACACCAAACCTTATGGAGGAACATGGCTACCAAAAGGTAAGAGAGTGCGTCGTCTTGCGCGTTTTCTTTGCGTTTTGCCCTGCCACTACAGGGAATGCAATTTTGGCGTTGTTTTTTTCTTCTGCGCGAATTTTTGGAGTATGCGGGGGTCAGGATGATATGTTCTGGGGTGGATGGGGGATCTGGTGGTGGAGAAGGTGGAATCTCAAGTTGTCCCGAGCCATATACCCGATGTTTTAGGTCGAAGTTCAGGATACCCTGAAGGGACTCCAGGCACTTCCAACCCTGAGTGGGAGAGCCTGAATCAAGAAGTCACATGCACAGAATGATCTTTAGCCATACCGCGGTGGTGAATTGTTATGTCAATCACGATCAGTACAGCGACGTAACCATTGTCGATTGCATATTGTGGGGAGGCGATTACGAGGTATGCTATTTTGGTTGCACCTGAGGAAACTAAGCAGATCATTACGAGGCGCAGCACTTGAGCTGGAGACCGCACTATTGGCAAATTGACTCCACACACAGCTGTTCCTGGTACTTGACACTTGTAGAGATGGGGGCCACAAGGCCAAGGGAAAATTGATAGCTATATTTGCGGCTAGATATTGCAGGATGGAATGCCGCGTCTTTGTCTGACGAGGAGATCGACAGGCTCTAACTCTAGCGTGGGTGAAGCGCGAGGACGGGGACAGGGGAAGCTAAAAAAGAAGCCCCTGCGTAAGACGCAAGCCGCCATGAAACCTTGGGGTCATGGCACTGGCGAGACCGATACGGCACGCCACCTTGTTGGGAAACGGGTTATCGATAGAAAGACGCGCACGCATCTTAGTCAATCATCACAACACTGTGCGGAATCATTGCACTCGTTCTCACCCTCGTTCATTGTTGCTGAATCGTGCCCTTGGTCACGAGATTCCCCGCGCTCGCTTGCTCCCTCGACACGTCTAGACGTCTCGCCCACCTTTGTTGCAGTCACTTGATCCTTGGCTCGGCACAGGAACAGCGTTTGGTGAAACGCGAATCGCTTCTTGCGCAAGCATCCCCAACCCACCACCTCTTCCGTCGCATCTGCCATCGCACCTGCATATCATATCTATCGTCCGTCGCAGTTCGTCAGTCAGTCAGTCAGTCAGTCCGTCCGTCAGTCAGTCAACTCGGCGCTTGCGCATCATCGCTCCTTCGACTGGCGTCCTTCCTTCCTCCTCGGCAGGCCACGACACAAACGCCTATCGATAACCCCAGTCCGCGCAATCCAACGTCAACCGCCGCGCACTAGCTTCACAACACCCGCGCCCGTTGTTATCGCCTGCGCACATTCACAGCGCCATCGATATTGATATTACCTGGCCGCAAAGAAACAAGACAGGTCGCATAGACCTACAACAACCGGCAAAATGGTCGAAGACAAGTACGTTGCGCCAAGGCACGCCGTTCTGCATGAGAAGCCCGAGGAACTGACGATAAGGATAGATATGTAGGACTCATGCTGGCCGTGAGCTCGTCACTAGCCATTGGCGCAAGTTTTGTCATTACGAAGAAGGGCCTCAATGCCTCGATGGAGAAGCAGGGCTTCAACGGCGACGGCTTTGGATACCTACAGAACCCCGTGTGGTGGGCCGGCATAACAACGAGTGGGTGCACACGCGATACCATACCGTGTGCGTGACTGATGGCATACAGTGGTACTCGGCGAGATTTTCAACTTCGCGGCATACGCCTTCGCGCCCGCCATCCTCGTGACTCCCCTCGGCGCGCTCTCAGTTCTCATCGGTGCGGTACTTGGCTCATACTTCCTGGACGAACAGTTAGGACTCTTGGGCAAGATTGGCTGCGCAATATGTCTTATCGGATCTGTCATCATCGTGCTACATGCGCCGCCGGACAAAGAGGTCGAGTCCGTTGAGGAGATCTTGAATCTTGCGCTTCAGCCAGGTACGTTTACGCGCGCTTTTCTCATCCAGGCTACAACAAAGACTAACGTAATGTTTTTAGGGTTCCTCTTTTACTGCGCTTTCTGCGTCGTCTTCTGCATCTTCATGATTTACAAGATTGCGCCCAAGTACGGTCGCAAGAACCCGCTCATTTACCTCTCTATTTGCTCGACCGCTGGCTCCGTCTCCATCATGTTCATCAAGGCCTTTGGCATCGCCCTCAAGATGACGTTTGCGGGCAACAACCAGTTCACGCACCCCTCCACATACGTCTTCGTAATTTTGGTGGTTGGTTGCATTCTCACACAGATGAACTACTTCAATAAGGCCTTGAGCCAGTTCTCGACAAACATGTACGTTATGTACCCTTCAATTTCACCAACGAGTGCTAACTACCCACTTCAGTGTCAACCCCCTCTACTACGTCATGTTCACGACTTGCACCCTCGTCGCATCCTGCCTCCTCTTCCAAGGATTCAATACCACGTCTGCCGTCAATACCATTTCCCTGCTCTGCGGTTTCCTCATCATCTTCTCCGGCGTATATCTGTTGAACCTTTCACGCGAAGACCCCAACGGCAGCAAAGCATTCGGCTCGCGTTTCACCGACGGCCCGCCTTCGGACGCCATATCCGGGTTCCCTACAAGACGCAGTATGCAAGCGCGGCGCAGCGAAGAACTGTTTGAGCGACAGTCGACTGGTGTCATCCGTGATGGCAGACCTAGCTATGCGGACGCTGGCGACCGTAGCGCGCTGATGCATGACTACGACGTTGAGAACCAGTTCGAGCTTGGAGATTTGGCCGACAGCGACGATGAGTTGGAGGGCGGTCAAAACACAAAACGAACAAGCTTTGATGAGGAGGCAAGGTTGAACGGTAGACTCAGTGGCACAGGCAGAGGGCGCGTCCAGAAAGAGTCGATACAACCGAAGAGGAACTCGTCAGTCCGTTAGAACAGTCCGACCGACGAGGGAAGTCGATGTGTACAGGCTTTTGCCAGTTTAGGGCGTCTCAAGACATACGGAGACAAGTCCTTGGTTTGAGGACACGACTGGTTTGCGGAATTGCATTGTATCGCATCGTGGCGTTTGAGGTGAAATTTGTAACATGGGGTTTAGGGTAGTGGAACAGGCGCCTCGGATCAAGGTGCCGGCCACTTGTACTTGTACTATGATAGCATGATATGTATACCCAGAAGGCATAGAGGAAGGATGGTATTCTTCTTTGGCACTTGAATTGCAAATCTTTTTTATGTTCAATTATGAGGCATCAAGTTCACATGCCACGTACTTTACCTACCTCCTTAAGAAGTGTATCTCGCACGATATCATGCTGAAGACGATTTACTATCCATTCCTGCAGTTCCGGGCTCTTATCGTGTTGAACAACGTGATAGCGCGAGCGCGCTAGGCAGATCTGGTCTAGAACGTGACTTCCATATGCACAAACAAACCATCATTCCCAACTCACAAACCGACTTCCTCAGCAACGGCCTTTGGGGCCGACAACCTACAGCCATGACCACGACCGACTCGAGCAATGGGCGGCAGCTGTTGCAGCAAGCGGAAAAGATCTTACTGCACCCGATTCACCCACATCTCATCTCATACTGCCCTACCATGGATCTCATAGCGCTAGTCACCGATGAGGAGAGCCTCGACGTCTACAGAATTAATGGTCAAAGAGCGTTTGGGTTAAAAAGGAAGAGCGAGGAATTGCGCGTCGATGCGCTGCAATGGGAGTTCAATGGCAAGAGTATCGCGGTCAGTTGGAGCGATGGAAGCACGGACTTGGTGAGTGCCGAGACGGGGAAGGTCACGCACAAGGACGTCATGCTGCCGGAAGTCGAAAGAGCCACTAGTAGCATGACAGAAGAAGAGGCTCCTGCCAGGGTAAGGTGCATAGGCTGGGGCCTGAACTTCATCAACGTGGAGACTGTGAAGAAGCGGACAGGCTTGAAGCCGAAGAATGCTAATGGCGGTACGCCTGCAAAGACTGATGTATTTGGCAATCCGACGACGGAGGAATGGGATGCGTTCAAGGATGATACTACGCTGGAGGACTTTCTGCAGCGACAGCCAGACTTTCAGACCTTGGATATCGCGCCTGACCTACCTGATCAGCTTGCTATGATGGATATGGAGTCGGTGCTACCCAAAATCCCCGCAATTCCCCTTGCACCAGCATTACCCTTCATGCGCGTCTCACAAGCGGATACTGGAGCGTTCAGTTCGCAAGCTGAGGTGGACTCGCTTTTGCATTCGCATCATCTGAAAGACCACAACTCTGTCGACATGTTCATTCGACTGACCGATAGCGGAACCGTCCATCCTTCAATATACGATTCACTCGAAACAGTCAACGTCCAGCTTCCGAGATCCTGGAACATGTCGAGCACGCCAATACTGCACACGAGCCATCCGTACAGCTGCACACACAGCCTCTTGATGCAGACATCATCCACCACTTCACCCCAAAAGAAGAGCATCGCCTACATCCCTCTGACACTGAACTTCATCCCCTCCGCAGGCATCTATCTACACCTCATTGCCGCAAAGACATCACAGCTCCAGAACCTTCTCCTCTACATCACCCAAACCCTCCAACGCGTCCGCGCCTTCTTCAAGCACGCTCAAGACCTACCCCGAAAATTCATGATGAATATTAGCGAAACACTCGAGGAAAAAGAACTGGGTGATCTCGTGACAAACCTCTTCCACACAGCATGCACAGGAAACTGCCATCCCGTTCTCAAAGAATGGCTTGTCGACGAACTGGCAGAAGCAGGTCATAAACGCTGGGACAACACCGTTACTTCCTCCTTCACCACGCTTCTCGCTTTGCTCCACGAGAACCTCATCCCAGCACTTGACCGTTGCTCGATCGTCATCTCGCGTCTACGTGGACTTGCGCAATTCCACGATCGAGATTGGATCTTCAGTGGACCAATGACTGATTTCTCGTCGCTATTGGAGACGCTGAAGAATATGCGGTTACTCGCGCACACGGCTATGTTGTACGCATCAGAAGAGAAGAGACAGTTCCACAGCTTCAGTAAATGGCTGAGATTTACCATTGACTTCGAGGCTACGGAGTTGGACTCGCAGTCTAGAGCTGAAATGGAACAGCGCGACCCGGGGGTCGACGTTTCGCAAGTATTGGCGTATATCCAGTATGGGCTTACCAAGTCGGATGTTACGCCGTTCTTCAGAGCAGAGGCGCAACTGGATGGTAAAGCCAAGGCTCGGGAGGCTGCGAGCTATGAGGATACGAAAAAGGCTATTGAGTTGTTGAGGGAAGGTGCGACGTTCAAAGAAGAGGCGTTGTGCTTAGAACATGTTCTTGGGCATTTGAGCACAGGGGTTACGGGACTGCTCAAGCAAATTAGCAGGTGGCAAGAAGCCAATATCCAGATGGACTCTGGTGTTGTTCTTGGAGAGGTTGGCGAGGGCGGGGATATGAGCGTACTGGATATGCGAATGGTGTTTGAGGTATGCCGCTTTATTTCCTTCCATCACCAATGCTTGAGCAGTCACAAGTACTAACGCTATGCAGCCATCATCAACCTCAGACAGCATGAGTACCTACGTCGCCGTCTCATCACCGTCTTCACCCGCCCTCCTACACATCCACCGCCTCTTGCACGCACAGAGTATATCCAACCTACAGAGAGACATACACGCGTACGCCATCTCCACCCTCGACTTCTCTTCCGCCTCTCAATCGACCAAAGACATCAAGATCCTCGACGCGAAGTTCGCAGACGACTCCTTCCTCCTCATCCTCTTGCAGCTACCCCTGGAGGACAAATCGCTATCAAACGTCATAGTCTCCCTAGCGTACACACCCGCCGCCAATGACGTACCTCACCAGCACCCTCTCATTATCTACACACCACTTCCGCATACTTCGCTACAGCAACATCTCCTCCCGCAAGGTACACCCCCGCCGTCGCCACGCAACAAAATATCCTTGACGCGAGAGTTGATTCAGAAACACACGCAACATGTCTTTGAGGGCCGCTTTACTCCGATGAAGTTGGTTGTGAATGGCAGGAAGGGCAGGAGAGTTATTGTTGTGTTGGGCCATGATAGGAAACATTATCGTGTGTTGGACATGGACTACAGGATGAGGAAGAAGAACAAGGAAGACGGGGATGAGGGTAGTGGAAGTGGAAGCGGCAGTGAGAGCGATGCGGACGACAGAGATGGCGATGTGGAAATGGGCGGAGCGTGAGTGTCTTAGATCTGTAACAACCTTCATTCCCACAACTCAATCCACGGCATGCACTTCTGTGGTATGAAAACCTAGGCGCATTTACTCATTGATAGAACGGCTTTTATATGAGACCGTAACGTCACAGCAAAGACACAAACACAATAGATGATGGACGATATCAGAAGTTCAGACCAGATGCATTTTTCGGAATCACATTCCCTAAGAACCTATCATGCATGCAAGCCACAGTAGAAGAAAGCCTAGCTTGCCGAGAAGTTTCCATTTCGTTATAACGCCCGGCCACCCGCATATAGAGGTATGGAGAGAATAACCGACCGCATCTTTGTCGTTCCTGTCGTAGACCAACGCCACCAGATCACAAAGCACCACTCTAGTCCTTTGTCTTCTGGGTACCACGGAGCAGACCTGTCCTCCGCGCGGCGATGAGACCGGCCTTTTGACCCTGGGTGGCGTACCGGGAGATGGTCGAGGCTTTACCGATATGCTGGTGGTTACCACCACCGTGGGGATGGTCGACGGGGTTCATGGCAACACCACGAGTCCTGGGCCAGCTGTTGCGCTTGGCAGCGAACTGTCGGATGTTAGTGGTTGCGCTCATCCACACACGACCAAAAAACATACCTTGTGCTTAGCACGCGACGCCTTCATGAGAGGCTTGTCTGTGCGGCCACCTCCAGCGACGATACCGACCATACCACGGCATGAGCTGGGAAGAACCTTCTTGGCGCCAGATGGGAGCTTGACACGGGTCTTGCCCTCATCGGGGTTGTGACCGATAACGGTCACGTAGTTACCGGAGGTACGGCCGAGCGCACCACGGTCACCGTTCTTGTCTTCGACGTTGGTGAGGACGGTACCTTCGGGGACGGAAGCGAGGGGGAGGACGTTGCCGATGGTGAGCGCAGCGTTCTTTCCGGCGTAGATGAACTTTGCAATGTTAGACATGATTCCAGTTGTTGCGGCTCAGGGTATTTCGACTGACCTGGCCAGTGTACATGCCCTCGTTGGCGATGAAGGTCTCGGTGTTCTGCTTGAACTTGTAGGGGTTGCGGAAGGTGACCCTGGCGAGGGGAGCGCCTGTTCACGAAATCGTTAAAAATGGCCCAATGTCCAATACTCGGACTGGGTACTCACCACGACCAGAGTCGTGGACGATCTCCTTTACGACACCCCGAATGTAACCATTGCGCTCAGCCTGCACCCATTAGCCCTCATATCCCAGTGTGTGTCCAATATCGCGATTGTGCGGGCGGCGAACGTACGAAGTCGAGCGTGCGGAACTGGGCGGGGTTCTTGTTCAGGCGGGTGTTGGCCGTGAAGATAGAGCCGCGACCCTTACGTTGGTTGCGAATGACCCTACCCATGACGACGGTGTTGATGTGAGTTGGATTGTCGGTCGTTGGAGTTCGCACAATGGATAGGTATTTCGACAAGAGCCCACGTCGCTTATTTTTTTAGTGGGTGCACGGGCCACTCTCTCCAACGTGGGCGACAGCCCTGGAGGCTCGTCATCAACAACAACACCGTCTTCGACTTTGCATTTTACCAAGAAAATTGTATCGACTGCCAGCATGGGAAATAACCGGTCCATGCGAAACTATGATTCAGCATCACCTTTCCGAATCTTCGTCGAGAAGACCATGCCGCGTTCTAATATTGGAGGTTTGTTAGACGAACATCACCGAATTACGCGCCAGAGTCTAATAGCATCTTAACGAACAAGAGTACACCTTCTTGACTCAGAATGGGACCTGGTCTTGGTTCGCGCTGGAGATTGAAGTCGTACTTTCAAGTGCGCGATGATTGTGGTGGTTTGAGGTTTTCAGAGAGTCTGCCCTCGGGGAAACACGACGGCTATGTTCCCGAGGTTGTATGTTGCGTGCACATGCCCTACTAATATTGCATCTGTACATGATGGGATCGAAAGAAGCGCAAGGCAGATACCGCGAGCACATACGCGACACAACGGCAATTTATCAACCAGCGTGTTCTGCTATGTTCAGAAACACGGAACCCAGGCCTTTCAAACTGCACTAATTCTGCATTTGAAGATATAGCAGAACAGCGCGAGTGCGCAACCACCAACGGAACACATACTCGTAGCCATTGTAAGGCGCATGTACACCATTACGTCATCACATTTCCATTCAGAAGAATTGTTGATCCTCAGTCTTCAAGATCTCCATACCCTGAAATTATTACGACGAAGTCTACATCACCTGATTCTCTTGTCATACGACTCCAAATGTCGATCTTGTGTCATTCGCCGCAAACTCAAAAGCGTACATGTCCGAAAGTGCTAGCTCAAGGATACCCGTTTTTGTACTTAAGGCTGAAATTTGGCACATGTACCATTCATCAAAGCAGCACAATAGTCGGTATTCACTCCTACATCACAAAAAAACATCACAAGCAAGAAGAAGCAAATTTTATAGCTGTCTGTCTTCAAGACAACAGACCAGAGTGAATTTTTTCCAGCAAAAAGATGCAATATGTACATGCGAGGAGTATGTCAAGACCCCCAAAGAATCGAAAGAAAGGAACGGAGAGAACCAAAATCTACAACAAGAAAACCCTCAACAACCAAGCTCTTCCGTCAACTGCATTGCGCCAGTGACGAATCAGTTCTTGATCCAGGTCATTGTCCAAGCCACTCAGTGGCCCTCATAAGTGTGTCAACACTCTATGAGCCGGTGATGGTGTACTGGGACTTGCCAGCAGCGTTGCCCCAGCCCTCAGTGGCAAGAGTCTGGTAGTTGTGCTGACCGAGGTTCATGCCGAGCTTGGCCCAGGCGTCGAAGTGGCACTTGGTGGTAACAGTGCCGCTGCCGGGCCTCTTGTTAACACGGTTGGAGATGTACTGGGTGAAGGTGGTGGTGCCCTGGATGGAAGGCTGGTTGACCTGGGTGTGCTTCCAGATGTCGTAGACGGAGCCATCGCAGGTGACCTGGCCCATCTTGGTGCCCTGGGCGGAACCAGCACCGTTGTTGGTGTACTCCTGGATGTAGTACTCGATCAAGGGGCCGGTGGTCCATCCGTAGACGGAGACGAGCACGGTTCCGGCTTGGGGCTGGGTGGAGCCCTGGAAGTTGATCTTGCGGGTCGTGCCCTTGTTCCAGCCCTTTCCAACGACGAAGTCGCCGGCGTTGGAGAAGTTGACGCTGTAGCCGTTGTTGGTGGGGCTGAACTGGACGTTGCCAGAGGTCTTGTAGTTCTGGTTGTAGTCCTGGCGGGCGGAGAGGCTCTTGCCCTGGACGGGGCTGAGCTCGAAGTCAGGGACATCGGCAGTGGGTGCGGCAAAGGCAGAGCCAGCAATGGCGGTGAGGCCGAGGACCATAGAGCTGAATGCAACCATTTTGAAGATTGGAAGGTTGGAAAAGTGGGTTTGTTGTAAAAGAACGTTGATTGGTAGTGGAGAAGTGAATGTGGAAGTGAAGGATGCTTGTGTAGATGCTTGGTGGTGAGCTTAATCGTCCTTCCAAGCCTTGGTCTATATACGACTTGACGGTTAAAAGGCTGTAAACATCTCGCACCAAACATATTGCGATTGTTTCAAGGTCCATGACCGAAGTCGCTGTCGCCTCGCCTCTAAGCGCTTGCCACTATCCGCATGTAAACGTGCTCCCGAGCCCCGGGGGACGCATTCCGTCGCTCGAACCCTGAACCTCAGACCATTCCACCAGTAGTGTAAATGAGCAGTACCCCCGATTAATTAAGCTCCGTCAAGCTACGGTAGATGACTATAGTGTTCTGTGGGGAAGCCCTGACGTTTCCTCCCATTCCTGCAGATGGTTGCATGGATCGGCGTGCTTATTTCCCTCGGCAAAAGCTTGGGAAGGCTTGGATACCCTGGATCTTCCTGCCATGCGAACAAACATACCGGTGGCTATTCTGAGAAGCATTGACGTGTTCTGTGACCACAGCATGGGCGTGGATGTTTTCTACAGTGAATGCGGTGTAAGGGAGGGGGGGAAATAGTCATGTGTGCCTGTGCTGATCGCGTCAGACGTGTCCAGGCGCCTTTAGGCAAGTCACACCAGCAGCGGCCGCTACGGAAGCCGAGAGAAGTACCGGCGGGAGCATGCGAAACTCTCAGCAACAGAAGGTTTGGACAGGTGTACGACACTCGTTCATCACTATCTCGGTGTTCTCACTACCATCGATTTATCGAAGAAACAGCAATAGGTAACCGGAACGCCTGAACGCCCCACAACGATGCCATCATGCAAACAAGTCCGCAATGCAGGTCCCTGTGAAACACCCTTAGGGCATCAACTATCCAGCGCCTCATGTTTCTGAGGCACAGTCCGCCACCATGCGCATGAGACAGCGCCACATGTCATGACGTTTCCACCAGTGTCGCGTTAAGTGTTGTCTCGTCCACTTCTTCCGATAATAGAAAGACGGCAGAACACCCTAGAAGATCAATGATCATCATCAAGGCAAAAGTCATGGTCAGAACATTTAGATATTAGTCCGCGGTACGAGATCGAACCGGCGGTGCTTGCCACAGGGCGAGAAGGATTACTGCCCGGTGTGGGTGAACACATCCTGCATCGGTACAGCTGAAACATCGCGTACCCACCTCGGAAACCTCCCTCTCATTTCCGATCATGTTCTGATGATGTTCTGGGCCCACGTTCACGTTCAGCACGGCGTGGTTTTCAATGGTCTAGATTGACATTGTTTCTTCATCAGCTGAAAAACAAGGCCGTGGAAATGATGAACAGATATCGACCGGGGACAAGATTGGGCAACGTAATGATATACAAGTCGCGTGAGCGAGAATACTGCCTCAATGACTTCAGCCATAGGCCGGTCCGTAGTGACGCCGCGACACCGTTGTGCAAGGCTAAAGCACCTGCCGCCGAATATAGTGCAGGCATAAGTTATGTACATGGAAGGTAAGGCGCAAAAATGCCATTCGCCCTCAAGACGCTCATGACAACGCAGTAACACACACGAAAGCTTTCGCCCACCCTCTAGCGTCGCGTAGCCTCAATGGCTTTCTCCAAACCGACGATCCTCAAACTCTTGCCTCGGCCAAGTTTACCGCTCATTAAGCCAGCAGCGGGAATGAGCTTGTCGTCCCAGTGTCGGAACAGCACCTTCATGTCGCGAGGTACACCTTCTAGTACGACCGTGGTCACAGGCATAAATGGTCGGTCTTCTTCCGAGACAGCAAGCATGCCGTACGCTTGCGCGAACATCAGGGCAGTGGAGAATGCTGGCGCTTGTGTGCGAGACAAGGGACCAACAATACTGCGAAGGATTAGTGAACTGTAGCAGAGATCTGCAACGATGGGGCAACTTACATGTACATCTCGAAGAACGCGTCAAGTACATATACGTTCTCCGGCTCCAGGTCCCTCTGCGAGAAAGGCATGATTTCTTTGACCTCGGTCTTGACAGCACCGTGCGGCGTCTTGGGCGTAAGCGGCGTCTGTGGCCTCTGTTCAGCAGCGTTCCAAGACGGTCTTCGCAGCAGCGGTGCGAAAAAGGAGCTGCTCACCTGGAGTGCTTGGCCCCATCCTGCCGGCTGGCCGGTCGTTTGTTCAATCTTGTAGAGACGCACGCGGTACTTATCCGACGTGGCTTTGTAGCGCCAGTGATCTGCTGAGCGGGGGATGGCGGGGCCCTTTGCTGGGACTTGAGAGGGTGGGAATGTGTTGTTGAGGAAGGCTTGAGGTTCGGCACCCTCGTCGATCTCGTTGTAGTCGCCCGTGGGCGCAAGGTCCATGCCCATGAGGCGCGCACCAGACAACTCCTCAGCGGAACAGCCGCGGCCCTTCCACAAGTACACCTTGCCGGTCGAAGTGGAAACGAGGTAGGGGAAGGCAGAGCATAGACTCTTGAGAGAGTAGTCTACTTCATCAAAGGCGAGGTGTCCGAGATGGCGACGGCCGCAAAGCATGAACTCCTTCGATCCTGGCTTTGCGCCACGTCGTGTGATAACGATACCACCCAGAGCCTCAAAGAAGTTCGGTGTCTCTTGACCTTGACGAATGACTACAAGCGTCCCTTGGTTCTGACGTGCATGGTTCTTTGCGAAGAGCTGTACATCTTCCAGAATAGGTTCGGCCACACCATTGCCAGCCCATAGGTACACGTCCGTGTGTCTTCCGCCCCTTGCATCACCATAGACGTGCGTGCACAAGTACATTGAATCTTGGAACAAGATATGCTCTTCTTGCATAGGTATAGGTGTGAGTCTACCGTCGCCGGTTACTTCTTGTATCTGCTTGCGTAACGTGCGGATCTTCCCTAATGGACCAAGGTCAAGTGGTGGGGATTTCAGTGTGTGCATAGTGTCTACGTTATCGGGAAGCTGGCCCTCAGTAACGGGCGCTTCATCGAAGAAGTCGGCAAACATCCCGTCGTGCTTTGGGATAGTTGGTGACACAATGGATGGCTCAGAGAACGGCCTGTTTGCGCTTCCGGGTGGTGACATAGGCGCATTCTTGGGTAATTGAGGGCTTGAGTCTCGCGATCGAGATGCGACAAATCCACCCAAACTTCCAAGGCTGAAGCCCAGGCCAACCGGTTTCGGCTTCGGTGGCAGAGGCTTCGATTCAGTCGGTGACTGTTGGTTGGACTGTGGTGGGTTGGGAAGGGCCTTCGTCTCTGGCTCTGATGAGCGAACCAGTCCGGCGTCCTTCATCGCAGCTTGTTCGTCCGCTTGCGTTGGTAGCTTGATCGGAGACTTCACCCTTGTTGGAGCGGGTGATGAGGACGCCGACGACCTACCCCATAGTGTGGTGGCGCTCTTGACCGAGGAAAACGTCGTCTTCTCAGGCGAAGGCTCATCCTTGGCTGGTGAGATTTCTACGTTGGGTGTTGATATTTCTCGGAGTGGAGTCGATCTAGGACTCTCCGCTGCTGGTTTTGAAGGCACTGTTTGCGGCAACGTCGGGAGTGGACGGGAGAATCTAGAATGCGATGTCGGCGTTGATGTGGGTGATGCGGACGTTGGTGTTTCGACTTGCTTTGGTAGTGGAGACTTCAGCGGCGTGCTATGCGATCCAGAGACCCGTCTTTCGAATTCTTGAGATGTTGGCTTATTCGGTACTCTTGGTGATGATGGTTTCGGTGAATTGATAGACTCGGGCCGTGGCGTCTTCGGGGTGGCTTGGGATCCAGATACTCTTCGGTCCAGGTCCAGAGACTCTGGCTTCTTGGGGAGCTCTGGAGTGGAAGTCTTTCCGAAGTTACCGGAAGAGATGCGAGATGATTTGGCAGGCGTGGCAGGCTTATCAGTCGACGACTGTCTGACCGGCGTCCTGGCTACTGGTCGCTCCTCTGATTTTCCGTTAGTCTTGGAAACCTCGGAGCTGGGAAGGACATGCTCTGGTTTCACCAAAGGAGCAACAGCAGCAGTAGGTACCTTCTCTTGAGCCTTTTCCTGAACCTTTTCCTGAGCCTTGTCCTGAGTCTTTTCGGGTTCGGCGGTCGTGGATTTCGGCGCCCTTCGCTTCGGTCCGCGGGCGCGGCCCTTGGTCATGTGTTGCAGCTCTGGGGCAGGTCCACTCTTCTCTTCTTGCGCAGGCCTGGTAGGGGACACGTCTACCTCAGCACTTGATGTAGACTTGTTCGTCGCTAGAGGCGGTGGACCTCGAGCGAGCATACCGGCTAGTGCAGGGTTGAAGCGACCTGCCAGCTTGCCAGATATAGCTGGCTCTTTTGTCGAAGTAGATGCAGGCTGTACTGGCTTATCGTTGATGGTAGGCCTGTTCGCCGCCAAACTCTTCCTCCTAGCCAGAGCTTCTGGTATGGGTTCTGGTTCTTTCGGGGCTCCAGCTTTTGGGTCACTGTCTGCTCGGTTCAGACCCTTCTTCTTTGCAATAGCTTCTGGTGTTGGAGGAGATGGTTTCGATGCGCTATCGGACCGCTTCAATGCTGAGCCCTCTTCCTGGGCCTTGTCGAAGATGGTAGATTTCCTCTTGATGAGGCTCTCCCTGAACTCGTCTTTCCGGACTGTAGGCTTGGGGCCTCCAGTCACGTTGAGTGCAGTCTTTCCCCGTGTGATGTTATCCTTGAGCACGTCAGGCGCAACATAGTTCTTGGTCTCCGCCTTTCGTAGACGGCCAAATACGTTCTGCAACTCATTGACCTCATCCTTCTTCGAATTGTCAGGAGGTGGTCGGCGCGGCTTCAGCCCGGCGCGGAAGTCCTTCTTGGGTGGGGTTTTCGGCCTCGCCGCTGGGGAGCCACGCCCTGTATCCTGGGTAAATCGCGATGCTACTGGCTTAGATTCGGTGGGCGTTGCTGGCTGTTCAGCTGTTGGCGGCGGTGATTGCGATTTGGTGGGTGTAGGAGCGGGTGCTTCTACGGCAGCCTTTTCAGGGGCGTCCTTGTCGACTTCAGGCTCAGCTGCCGCTGCTGGTGCCTCAGTCGCGAGCTTGGATTCTGACTTCTTGGCGAACAAGGGCTTCGGTGCCAATGCAGGTGTTGGGCTGGGAGACTGCTCCTTGACAGTCTCCATCTTCTTGGGCTCAGCGGCTTCCTCCTTCTTGGGGGACTCGGGCCTACGAAGACCGACAGGCTTCAGTTGTATGTCCTTGATGGGCGAGGTGCGACCAGACCCCGATGGCTCTCCGAATGGACTGCCTTTGCCCAGGTCAACACTACTGCGCTGTTGCTTGATGCGATTGATCTCCGCCATCCACGCAGGTTGCGCCGGCGCGGCTTGCTTGGGCTTAGGGGACTCTGGCCTGCTCAGCGCGCTCTCTAGCCAAGTCGACTTTGTTGGGCTCCACCGCTTCGAGGGGCTCGGAGGTGAGAAGTCGTCGTTCAGTGCGTCCTTGTCGCTGAAGGTGGATGCGACGGACTTGGCTCGGCTATGACGGTGAGGTAGGGCTGGCTTCACGAACTCGTCTTTGGGTGCGCTGTCTTTGTCGGCGGCGCCCGTGATGGTCGCATTGCTGTAGCTCGAGGCGGGGCGCGAGGAGGACGAGGGCTCGATGGAGTTGTCTCTGCTGAGGTTAGGTCGGTCGAGGCCGGAGAGTGAGCCGTAGCCTGTTATGGCGCTGCCGCGGTTGCTCAGGGTAGAGTTTTGTCTGCTCAGGACTGGCGGTGTCTGGGTGCTCCACCGCTTGCTTACGCTATCGCTGCGCTTAAGCATGGCACTTTGCACGAAGCCGCCCATGCCCTTGGTAGGCGAGGCAGATCGTTCCCGTTCGGGCGATATCCTCCCTTGTGTCGGCGACATGGCAAGGGCGCGTGCGGCACGTTCGCTGTCCCCACCGTCGATCGAAGAGCCTTGTTCAGACGGCGGGGCGAACTTTTGGGAGTCGAGCGTTGGGAGAGGAGAGCGCCCCTTGGCGAGCGGCTCTGCATCGCCCCCTGATATCGACGTGTTGGTGGAAAAGCGGTTGCTCATCATGGCGCTGCCGCGTACCGAGCCGCCGCGAGAGCCGGGCGAGCTGGAGCGTATGCTTTCGGCAGGCGGGCTGCTGACCTCGGGCTCTATGGTAGACTCGCGTGACATGCCCGGCAGCTGTCTCCTGCCCGACACAGATCCTGCCTCTGAAGCCGTCTCGTCTTGGTTTTTCCTGTATGCCGCTGAGCCCCTTCCGCTATCCTGTGTCTGTCGGAAGAAGGCTGGGTCCTTGGCGCCTAACGAGGCGGCGATGGAGGTTCTGGAGGGATTGGCCTCGGGCGACGAGGGCGGCTCGGGTGTGTTGCTGGCTGACGGGCGCTCGGGGGACCGCGATGCTACTGACAGCGGCCGCCGTATGCTGCCAGACTTTGGCCTCTGGTTCCATGATAGGGTGCCGGAGCGCCCCAATGCCGCAGCGCTGGTGGCGGGCTTCTTGGGCTCTGTGTCGTCGAGGGTCGAGGGCGTGGGCGTGGGCGAGCTCGTGAGGCGCTGCAGCGAGTCGTCGCGGGCGGTGTCTTGGGGCGGTGGGCTCATGGCGGGCGTGGGCGTGCTGGCAGCCTTTTCCTGCACCGTTCGGGGCGTGGCAGTGGCAGAGCGCGGGGACTGGGGCGTATATGGCTTGTCGGGGGAGATGGAGCGGGCTCGCTCTGTTTGGGTCAACAGCCGTCGTGAACTCTAACGGGCATAAAAACAAACCTGCTCTGCGCGCTAGTCGCTCGCTGCGGCCCTGTATCAGCTCCTCCTCGAGCTTCTTGACGCGCTCGGCATCTTCGCGGTCCCGCTGGTCGCCCAGCCGTTGAATCCGCTGCACAAACTCGGAAGGGTCGATTTCCCTCTCGTCGGACGCCATGGTGCTCGTGGGCGACGAGAAAGGCAGGCTATCACAGGCCAATGTGCGCTACGGGAGTTATGCGCAAGGATTGAAGCTGCTCGGCAGTGAGATGAATCCCAGGCGGATCTGGGAGCTAGACGGTCGTTAAATTACTTTGACTCGGTTATGTCATTCCTAGCCAGAATGCTCGGGTATGTTTCAGATGCGACGTCGACGTAAGCCCGCGGACAGGTAGCACCAAACGAGCGAATGAGGGAGAGAACAGTAGCAGCAGCAGCAGCAGCAGCGAGATAGAGGGATGCAGGTCGTCTAGACGGCCTCGATGGCTGTTTGTTTATACCATCGACGTCCAGCTGCGGCCAGTCGACGCCAGCTCCACACTTGGGCGGTTGGAGCTTGTCATTCGACTACCGCTATACTACCCGCATCCAGCCTTTGGGCTGCCGTGCCCCTGGCACCGCGATGCATGTCGACAAGCATCAATACAAGAACAGCCGCGCCTTTGCATCCTGCACCACCCACTCCAGGCCCTCCTGCAAGTTCATTCCCGTCATGGCACTGCAGGCCATAATGTGCCATTTGTGTGTCTTGATGGCGTCGAGTCGCAGTCCCTGTACGCCGCCGTCAGCATTGGCCCGCCAACCAGGCTCAACATCTTCCTAAGCCCTCACCCACCTCGCGAATCTCGTCTTCCGTCATGGACCCCGGCACATCGCTCTTGTTCTTGAAAACAAGCAGGCTCGCTCCAGACAAACGCTTCTTTTGTTAGCTCGTGGCGCTTGGGAGGGTTCATGCTTGTGCAAACCTCTTCCAGCAGCAACCCCGCCAACTCCTGTCGACAATCGTCTATCCGCTCGCGGTCAGTCGCATCGACAACCCAGATGAGCGTGTCAGTCTTCTCAAAATAGTTCTTCCAGTACGTCCGCAATGTCTTCTGGCCACCGACATCCCCTGTGCTGTTAGTACACGTTGGTGAGGGAACAACCAGGTGCAGTACACATATTGAGTTTGTAACTTTTCCGTCAGTCTCATCAGGCGGTCAAGGTTTGTCATACGTACCCGTCATACTCGATTGTCTTGATGATGAAACCAAGCGTAGGGCTGACACTGTTCACATCCTCGTTCATGATCTTCTTCACAATGGTCGTCTTTCCCGCATTGTCAAGCCCACTGATGCAGTGAGCCTCCGATCTCGCAGATAATCTTGGAATACGCACAGCATCAAGATTCGCATCTCCTTATCCTTGAGACGCGCTTTTCGCAGTATTGACAGCATCTTGTGCTTTTCACTTTCCGGGTTCTGTCTTTCTGTCAGGGAGTCAGTTGAGCAAGTGTGGAGCTCGTCCCTTCATCCGCTAAACTCTTTTTGGACAGTTGCCTTCGAGTGCATCGCATGCCAAAGCAACAAATCGTAATCTTGTCGCTCTCTAAATGTCCATCGTCTTACCTTCCGCTTTCTATTGTTGATTTGATTTGGGTAAGACAGATTGGAATTTTTTTTTTTAAATACTTGCTCGTCTGTCTCATCACGGAACATGTTTGTTCGCCGACTCACGATACTGGGTACAGTACGTCTTGATGTTATGTCGATAACTTTTTCCATAATGTTCTATCTCGATCGTGCCTGCTTACCTGCATGTCTGCATTTCTCGGCAGGCACTAGCGGTACACACGTGGGATGTGTCACAGCAAGGTAAATCCAGTGAGAGGAAGGAGGTGAGGTGAAGCTGGCATGCTCTCGCCAAACCTATTAGGCAGACTCATCACTAGGAAACCGTGGCTCGGGCTTTGAATGCTCCTCCATCTTAAGACTATCTTCTTCTTTATTTTGATCGCTCCTTCTGCTCCCATCAGCATTGTTTGGGACCCTCTCGTCCTCTTCCCAGTCAGAAGTGTCGGAAACCTGCATCATGAGCCGCACCGCGCGTAATTGGTGCCCGCGCAGCACGCTGCCTCCGCTGCCTCCATTGATCGAGCTGGACGATGCTATGGTCAAGGATGCTCAGATCGACACGAAGTTCGCCAAAGAATCCATGACTTGGCAGCAGGAAAAGGATTTCGGAAACCTCTCGGTAAGTGAAGACGCATCTAGCTTCCCGTACCGAATTTATACCGCTCCAGGGTGACGACGGACAAGTCTTGCCACCTGCTCCCAGACTTCCCACTTCCCCTACCCTTACAACTGACACGCAACACTAGCTTAACAAGCCTCAATCTGGCCATCATCACTGGGTGCCCTTCGCAGCTGAGGAGAATGCTCCCGTACAACCAGACGACCCGGATAGCTGGCTAGCTCGGCAATCCGAATTCTCCAACCCACCCAAGCAATCGCGTCAAAACGGCCGTGGTAAGGCAGCCGCTCACCACGCTAGCGCCGTCGAACCTCCCAAACCTACTCTCCCAACTCCACCCCGCATCATAGATCCAGACAAGAACCAGAAGCCGCCAAACAAAAGATCTTCGCGCAACAACAACAAGAAAGCTGGCAACAATATGGCCGGACCGACCAATGGAAGAGCGAGTGTATACGTTCCCCCTCACCTCCGCAACTGCAACTCTGCCGATGGTGGAAAGGCAGACTCTGCTCATGATGGCAGCGTCGCTATCAATGGATCGCCTGCTACGTCCGACCAGTCGAAGCTAGCGATGAACAGCAAGTCTGATCTTATCTCGTAAGTCTACCATCGCGTGCCTCAATGCCGTGAAAGACATCATACAATTCAGGTTCACTTACATGTGTGCAGCAATGGTGCAAATCATCAGCAAGATTCGTCTTCTTCGTCACCAACAACCTCGCGCGGCAATGGAAAGTATGGGCAGCGTAGATCTGCGATGCCTGAACCCGTCGCCTACAACGGCTGGGACGAACCCAAGGCTGAGCCCCCACCTACTACCAAAGCTCCGGGAAATCCACGATGGCCTCGAGGTCCACAGCCTTACAAGAAGACAGTCTGGCCCAAGACAAAAGATATGAAGTATATACCCTCAAGCAGCGACAGTGATGGCGGCGTCAGCTTCAAGTCTAACAGCAATGGAGACCCGGAGTACGACATCAAGAAGCTGACGGACTGGAATGGTGACTGGCTACCTGTTCCTGAGACTTGGAACGGACGTAAAGGTCACGCAGACCGTCATTTTGGCGCTCACATAGCGCAATGGGTTGACGCAATCCCTGGCGAAGCCAAGGTCCAAGTTTACCTCCCACCCAACACATTCACCTTTGGCAAAGAAGTTGCACCTCGCTACTGGCTGGAGATAAAGATCGAGGGTGACAACCTTAGGGAAAACTGGCAGAAACTCGTAACCACGAAGTCTGAGCCTAAACTTGTAGACGAAAACGATCTCATCGACTACCTACCTTGGTGGGAGCTTTACGAGGATACCATATATGAAGAGACCATGGATGCCGGTGACGGCCAGGACCAGAAGCGCCTCACACACGCATCTAGCTATCTCCACCCTCTGACAGCTCCAGATGCTAGAGTTGACTTGGATGATGAAAAATGTCCTACTGCACCTCATGTCTTGGCTTCCACTGAAGCCAAGGTCCAGGCCATAAATAAGCGTATAGCGGACAAGTATCGCAAAACGATGGCGAAACGGAGCCGTCCCATGCCAGAGTCAAAGCTGCTCGTTCAACAAATGGTAGATCGTCGGCTGCGTCCTGAAGCCAATATATACATTCGCCCTATTCAAGTCTCGGACGTTCTAGGTATCACAGTAAGTTGATCATGCTAGATCTTTAATGAACTATATGTCTTTCTAACACCAGCTATAGGAGATCTACAACTTTTACGTCAGGGACACCATCTTCACAGCCGAGTTCGATGAACGCACTGTAGCTCAAATTGCTGCGAGAATCAGTGATATTACCAGCGCAGGACTTCCATTCCTGGTCGCCGTGTCCAAGAGCAATCAGCACAGGATCGACCCAGGCTATGTGAACGAGAAGATTGTCGGCTTCATCAATCTCGACGAACACTGTGGTCAGGCGACTCAATTCCGCTACACATTCGAGTTGGAGTTGTTTGTCCACCCGGGGTTCGTTTCTAAGGGAATCGGCAAGTGCCTTGTGGATCGACTTTTGGAGATGGCCGATACCAGCTATCGCGCCCGTGGTGGATACGAGTACGTCAACAACTTTGAGTATCTCAAGACAGGGCCGTCAAGAGTTGTCAAGACCATCTTGCTCAACGTTCACCACGAGAATGGCGAAGACTTGGATGCTGGTTGGCGAGGCAAATTTCTAAGCGCTTGCAAGTTTGTCCGGGTTGGCAGACTTCCGAAGGTTGGACACAAGCATGACAAGGTCATCGACGTCTCGATCTTTGCGCATCATACCAAGGAGGATATCGATCCGAGCGCTCGTCCCACTGTAGCGGGCTAAACATGGTCGTACATGTTACTACCAACAACAAGTAAGTCGTCCATGCTTACACAATATCTCAAACACTGACACCGCAGCTGCAAGACAATTTCGCTGTAGCGTCAATCGTCGAGTACTCCATCGATGCGGACCAAATGAGTGAGCCTACTCTTGCACTTCAAAAGTGATCCACCAGATTGTTCCTTTTTGCTTTGAGTACTGCGGATTCGCAGTGGAAAATGCGTCATCTTGATGATGGTACGGAGTTTGCTTCTTTCTTCTAACTGATCCTGAGTGTCGTGGTAAAACTTGCATCTGGCGGAGTTTTGCGCACATGGACATCGACGGAAGACAGATTCCGTGCGGTCCTCTCAGTGCCTGCTTTCATGCCCACTATACCATATGTTCTTTCCTACGAAAATTAGATCTCTACTCTCAAGCACGCATTCCTGAATTGATGCAATGACCGCGGTGATGTCGTCAGCCTCCTTGTCGCGCACTGTACCCCACCAAAAGAAAGGGAGCGCGTCAAACCTCCCCACCCATGACATGTGACGTCACAACCTCCCCGAAGCTTGGAAACGCGCCACGCCGCGTAACCTGCGCAACTAACATAAAGTCGTTGCTCTCAAGACCCTTAGGCAACTAACTCAATAAACTCCTAGCTCCTACCGCATTTCGTATCCTTGGAATAAACAAACAATAAGCCTACACATACGCAGTACTACAGACTTACAAGCCGAAATCGTTCACCATGTCAGACAAGGAAGAGCCGCAGCAACAGCACATCCAGACCGAGCCCCAAGATGACGAGCAAGAGGAGAAGAAGGGCTCTGGAGGTCTTCTGAGCACAATCGGAGACCCCATCGGTAAGTCTTCTCTCCCCTTCTCCCCCTCCCCTCTCCAAACCACCACCAGCACCACTACATCACCCAACCCAACGCCTACTAACCCACATCCCAGGAAACGTCCTAGGCACAGTCCTCCGCCCCATCGGCGCGCCCCTCGAAAAAGGCGTAACAGGCCCCCTCGGCAACGCCCTCGGCGGCACCACGCGCCCCGCCCTCGGTCCCCTGATGGGCCACGAAGAAGAGAAGTCCGAGCTGCTGGGCGGCAAGAACAAGGATAGCTATGAGAGTAAACCGGAGAGTATTGCGGGGAAGGAGCAGACGGGGCAGAATCCGTTGGGCTTGGATCAGACGGGACGGTGGGGGTTCCAGGATGAGAAGTAGGTTGTAGGTGATATGGGGGATGTATACCAAATCGTGTGTTTGTGGATGAACTTTATGAAGTAGAGTCCAGGTGGAGAGTGGTTTCATGTTTTCGATGGTGTTGTTATTAGTACAGAATGATATGGGTATATTTTTTGGACGACTCCAGACGCCTGAGATATGGTGGTCGAGTGTTGTTAGAACATCTCGCTCATACCGCTCTCGCCCAAGACGCCCTCGTCGTATAAGCTCTGCTCCTCCCTCTCTTCTCTTCCGCCTTCTCGTTCGTCATGTGTATCATCCCTCCCCCTCTTCCCTCTAAACGTATCATCGAGCCCCTGCACCGTCCCAACACTATCCCCAAACCCATCTTCTTCCATCCCATTTTCCTCCCTACTATTCCCGTTAAACTCAGGTATCGGCGTCCGTCCAGTAAGTATATCGAATAAACTGTCGTCCGAATCCTCCTGCTCGTCCTCGTCATCACGCTCGAAGCGCAAGATCTTATCTTTGCCCTCAGGCCACACCAGTACGTGTGCTTGCTGATGACCGAATACGAGTGCGGGCTTTTTGTCCGGAGGGGTGGAGAGCCAGGTTGTTGACCAGCGGGGTGGTGCAGAGCCTGCTGGTTTACTGATTTGAGGGCATAGGATGAGAATGGCTGGGGGATGCTGGAAAGAGGATTGGTGGGCGGATGTGGAATGAGAGGTGGATGATGATGGTGAATGAGAGGTTGCGGCTGTGTAGAGATATACGGTTGGTTCGTCTTGGGTCGTCTGGATGAGTATACGGTTTGGATCGGTGGGGTGCCAGAGCAGGTTCTTGACTGGACTGTATTGGACTGTTATGCACCGAGGTCGGAGCATGGTAAGATCCCAGATCCACACTGTACATGGTGTGCTGTCGTCACGCGTCGCACATAATGTGCCGTCTGCGTTGAAAGTCAACATGCCGATGCCCTGCTTCATAAGCCCGGTTTCGTTCTTCTCCAAGGCTGCTTTTGGAGGGATGACGGGCTGCTGCGAGATTGTGAAGCTGCGGTTTCCCTGGCTATCGACATGTTCGCTGTATACGGGCGCACTGGGCACGTCAATGACGGGGGTGTGGTCCAGGAAAACAACGGGTGCGAAGGTGCGTGTAGACAGGATACGGACGCGACGGTCCCAACCCCCGACCGCCAGACGTTCATTGCCAGGCACCCATTCGAGCGTCTTGATGCCCAAACCTTCCACATCCCACTCGCTGGCGTCGTCTGAGGGCTCGCGGGTCATGGTGCGATACAAATGTCCGTCGGCAGTGTAGATGTGAAGTTTGTAGCCAGCAGAGGCTGCGTCCCAGACCGCCAGCCAGCGGCCATCGCGACTCCATCTCAGCCCTGCCGCATCGCTTGTCGTAAGCTCAACGCGATTGATGACCTTATATGTGCCTGGGGCCAAGAGCAATAGAATATCAGCGCCTGCTGCACGGCATAGCAGTGCAAGAACACCGCCTCTTCGTCTTCCACCCCTCGAGTCTGTGTCCTCGCCAGGCCGGTAGCCCCACCCCTTACCATCTTTGCCTACAAACTTGGGGTCGCGTATTTCTACGGCCCTTCCAGTCTTGAGACACCATATCTTGGCACATGCGGTGAAGTCGCTCCAGACAATGATTTCATCCTCGTTCGCACCAAACTCGGCATGCACATTCTTGCCCATGCCGCCTGAGCCATTGCTTATCACAGCGTTCCATCTTTCGTCGCGAAGATCGTATACGCGCGTTGTATCGTCGTCGGAAATGAGGACGCGGTTCGAGCATGGCCGCGGTGTGCGTGAGGATCGACGCGGTGGTGTTGAGCTGGGCGAGGGTCTCAATGTGGACGAGGTCAGCGGTGGTAGGGTAGGTGACGACCAGGCGATTCTCGAGTTTCTAAGATCATGACTTGAAGGTATCGTTATACTCCGCACGATCTCCAAGGTGGTAAGACAGCGTATTTGCAAGCGCGCGCCATTAAGGCATGCGGCGTGTGTTGCAGTTGGTGATGGGACGGAGGCATTAGTCGCTGGCACTGATCAGTAGCTACCGAGGCTTGAGGCTTCGCGTTGACGCTCACATTTGAACTGCGGGGTTACGACGACGTCTTCCATGGTCTGAATAGTCTTTTGAGGTACGCGACGGGAATGTTTGGATTCGGTAAACAAAGGCAGGTGCGGATGTTGGCCAATGGGAGCCCAAAGACGCCGCAATTAGCGTGGTTTCGGTCTTTGAACCAGTGCTGCGGGTAGTCGACGGGCGAAATCTCACATGTTCAGTCGCACGAAGCCGCTCAGAAAAGGCGACCTCTTTCATAATGCAAGAGGATCTGTTCTTATTCCAATCATAACCGTAACAGCAACGAGGGTATCGGTATGCACTGCAAGTCGACCAAGAAACGCTCCATAACACGCCATCAATCGTCCTGGGTATACTTTAGATGCAGTAGATCCAATCTCAAACCCAATCGTACTGTATAGAAGTGGAAAAGGGAATAAACCAAACGCTTGCTTGCTAGATCGCTCAATCCAAATCATCCATCTTCATTATCAGGGTCGCATCAGGGTCGCTCACGTCTGGTACACTGGTGCCTTGATCAAGATGCTCTTGCCACGAATCTGTACAAAGACACCAGCGGCCATGCGCACACGTGGTGGCGGGGCTTCGTCTTTTGGTCCACCAGAGCTACCCGGCGGATGTTGCGTAAGACTTTGCTGGCTGCCCCCTTGGCCGAGCGACGATTCCCGCTTGCCCAGAGTAGCAGGAGAAGCTGTCGGCTTCTTTGACCCACCAAAGCCAAACATGCCGCGCTTCTTGTCTTCTCTTGGAGGCTGGCTCCCCTGTAGTTGTGCTTGCTCTTGTTCGGCTAACGACATGTTGTCGTCAGGTCTAGAAGCCATGCTTCTGATCGAGGCTCTGTCGGCATCGTCCCGCTCCACGATAGGTGCTGTCAGCGCGGGGATGCCGGACTCGATCTTCATGAAATCGGGAACGATGCTATGATCAGGATAAAAGTACTCGATATGTACTTCGCGGCTTTCAAGGGGCAAATGTTGTGCAATGCCGATGGCGAGCTCGATGATCATGGGCACACCTCCATTGAGATCTGGAGGCGCAGGGTCGTTTAAATGCATTTGCAGAAACGCAATGAGTTTCTCGTTGAGTGTTTCAGTGAGCGACTCGCGATTGGTTGTCGCCTGTGGTGCCCTCAAAGTATCCGCGAGGCCCTCCAACGTGGCCAACCGCCAGTTGATAATCTTCGCAGCGAGCGTGTCTTCATCCTCGGCGCTATGACAAGGCGGCGAGAACTTGCGGATGTTGGAGACAATTGACTGCAGTTGCGTCGAAAAGCCCGGCTCGAGGTCTGGATGGAAGTACTTTTCAAATATGTTCTCCACTAGCCACTGCGAGATGACAGCGCGGCCAACAGCCGTCATCTCTTGCTTGCCTGTCTCGACGGCTGTTTTGTTGACCACCTTATGTAGCCACTGAGGTATTGTCTTCCAGTCTTTGCGGATTGAGAAGGACAGCTGTGCTATCAACCCGTCTAATCGATTGAAGCGTGTGGCATATTCGCTGTCATCCCAGGACGTACGAGACAGGGACAAGCGCTGGTTTGCGAGGGTGTTTTGTAGCTGATGGACCTGCGATTGCTGCTCGAAAAAGTATCGCTTTACCTTCTGGTACTTTTCACCTATGTTGTGTTAGACCAAATTGGCTCGTCCGCAGAGAATGTACTAACGCAAAACGTCATGCTCTTTTTGTAGCTTCTCGATTTCCTCCTCTGACATGTCGGCGACAGATGTCCTCGGCGGTGGCGTTGCCCGTCCCATCTCTGAAACCTGCTGGGGTTGCTTCTCACCGCGGTATGGCTGCCCTTGCGAAGCTGTTGGAACGACGTTAGCGTCGAATGTTGCAAGGCCCGGCGGGACAGGCGGCTGACCATGGGGCTGACCTTGAGCGGGCGGCTGTGAAAGCATGGACGACTCTCGCGACGGCGCGCCGGGCTGTGGCTGGCTGCCGTCGTTCGCTTTCCTGATGGTGTTCCTAGCATTGCTCTGAGCACTAGGCGCCATGTTGTCGTACGCTTGTGGGGGTGTTATGTTGGTCGGTAGTAGATCGGACGATTGGGGGTGCTGCGCGTCGTAGGTCTGGTAGGACGGCGGCTGGAGGGGAGACGGCGGGGCCAGCTGGTGGGACGAGGGGGGTCGGCGCTGCGATTCGAGTGTCTGGGCCTCTTGCGTGGTGTGAGGATGCTGACGAGACGCCTGTGGGGGCTGCAGGTCAGTCTGGTGCTGCGAGGCTGGCCGGCCAGGTTGAGGCTGTTGCTGCGAGTCTTGATGCGGCTGGAGCTGGGGCGCAAACTGCTGCTGCGGATAAAGTGTGCTTTGCTGCGGCTTGTCTAGCGGCGAGTGGCCCTGGGCCTGGAGTTTAGCTTGCTGCTGTTGGTACAGATAGTAAGTTTGCTGGATGTCTTGTGGGACTGGGCCACCCTGCCCGTGCAGCTGAGCGTTCTGGAGCAGAGGGCTTGGCACGGTTTGTGGGTTGAAGGCCTGGTAGTCGCTCGAAGCCTGGGGGTGCTGAACAGCTGGCTGGTAGCTCTGGTATTGTTGTTGCTGGTGCCGTGGCTGCTGGAGACCCTGGCCTTGGTGTTGCTCGGGGCTGTATTGATCTACCCCGCCTTGGGTCGAATAGCTTCCCTCCGTGCTTACCCTGTCAAGTGGGGGCCGATTGTACTGCTGCTGTTCCTGACGCGGCGGCGGAGCAAACTGCTGAGGCTGCGGCAGGTTTTGTTGGTACTGATGATCTTTGGGCGGCACCTGGGGCGTCTCGTCCTTCTGCAGGAATGGATCGAGATTGTCTTCGTCCTGCTCGTTCGAGGCGGGCAGATGAGAAGTCGACCCTTGGTGCTGATGCCACTGCTGCACACGGCTCTCTTCCTGCGCTTGATACTCCTGCGCGCGGGGATCGCTCTTCCGGACGGACTGTCGCCTGCCCAGGCCGTTCTTCTGTGCTTTGGCTTCTTGGTCCTTGTGCCCTTTGACTCCGGCTGCAATGCGACTGCGCAGCGATGGTTTCTTGGCTTCTGGCGCGTATGCAGAAGGCGAAGGCTGGGACTGGGGCTGATAGGGGACGCGATGAGGCGACTCAGCACCAGACGCTGGCGCAGGGCCGGGTTGTTGCTGGTAAACCTGCGACGGCGACGACTGACCCAGAGGGAGATGGGCACTCAACCTGTGACTCGTCGTGCGCTGAGGAAACTGTTCCCTATACTGACCCTGTGGAGGCGCGCCAGCCGAGACCTGCTGTTGTTGCACAGAAGGCTGCTGAGTCTGTACAGGCGCCTGCTGGCTGTCTGAAGTATGGTATCGCTGCGCGGCGACCTGCTCGTTCACTGCCAGCGCTTGCTCGTCAGCCGCGCCGGCGATTGGCCGCCCAAATGCTTCCTTACCAGGAGGTACGGGCGAGTGCTGCCCTGACGAAGAAATGTCGACAGATTGGTGCGACCGATTCGACTTGGTCCATGGAAAGTTAGGCATCGCAGTGATGACAGCTTCAAGCTCCGCCTGGAAGCAGGTTGTCGATGGCGGGGCGGAGACGACGCGCTCAGCTAATAATAAAACGAGACTGAGCAACCATAGACTATACCCGGGTAAGATTGCATTGCGCGGTTGGACAGATTTCTTCACGTACAGTGCATCGAGCTACATAGATGCACGGCGTAGGTGATCAAGCCCAAGCCGCCGCACGTGCAGGCATGCAGAACTAATGGAATGACATGGAGAAGGCAAGACCAGTCCCGGTGCAGTTAACACCGGACCAAGTTGCTGATATCGCGAGCCGTGGCAGTGCTGCTATTGCCAATTACCTGCCAGCCTGCCTCTAACGCCTTTCTGCTGTTCAAGCCTTCCAAGGCGCAATCGACGTTTCGTCCTCCCCGTTCTGTGGCTGCACTCCCGCATTCCAGTGACACAACGAGACGACAGCAAACGTCGCTGGATCCAGATACATACACTGTGCCCATAGCCCGGCGGATGGAACCTGCAAACAAGAACGCCAAGTGGGGACAGCAGCTGTTAGTGTAGGCGGCGTTGCAAGCCTTCCTCTGCTCAACGTGCCTGAAGCTGCAGCCGCCCCTGCGTATCGCCTAGGGTATGCAAACTATACATATCGCGTCTCATACTTGTACACTGATTGTCTTGCTTTTCGTGTGCGACCGTGACAACTGCGACGTGTTCAAAGAGCTTGATGCCTACAATGGCACATTGCATCGTCACCATTACGGACTATCTCGAACCGAGCAGATCTGCATACGAGCCAGACTTGCATCATCTTGCTCATGTTCCCTCAGCTCCGTAAAATGTCATGGGGCTATTTTTGGCGTCTGACATGTGCTAGCCGCGTTCGACTAGCTTGCCTATCGTTTCGGTTCTGATGCCTGTGTAAGGTTTCCTAAGCTTCCACGTTACACCACTTTCACACAAACCTCAACACAAGGCTGAGGTCTCGAAAAGCTGACCATCAGCCACTTCATGCACGCAATATAGCCAAACTCAGTTATCGGTCTCTCCGACACTTTACCGGCATTGACCGGACAACAAAAGACGCAAACGTATGCCGGTGAGGCGGTTATGCACGCCTCCTTGGAGTTGTGGGGACTGCTGTATGCGCAAGTACGGCGCTGCCAGGGACGATCTCTGTATGAGACACTATTACGCGCTTCTCTTCTCGATCGCAATTCCAGCATTGATGCAATGTCGAATCATCTCGCAATAGGGTCTGCGAGGAGCTTACCCAGACCATAGGTACCTACAATACCGAAGCAAGGGAACACCGATAAATTCATGCGTGCGAGTCGATGATCATTGCGATATTTCTCAAACAAGAGCAGCCTTTCGCATGTGTATTCTATGGATTGCGGAAGTTGTAGGTGGCTCGTTGTCCACGGGTCATCGCGCTACCACTGAACGGCAACCAAGGTGTAGCTTTGTGATCTCGCACAAAGCAGCTGCAGGCGATTTTGATTATGATCAAGTGAACGCACTTTCATTCATACGTAATGGAACTGCGCAATCCTCAGCTCCATAGCCTGAAAGTCATCCACTGAAACTTTACGATCGTTATTCTTACTACAACCACTTCAACACAATTCACGAATTTCTCCAACCTCTCCTCCCCAGCATGGCCGACCAACAGGTGTTTCAGTTTCTTGATCTACCAACAGAAACACGTTTGGCGGTTCCAAGTGTCTCCCGGTCAAGACGGTACACCACGTTGTTCGAACAGATCACTTTGCTTTCTGGTCCGACAACCGTCGTTATTACTCTAATCACTTAGCTGAACATTTCCTCGAGGAAGGACCACTATTCCAAATGCCCTCTTCGAAATGGCCTGTATACTCCATGAGGATAGTTTGCAAGAAGATTCCTGGCCTGGCTATTCTCGGTACCAGTCAAAAGATTCAGTTGGAAGCCAGTGAAGTTCTGCATCCAAAGTTACGAGCCATCAGTGAATTACCAGCGCAGATCATTGTAAACAGCATCTCGCTCGGTAGTTTCGACATGGCTGATGTGGTGACTCGATTGTCATACGCAAATACTACCTATTGGATAAACAAAAGTCGTCTGTTGGACCGGCCCGTAGCAGCACCTGAGTTGCGACCAGGACTTCAACCCCGATCTCGACCCGTTCACCTAGCCATACGCAATTCTTTCATCGACAGAGACACAGCCGACGCGTCAATGGACGACTTTAGAATGGAGTGTCTACGGAATTGCTTCTATTGGTCACTTAAACATGAATCAGCCATGCGTTTTCGTACTACGAGTTGCATTACAGATGGCTTTTTCCCGCACATTGACCAGCACTTGCATCTCCGTATGACTGGGTTGAATTCACAGGAGAAAGAGGCTTACGACATATTTCGACCTCTGGATCATAAGAGCGTTGGAAGATGCGGTAGTTGCATGTCCACCTCGCTCATCGATAGCGGTGACATTGTTGGTGAAGAGGAATGGGAGAATGAATGGCCAGAACATGAGAGCTACCAATAAGGGCTAGGTCAGTAGTAAGACGAAGAATAGAAGTGGTTTCAAGCATAGAGAGGTTGAGCTGGATACTACTACACAAGTCTACCGACTAACCACTAATATCGATCAACGCACTTTCAAAATGGAACTGAAAACGAACTCGAGAATGACTTCTGTAGAGGCATCAGTTGCGTCACACAACACTATAATCTCAAAGCAATCTTACCTTCACCTCTACTTTGAGTCTGTGCGCTTACTGACCGTACTGCGCCTAGCAGGCACTCAGTTTCCACTCATTCTTCTCACCACACCACATCAGCTTGCAACCCTGACGCATCAAGAACCTACCCGAGTTGACTCAGGCGCCGACGTCTCCAGCGACGGAACGAGTTCTCTTCATGCCCAAGCCATGAAGGTATCAACCACCGACCTACCTCCGTCTGAGACTGCCACGATGGAGACATCAGAACAGCCGTGTCGACCATTGTCCACATTGCTATACCCAAGGACAGCGGAAACGCCATCAGCATACGAAACATCACTCCCACTTCCGGCCATTCTACAAGGACATGAGCCACTACCATTCTCACCTTCACCACCGTTAAAAGCGCCCCAAGAACGTCCACTACCGTCCTCACCACCAAACTCTCCACCGCTCATCGTCGTTCAGCCTGTTCCAGAACCCACCTCACCCATATCGCCCTTCCCAGCAGCCCTCCCATCCCGCCCTGAGCCCGTGAAAAACGGAACTTTCATCTCCCGCCTCTTCAAGCGCACGCCCGCTCACCACAACGATATAGAGCTCGGTTCGCTTCCCCGGTCTGGTTCACAAGAGATTCTCGCTTCGGACCTGGAGCAGGAACGTCGGCTGAGAAAGGCTAAGATGATGACCATCTACATGATTTGGGCAGTACTTTTTCTCATTGCGATATTCGGGATCGTGACTGGGGCGGAGTTGATGCGGGCTTCGGGGGGGATTCAAGGTGATAAGAAGGATATTATTAGGTTTGAGATTGTTGATGCGGATGGGGAGTAGAAGGGGTGTGTGGGGGGGGGGGATATGGATTCGTTAAGGGACGTACATTGAGTCAGATAGATCGAGGTCTAGACAAAGGCCACTAACTAAGAGAGCAATTTTGCCAGCATGAGTGTCGGAACAGTAGATACCGAGATGGAGGATATCACAATGAAAGGTGGTTGGAATTTCATGAAGACATGGTGCGAGAAGGCCATGCTAGATATGCTTCGTCATAAAGATCTTGCAATGAGAAAATAGAAAACTGTACCCAATCTCATCCGACACTCCACGTGATTTCACAATTCAGGAAGTCGCGTTCGGGCACGTTCAGACATCAATCATGCTCTCTTGTGCCTTCCCTTTACGCCTGCCCGCTATCTCCTCGTTCCGCTAGCTCTCGCCTACCACCGCGCAATCACTCTTTCTACTTACTGCCGACTACGCGAAATCCGCAGTATCTACACTGTCATCTCCCGCGCTGCCATAAGTTTAGCACCTACTAACACCACTGAAACGCTCCTCCTTGACTTTCGAGCAGAACGGCCGCTCTTACCCGCTATGAACGCCTCCGATAGCGAGACCGACTATTCCATAGACGATGACCTCTCGAGCAAGGGGTCTTACGACGGCTGGGGTGACTTTGGCTGCGGCGATCTATACGAGAACATCTTCGGCGACGACGACGATCACGTTTACACTGAACACGCCACCTACATCACCATCAAGACCAACAATTTCGCATCCAGTCGAGTCACTCCGCCCACCGTATCTTACAAGTATCGTTCGTCTCGCTCAACAGTAAACCGCCGCGATCCTTCCGTTGACGTATTGCTCATCCTCTCCTTCGTCATGGTGGCACTATTGTTGCCCGAGGCAGCAATTGTCTTCTTCAAAGTTATGGGCTTCATACTGGTCGAGACTACATCACTTTTGTTCGAGGTAGTCATTCTTCAACTTGAATTAGCTGCCTTCTTAGTCCTTGTGGTGCGGGCGGTGAGGGCAAGAAGAGGATAAGAGATTCAAGTGGAAGGTCTAAAAACAAGCAGAACGGGTGAAAAGGGACAGGACGCGAAGAACGAGGGTATCGAAAGAAAGGTGATGAAATGAGACGCGCTTGTTCTTGTTCAAAGGAAACACAGATCGCTTCAACGCGCAAGCATCATCGAGACACAATCGAAGTTACTAGATGGTATCATTTACTGTATATGTATGAGCAGAGTGAGTAGGCTATTGCTGGATCTCCTCAACATATCCCAAAGCCTCTCCAACCTTGACCTTCATTCCTTGTTCAATGTTCCACTTGAATCCACCCTTCCTCTCCATACCGGTGAAGCCTTCGTCAAGACTGGGTCTTAGACCCTTTGGCGCCTCAAACACCAAAACGATGGTACTTCCGAGCTGGAAACCACCCATCTCTTCACCACGCTTGAGAGAGTATCCACCTAGTACGCGACTGGCGGAAGTGTAAGAGGCCTCGGCAAAACCAGAGTAGGGTTGTCCCCTTGCTGCAGCTTCTTCGGCGGCGCGGTCAGCGGCAGTGTCGGTGGTGAGGCTGTTGGTACGGAGTTCGCGATCGAAGTTGATCTTAATAGATCCGACGTTGGTGGCGCCGACGGGCGTGTAGGAGAAGAAACCCCATCGCCAACGACCGAGCAGTACGACGCGCTCGTTCAAGGTGAAAAGACCGGGCATGGTGCGTTGTAGGTATGGGGATACACTGTATAGTTCGCCAGCGAAGTGACGGCGAGATTCGACGACCCATGATACTGGAGAGTGGAAACGATGGTAGTCGCCTGGAGCGAGGTATACGACGCAGTAGTAGAGCGCGGTAGGTGTCTTATTGGATGCCGGTGCCCACCAAGGCCGCTCGGCTTCGCTCAAGGCCATCTCGGCGCGTACCTCAGCTTCTGAAGAAGCAGCTGGTGCGGTGGACTGGTCCGTGGGCATTTCAGATGGCTTTCCATCTTTTGGCCATGGTCCTGAGAACAGGTTGGGCAAGGTATATGAGATGCCGTTCACGTTTGCGAATTCCTCATCTGCGCGGACGGTGTCTTCTTCGTCCTTTGCTGTCTTTTCGTGTTCGCTGGTGATGACCTGAGAGTTCACGACGTTTTGAGCGGGTGTGCTGGGCTTGGTGGAACCTAGAAGCGCATCTAAGCTGTACGTTACGCCTTTGACTTGTTCGACTTCGCCGTGCTCGATGGTGCCGAATTGGATGACTTTGCCGTCTGCGGGAGAGAGGACAGCGTTGGGGTTGGGGTCGAGAGGGCGGACTCCGGGTTTCAGGGTGCGGTAGAAGAAAGCAGCGAGGTTAGGGTAGACATGGAGATCGGGCTCAGAGACTTCGGAGAGGCTGCGACTTGTTAGCATTGGGCGTCACTACTAGGCTGATGGTTGCTGACTTGACACCGAAGATCCAAGAGTAGAGCTTGAAGCCGGGTACTCGAAAGTAGTATGGAATGTCGATTTCGTTGAAACGCCCCCAGACCCGTGAGAGGGCCTTGAGAGGCAGCGTGGACATGACCTGGACCGTCCATGGCCCGCTCGGTCGTATTCTCTCGCGCTTCTTCGGTCGGCCCTGGTTGTCCACTGCGCCTTCTTCACCATTCTGTCTCTCAGCCTCGGTATGCTTTTCCCTCCGTTGTATGCGATAGAGCTGGAATGCGCCGAGGAAGCCGATGCCGAGTGCAATTGGTATCGGCTCCCATTTTATCTTGGTGTTGTTGAGTGCCGAGCCGAGCCGTGACCTGAAGGACTCTTTCCTGTGGAAGTTCTGCTTGTCACATGCTGCGCGTGTCGAGGAGAAGGTGCGAGACGGGGCGGAGAGGCGCGCATGACGGTGTGCGGGCGTTTGGAACCGCGGGCGGAGAGGGGCTCGCATGAGCTGGCGCGAACAGGAAGACGCCATGGCTATGTTGTATGCATTGGTCTCGAATGTTGCAGTGCGGGAAGACGGCCAATTCCCCAGCGACGAGATGACGGCTATGGCGTCGCGTGGTGGGAAAATCAACTTCCTCGGTTGACCAATGACGTATCCATCGGCGACGGGGCTCTAGCGCGCAACGGCGTCTACCGCTGGACATGGACAGTTCAATGCATCGCGTGCACAGGTCAAGCTTCTCGAAACATCCAAAGTCGAGGCGGCACGGACGCTCAGATTATCCGCCAGGACTTCATAGCAAATGGCAGGCGCGACCGTGGTCCTAAGCTGATACCAGGCTCTAATTCGGACACGTCGTCACTTCGCAGCTTCCACCTGCACTCTCCATCTCGCACCATAGTCCATCACTACACACAGCGACCATGGCGGAAGAAGCGCAGACAGTCAACCTCAAGATCCTTTCACCCTCGTCTGAGGTGGAGGGTGGTGTGAACCTCGCAGACGTGCCCGCTTCAACCACGGTCAAAGAGCTCCGGAGCCGCATACAGGATGCCGCGCCCTCGAAGCCTGCCCCAGAGCGCATGCGCCTCATCTATCGCGGAAGAGTAGTCGCCAATGACGCCGATACACTGAGCAATGTGTTTGGCGTTGACAATGTAGGGTCGCCAACCACGTGCGGTAGACCCACGCTGATGGTGAATACAGCTACGTGAGAACAAGGACCAGAGCCTGCACTTGGTTCTACGGGAGCTCCCCACTACTGGCGACCCTTCAACGTCACCTACGCCACGATCCGCGACTGTCCCGAACCCTTTCCGCCCTGCGCAAGCCCCGGCTGTACCCGCAAATCCTCTGCAGACGAACCCATTCCGGGCGCTGCCACAGGCTCGACCACACTCGCTCCCACCACTACCACCGCACCATCATCATATCCCGGGCCAGGCAAATGCGGTTCCCATCCCCCTCCCTCTTCCCCCACAACTACAGCAACAGTTCACGCAGGCCATGGCGCAACAGGGACAACAGAACAACGAGCAGACCCCAGATTCGACATCTCAGCAGCCAGGACCAGACGCACAGAGACCCGCGGATTCTGCTCAAGGACTGCCCAATCTCCCTGGAAATGGCGACCAGCCACTACGACGTGAAGGCGTTGGTCCCAACGGGGCGCGGTGGACAGTTACATACAACCAGGTCAATATACCGGCGCACATTCGGCAGCCTGTTCCTGCATTCGGCCTTGCTCAACCCCTAGCGTTCGGTCGTCCACCGGTTCCACCAGGCGTTCTTCCCTCAATGGGACACGACAGTACCCAGCGCTTGTTGCCACGCATCCAGACAATCTTCCAGGAAGCACAACGCGAGATGGAAAACGTGCGAACCTTGCTGCAGCCTGCGCGTCCATCAGAGACACAGACTGATCGACTTTCGATTTCAAACGCATCTCCCCTGAACCTACCAGTTTGGCGAATCGATCACATCCGCCAACACCTGAACACCATCAACCAGAACTTGAACGTTGTAGAGCGGGCCCTCGCCCTTCTCCCTACGGAACCGGAAGTGGTAGCGTTGAGACGCTCAGTAACCGAGATCAGGGTGGACGCACTAGAGTTGAACATCATACTCGATCGTCAACATGGCGGAAGCCCCAGTCGATCAAGCATGTCCACAGCCATCAACACTCCGATTCTCGGACCTTCCTCTAGCACAATACCAGGCGCTCCGATCATTACTCCAGCTGTACCTACTACATCTCAACCACGTATACAGAGCACTACACAGACAATGCCTGGAGATGCGCCAACGGAGTTGTTTCTCTTATCAAGCCCCCAGGGCCCGGTTGGCGTTCTGTTCGATCAGCAAGGCACATACACCACCGCTCCCATGGTTTCGACACTTCCATTTCAGAGTTTTACAAACCAGTTCGCTCAAAACAGACAGCTTATCGCTGGACTTGGACAGCAGATGGCACGGGGGAGTCAGCCGCACAATCAGCTGAACAACGAGCTGCACAGGCAGCTAGCCAACATGAGCCAGACCCAAGCTCAGAACCTATTCCAGAATCACAATCAGAATCAAATTCGGAATCAAAATCAAAATCAAAATCAGAATCAGAATCAAAATCAGGATCAAAATCAGAATCAGAATCAGAATCAGAATCAGAATCAGAATCAGAATCAGAATCAGAATCAGAACCAGAACCAGAATCAGAACGCGGACGTAAACCAACCAGAAGAGAACGATCGTATGGTCAACGTCGCTGGGCATATGTGGCTGATCTTCAAGCTGGCAGCATTCGTTTACTTCTTCTCAGGAGGTGGTGGCCTCTATAGACCTATCATGCTCGGTATCGTCGCCGGTATGGTTTACCTGACACAAGCCGGCATGTTTCAAGAGCAGTTCAACGTTGTACGTCGTCACTTCGAGGCCCTTCTCCCTGTAGGAGCCTTGGCCGAACGCGTGGCTCAGCCCAACAACCAGCGCCAAGCACAACATCGAGGTAACCCATCACCCGAGGAAGCTGCGATGAGGATACTGCAGCAGAGGAGAGACCAGAGATTTGGATGGGTCAGGGACAGCATGCGTACAGTCGAACGCGCTTTTGCGCTGTTCGTTGCCAGCTTGTTTCCTGGTGTCGGAGAACGCATGGTTCACGCGCAAGAGGAGAGGGAGAGACTCGAAAGGGTGGCAGCCCGTGAAGAGAGGGAACGCCAGGAGGAAGAGGCGAGAAGAAGAGCGGAAGAGTCCCAAGCACAGCGCGAGCAGAGAGATGAAAAGAAGACCGAGGTCGATCTCGAGCCCCAAGATGGGTCGAATGCAAGTGCAGCCACCAAGGGCAAGGAGAGGGCAACGACAGAGGAAGAGGCTTCTGCACCGGGTCCTTCTTCATGATTGTATAGAGCGATATCATTCCACGGAAGTAGCAATACTCAGACAGATACCCTTGCATGAAGTAAATACATGTTTCATTCACAATGCAGCGTGGAATTTGTCTCATCCGGTGCTAACAAACCTTGGTGCCACACCAGTCTTCTGGACGCTTGCCAACAACAAGCCAAACTTCACGTGAGCTTTGCAGGATGTTCAATTTAGCTGTACCATTATTCGTACCATACTTGAGTATAAGCGAACCCTGTCGGTTGCAGTTATCGCTGATGGCCGACCTGGGTCGCGCCTGCCATTTTCAAGACCAGGGTCCATGCTAGCGCACAACCAGCTAGCTCACCTCCACACGCGGATTGATGCACCGAGTAGCTCTCCGGCGCCTCCCTCTTCTTTCCTTTTGCCTAACATCGCATCATAGGATCGGGTCTTAGGATACATCCTTTTCGGGGCCCAGCGACCAGACCGTGCTTGCTCTTCATACCCGACGCTGGAGACCACGTACGGTTAGCAAAGCTATGCCGGCGGCTTCCAGTCCAGGCAGAGAAACAACCGTATATCATCGCGCAACATAGAGAAGCGTCAAAGAATGAATGCCAAACAAGCGGCATGTCTGAATTGCCGCAAAAGCAAAATCAAATGTCGGCGCGAAGAAGGCGCGCCAATATGCGAGCGTTGCCAGAACGTCGGGATTGAATGCATAATTCCAGAATTTCACATTGGTCGGCAAAAGGGCGTGAAGAAGTAAGAGAGTAGACATGAGTGGGTGGACTAGACTGACTGTATTATAGCAAACGATCCGGCCTAGAGAAGGCGATATACCAGGTTGAAGAAGCCATCAAAAAGAGGAAATCAGATGCAGCTACGAGTCAGAGTACGCTGCAGCAACTGCAGCAGCTTCTGAACGAGGCACAAGGGGACGAAGACTCCAACCAAAACCCAAACACATCGCCTGCCTCAGAGGTGCATCCTCATATATCAGCGAGTAATCTTGTTGGTACTTCAAGCGACGATCAACTCGCTGTTGAAGATGTCGAGAACCCACTCCAGCTGCTCGCCCGGGCCTCGGATCTGCGGATTGCAACACCACAGTCATACAACCAGAGTACCGCTAGCCCTGAAGACAGATTCAATGGTAGCCAGCAGAGCGCTTTTCTCGACGTTCACCACTTTTTCCTTCCAATGAAAGCACATCTTGATCAGGGCTCAGGCTTGGATCCGATTGATGTTGGGCTTGTGACCAAGGACGAAGCCGAGATGCTTCTACAGTAGTAAGTCTCGTCTCGACCCTCCAATTCGAATCCAAGAAGGTAACTCACAGAACCCAGCTTTCACAAAAAGCTAGCACATACACGTTGGGGACTCGACCCGTGGGTACATACGCTGCCATTCGTTCGGAACCGCTCTGCCTTTTTGTTCACTACCTTGCTAGCCATGACTGCCATTTTCCTCCCGGAAACTTCGGCGCTGGCGAAGAGACTATTATTGCACCGCAGATTCCTCGCCGAGCAAGTCATCACCCGAAAGTACAGATCTGTTGAAATCGTGCTAGCTTTCATGGTCAGCATTCCTTGGATGCCTCCAGGGTCGCACGCGAGCGATGACGACACAAGCCTTTACCTAGCTACGGCACTATCGATCGCGCTGGATCTCATGCTAGACAAAGTGATAACACCATCTACATCGTTCGATCAGGAACTCGTCAGACAGATACCGAAGTCTGAATGTCTCCACGCAAGGAAAGCACTGGCGATGGACGGCTTCGAAGATGTCGACCCGAGTTCGGAATGGGGCCAGCGACTTCTTCGCCGCAGGGAAAGGGTCTGGATCTCTCTGTTTGTTTTGGAGCGTGGAGTCTGTCTGGCCCGCGGGCGCAGCTACTGCGTCCCTAAAACATGCCTAATCCAATACTGCGACAAGTGGCACGACCATCGATGGGCCGATGCTCAGGACGGTCCGCTTGTGTCCATGGCAGTTCTCCGCCGCGACCTTGACGACCTTTTTGCTGAGGTGCGCACGCGTTGTGACAATTATCGGCTCGCCGAAATAGGGACAAAGGTCGCTCAAGAAATCGACGGGTCTATTGAGAGCTTCTTTGATAGCTGGTCTCGCGCCTGGCCCTCAGTGATCGCTGATCCAGAGAGCAAAACACTACCTCCATATGTCGAGATCCTTGTTACACACACGCGGCTTTCAACCTACTCAATGCTCCTCAACCACCCTAGCGCACCTCCAGAAGTCAAACGTTCTTTCCGAAAATCTGCACTATCCTCCGCACTCAACGTCATGCGTGCGGCAATTCAAGGCGAGTCACGTCTCAAATCGATGCCGAACAACACCGTCACGATGATTTGCTTCGCTGCAAGCATAGCGCTCGCTTTGAGTGCACCCGTGCCAGAGGCTGGCGGCAAACAAAAGAGCCTTGCACCAAGCGTCCGACATCTCATTGAAGACACTGCAACAGTGCTTGAGCGTATAGGCAGCACACCCATCCACCGGAACGGGGCTTCGGTGGTCTACGGTCGCTTTTTACGCGTTCTCGTGAAGCAGGCGCCGGAAATTGAGCGGCTACAGCAATTGCCATCCCATGATCCTGCACCACCATCAATGGCTATACCAGATCTTCTATCGCCGTCATACAAGGTGAATGATGCGATGCCTGAAAACCATACCATGGGTCCAGATCCTATATCCAGCTACTGGCCGGATACACTAGACTTCTCAGCCATGTCGTACAATGAAGTCAACGAGACTGTGACAAACTCGGATCTGTTCTCCACAGCGCTATTGGATCTTCCTTGGAACGATAGCAACCCATTGTGGACCGACTGGATGAATCTGCCGGATTTCAACTTCCCATAACGCAGTGCGCGAAATAGTCTAATTGCCTCTCGTGACGATTGGCGATCTTCGCAAAAGCTATACAGGAATCTGAGACATGTAAAGTCATCTTCCTGCCATTCGCAAGCTCGCGTCGGCGCGTGGTAAAGTGGATGGAGACGCGTCGCCAAGCGCAAAAGAACTGAGAGAGGGGCGCGACCTCGGAATTCGCCAGAAGCTAAACCTCATGTGATTCCGCGGCAGATGAATCCCCGCACCGAGCTCGAAAGACGATCCATCTTCGGTAGTTGAAATGACGCCGATGGATGTCAAATGTATGACGTTAGAGCCATGGCGCGGTTCTCGCACGCGTCCCATGGCATTCCTTCGGACATCGGTCGCGAAAGCTCTGCCCGTTCTTCCAGAGTCGGTGCTTCTTGAGTCTCCTTACCCGATGATTTAACTTGACTGTTCTGCTGTTATTGTTTACGCGCGTCACAATGGACTCACTACCTTCGTCATACCGGCTGCTCGCAGCTCTGCCAGCGCGGTTATGTTCCAAACGCCCTCTCCCCGCACAATTACGAGCCGCGCGACTGCCACCGCGATGGAGGTTCACAGGTCAATTGCGAAGCATCAGTCAAAGCGCTCCAACAATCGACCGCTCGAAATCAAAGCTTTTCAAAGATGCAGACGAAGCCGTTGCGGACGTGCAACCGGGATCCACAGTCCTGAGCGCAGGATTTGGATTATGTGGTGTTGCAGACACACTCATTGGAGCGATGAAGAAGCGCGGCCCGCAATCGCTACACTCCTTGACAGCCGTCTCCAACAATGCTGGCATTGAGGACGTAGGAGGCTTAGCGCTACTTACAAAGAGCGGACAAGTCAAGAAGCTCATCATAAGCTTTCTGGGAAACAACAAGGCATTGGAGAAGCAGTATCTGGGCGGTGATATCGAGATTGAGCTATGCCCACAAGGCACACTTGCGGAGAGGATAAGAGCCGGCGGTGCGGGCATCCCAGCATTCTACACGCCCACCGCTGTCAACACGTTGCTACAAGATGGAGAGATCCCTGCAAAGTTTGACAAGGATGGAAAGGCCGTTGGCTTTGGTCAGAAGAGGGAGGTCAGAGAGTTCAATGGCAAGAAGTTCCTCATGGAGACTGCCTTGACCGGCGATGTTGCGATCATTCGAGCACACAAGGCCGACGAGGCTGGCAACTGTGTCTTCAGGTAAGCGACATTTCCCTCCGGTGCTTCGAGCATTGTTTCTGACAGCGACTGTAGATACACCACCAAAGCCTTCGGTCCCATCATGGCCAAAGCGGCCCGCCTCACCATCGTTGAAGCCGAGGAGATTGTCCCAATCGGTACCTTTGACGCGAACGACATCGACCTCCCCGGCATCTTTGTCGATCGCATCGTTCCTTCCACAGCTCCCAAGAACGTCGAGATCAAGAAGCTCCGGAAACCCGCTGCCTCCTCAGATGCATCATCCAAGAACGAGGCGGCAGAGCGTCGCGACCGAATCGCTCGCCGAGCAGCGAAGGAGTTGAAGCAAGGATACTACGTCAACTTGGGTGTCGGCATCCCAACGGCAGCAGCGTCTTTCGTGCCTGACGGTGTGAAGGTGTGGCTACAATCCGAGAACGGCATTCTGGGTATGGGGCCTTATCCTACCGAAGACGAGCTCGACCCAGATATTATCAATGCCGGTAAGGAGACAGTCACACTCTTGCCTGGCGCCTCAACATTCGACTCTGCAGAGTCATTCGGTATGATCCGCGGTGGACACGTCGATGTCTCCATTCTGGGCGCTCTTCAAGTCAGCGCCTCTGGCGACCTAGCAAACTACATGGTACCCGGAAAGGTATTCAAGGGCATGGGCGGCGCCATGGATCTCGTCAGCAACCCAGAGGCTACCAAAGTAGTCGTCGCCACGGAGCACGTCGCGAAGGACGGATCAAGCAAGATCGTCCAGGAATGCAAGCTGCCGTTGACGGGAGCCAAGTGCGTCAGCACTATCATTACGGATATGTGTGTATTTGAGGTCAACCGGAAGCGTGGTACTTTGACGCTCACTGAGACCGCGCCTGGTGTGAGCGTCGAGGATGTCAAGGCAAAGACAGATGCCAAATTTGAGGTTGCGCCAGATCTGAAGACTATGGAATAGATGTTTTGTGTAGTTTTTGGCGTACGTAGCATACCCTAGTGATGATCGTTGTCAATTTCTTCACTACCCCATATCGAGTCGTGATGCAAATTTGAGGAACCACGAACCACAAAATGATGCCAAAACCTTTGACCGTTTTACGCGTCATATTGATCGTCGCAGGCAATCTGATCATCCAAACAGACGTCGCATGACCCAAATAGAAAAACAAAGCATCGCGATCGCGATAGCCAGATCGTCAGTTACCCAAAGAATGATCTTGGTGCTTTTGGTCGCTTCCAATAACAGCGCATGCATCACAGCACGCGCAATCTCCAAAACTCGACGTCGCATCAACAGAAAAGAAGCTTCAGACTATCTTCTATCGCACCTGGGCATGCAACAAAGCCGTTGACGATCTCCCACGACACCGGCGCCTGGGAGTTCATCGTCGAGTTGGCATACCGAGTTTCGGGGGCAGCCAAGCTGTCCAAGTGGGCGGCTGAAAGGCTTCGCACTGCTTGGTCCACACTCCATCCAGCACAACGAAAAGCTTGGTACCGCCGATCCGCGATCAGCCCTCCACATGCACAATCATCAACACCCACAAAACCCGCCATGCTATACCTACATGGCTACAACCATCCGAACTGGCTATCCGCGGCTCTCCCTTATCTAGTACAGCTCCGCTTACAAACTTTCCTCGGAAACAGAATAAGAGCCGTAAACACACAACTAACGCCCGAGTCAGTAACGCTGATGTCAAGCCTGCCGATCGCTTGTCTGCCTTAAGAGCGCTATGCATGGTTTGGCATGGTTCAAGCATAAGCTTGGTGCAGTCGGGGTAGCATTTCACTCGTCGGATGCACAACTCCGCCAATCGCACAGCAGAGAATCCCGATTGTGCCGTAACCCTTGCGCCCGCCCCCATGGGGTCAGCCAGGGTAGGTGCGTTCTGGTGGCTGACCCGGCCTTTCTAGCAGTTCGGGGGAGGTAGGTGGCACGGTGCGGTGTGCATAGCGCTACCGGTTCGCCCGTTGGGGAGGGGAATAAGTAAGCTGGCTGGTTCTTCTTCTTTTAGTTGGACAGTCGCGCTCCAACGCTTTCTTTCGCTGCGTTGAGATTCTGTCTTCTGCTGTACCTAGTGCGCCTTGAAGGGTTGTCAAGATGAGCCTTGATAAGATGCACGACGAGAAATTCGAGAACCGGAGTGGCAGTGAGCAGTTGGAGGCGGGGTTTGGTGAGGACGGGAAGGCAGCGAAGACGCTGCTGTTCAAGATGGATGTCCGGTATGTTTATCTTTCTCAACCTAATGTATTCTCCAAATAGTACGACGCTGACAGTCACAGCATCCTACCCGTTCTCGCACTTCTCTTCTTGTGCTCCTTCATCGACCGTACGAATGTCGGCAATGCGAAGATTTTGGGTCTTGAGAAGGATATCAACATCAACGACCACCAATACTCGATCGGTTTGTGTGTCTTCTACGCTACGTATATCGCCAGTGAGCTCCCATCGAACCTAGTGCTGAAGAAGATGTCGCCTAAGATCTGGCTGCCGCTCTTGACGGCGGTGTGGGGAATCTTGACAATGTGTCTTGGGTTTGTTACCAACTTCGCGTCATTCGTCACTGTCCGCGCGTTGCTTGGTTGCGCTGAGGGCGGGCTGTTGCCGGGCATGGTACTTTACCTTACTGGCTTCTACCGCAGACAAGAGTTGGCTTTGCGCATCGGTATCTTCTATACAGCAGCATCCCTATCAGGTGCCTTTGGTGGTCTGCTGGCCCGAGGACTTAATGCCATCGGGCCTGCTGGAGGTCTTGAAGGGTAAGAGACGGCCCCCCGCTTCCACCGACAACAAATGACTAACTGTATAAATAGTTGGCGATGGATCTTCATCGTGGAAGGCCTACTGACTGTACTCGTTGGCGTATGCTCCGCCATCTTCCTACCCAACTCGATCGAATCAGCCAGATTCCTCACTCCAGACGAGAAGGAGCACGCTCGATTCCGGCTCGGCGAGCAAAGCGCTTCTCACGAGCGCTTCGACTGGGCAGAAGTCAAGCGCGGAGTATTCAACGTTCAAGTTTGGCTCACTGCGTTGGCATACTTTGCCATTTTGAGCGGACTGTACAGCTTCGGTCTCTTCCTCCCTACCATCATCAACAACGGTTTCGCCAAAGACCCCAATGAGGCACAACTCTGGACCGTAATCCCTTACGCCGTGGCATCAGTCTTCACTGTAGCCGTCGCTCTCCTATCCGATCGTCTTGCCCTACGTGGCCCGATCATGCTATGTACCCTACCCGTGGCCATCATTGGCTACGGCGTCATCAGTCAATCTGCCAACCCCAAAGTCCAATACGGCATGACATTCCTAATGGCAACTGGCATGTACGCAACTGTACCGTGCATCCTCTCCTGGAATAGTAACAACTCCGCTGGTCACTACAAGCGCGCGACAACCTCTGCCTTGCAGCTCGCGATTGCGAACGCAGGTGGTTTTGTAGCCAGTTTTGTGTATCCAAAGAGCGAAAAGGAAAATCATTTCCACAAGAGTCATAGCATCATGTTAGGATTGCTTTGCGCAGCTTGGGTTTTGTAAGTTTTCCAAATCCTACCTTTGGCTGGAATCTTAACTAACGTGTCGATAGGATTGCTGCGAACGTTCTGTGGGTGCGAAAGATCAACAAGGATAAGGCGAATGGAAAGTATGCTGAGTTTGAGGGCAGGGGCGATGACCGTGACCCGGACTTCATCATGGTTATGTAAAATTGAAGAATGAAGTGGATATTTGTTTGCTTGATCTATTCAGAGCAACGCTATGGGCAATGTCCTCATACTGCGTGATGTGACCAAAGGGACTAATCTAAGGATACTTGAGTCTCTCGACATCAAGCTACCCCACGCACACACAAAAAAAAAGAACCGTTGTCTCACAATCTACTCTTCCCTTCCTCCTCATCAAAGAGAAAAACTGAATAGACCTGCAGGCTACAGTATGATGAAAACATGCAAAGTGGGTGACCAAATGTCGATGTAGGCGCCATGGTGTACAGTCTTTTCCTAGATTGACGTGCTTCCTGGTCCTCATGAAACGCAAGCAACTCAACCCTCTATGTCATCACCAGACTTGACCGACTTCTGCTCCCGCACCCCATCCCGCTCATTCCTCAACTTCTCTTCACCGTACCGTCTCAAATCCTCCTGTTCCTTCTCCCAACCCACCAGCCATTTGCACTTGGAGTCGTCAGGAGCCAGGTGTAAAGGACGTGTAACAGCTAGCCGCCAGTATCCCATACTCCTATCACTAATGCTGATCTGTGGGTCTTCGTATGTGCGTTCGAGCGCGTCAAAGAAGGCTGTGTGCTCAGTTTGGAGGCCTAGAACGCGGAGGCACCGGAGGATACGCGTGATACGAAGGTGGTTGTGGTCGAATCTAATGGCCCAGTTGGCGAACTTTTTGCGGTAATCTGACGCACGGACGACGGAGTATGGAAGAGGGTTGGATGCGGAGATGTTGGTATGGGCACCTGGTGGGAAAGAGGCTGATTCAGGTGATTCGCCTTGCTTCAATTCCGCTTCTGACTTGTTGGATACCATGAAGCCGTAGAAGCCAAGCATGCGCTCAAAGCTTCGTCGTAAGTTCTGCCGTAGCTCACTCCGGGAACGGAATGCTCGCATCACTTCGAGGTTGATGACTGGGGCCTGCAGATGGTTAACATGCTGCCAACGTAATTGAAGACATTGTTGCATTCTTAGTGTACCCTGGAGGTATCTGCGAGGCTGTACTTCGACATGTGTTGATTTCCACTATGGCGAATACCTCCCGGGTACGACACCAGGAAACTAACTGGAAGGCTTACTTCACTGTTGTATGGAGAACCTTCTGGGAGCGGAAAGAGCATCTGAACATAGTTATGGGATGACTCCAGCTTGCTGTCTGGCCATGCCAGTATCTCATCGAGTTGCCGACCGAGAGCGTCCTTGGCGCATACATCGGGGTCGTAGAAGCGGATGATGAGTTGGCTCTTGCCAGCGGCCGCAGCCTGGTCAGCCTTTGAGGCGCCTGACAGGACCATTTCAGCGCGCTTGTTGAATACAGTAGATGTTGGATGTTGATGTCGCAAACCAGGTACCAATAAAGTACGCAGGTAAGGCTGCACCCTGTAGAGTGCGCCTTCCCTTAACCGGACTAGCCATCATCGCGGCTTTCCCTCCCCCGCCAAAGGGAAAGACCTGCCTGCTACATGTTGAACGAAAGAACGCCCAGAAGCCTACATTATCAATGGATTTTGCAGGCTACTGGTTCAATCTTGATGTAGGCTGCAGAGACCTGCTTAGATTCTATCGGCTGTCGCGACAGCGACGATCTTTTCGCAAATGTCCGCATGCAAACTAGAGACACTGCATACCATCTAGGTAGCCGCGGGTGGTATCGCGCTAATGGTACCGCGTTTGTCGTCCTTCTTCGTTCACACTCTGGCGACGTGTCTTCGCCCCATTGAAGCCCTGAAGTACGCGGGATGGAAGCTGAACGCTGACGTCATCCGCGCAGATTGTTGAGCAGCGCCGGTTCCAGGCCCTTACTTGGTCGCTTGGTAGCCAGCGCAAACGCAGGGTACACGATAGACAAACCTGCTCAGCCCTCACCAATGCAGGATTATTCACGCGCTATCAGCGATAATGTTTTCCTTAAATCCGACTAGGGCACTGGCGAAGACTCTGCTTGCTCAACCAAGCTCCTCCACTACCCACAACCATTTGAAAGCAACAGTCTCTGATATAGGAGAGATACCTTGAGATTCACAATGAGCTCCGAAGGTGGGTATCAATGGTCTTCGTTCCCGAAGTTCAACCTAATAGCTTTTCAGAACAGAAGCCGACACCAGAGAATGGCACCCTATTCCAGGGTTTCGAATGGAACGTTCCGGATGATCACAAGCACTGGCGGCGCCTTGCCGAGCAGCTTCCTAAGCTAAAAGCGATCGGTATAAGCAACATATGGCTACCCCCTGGCTGTAAAGGTGCGAACCCTCAAGGCGTTGGCTACGACATCTATGATCTGTACGACCTCGGCGAATTTGAGCAGAAAGGCCAGAAAGGCACCAAATGGGGGACTAAAGAAGAGCTACTCGAACTTACAAAGGTCGCCAAGGAGCACGGCGTGGGCCTGTACTGGGATGCCGTATTGAACCACAAGGCGGGAGCCGACAAGACGGAGAAGTGCCGTGTTGTTGAAGTTGACCAGAACGATCGCACTAAAGAGATCTCTGATGCCTTCGAAATCGAGGGATGGCTAGGCTTCGATTTCCCGGGCCGTGGAGAGCAATACTCTAAGATGAAATATCATTGGGAGCATTTCTCGGGCACCGACTGGGACCAGGCCACCGAGAAGAAAGCCATCTACAAGATTTTAGGTGACAACAAAGGCTGGTCGCAATCCGTGGATGATGAGCAAGGCAATGCGGACTACATGATGTTCGCTGATATTGACTACTCGCACCCTGAGGTACAAGAAGACGTCAAGAATTGGGGCGTATGGATCACCAAAGAGCTTGGCTTGAAGGGGTTCAGACTCGATGCTGTGCAGCATTTCTCCTCAAGATTTACCAATGAATGGATCAAGAACTTGCGCAAACAGTGCGGAGACGACATCTTCGTGGTCGGCGAGTTTTGGTCGGGAGATGTGAAAGAGATGAGCGATTGGCTTGACGATATGAACCACGAGTTCGCTCTCTACGACTCGCCTCTCCTGAATAACTTCGGGTCCATCTCGACAAGCGAATCGGCGGACTTGAGGAAGATCTATGACAACACCCTCGTTCAAATGCGTCCTACCGATGCTGTCACGGTCGTTACAAACCACGACACACAACCTGGGCAGGTGATGGAGACTAAGATCGAGGGCTTCTTCAAGCCTCTCGCCTACGCTCTCATTCTGCTGAGGCAGGAAGGCTACCCATGCCCATTTTACGGCGATCTTTACGGCCTCTCAGAGCCGCATGAAACGCCTGCTTCATGTGGCGGAAAGCTCGCTGACCTCATTCTCGCACGAAAACTCTTCGCGTACGGAACACAGGAGGACTACTTCAACGAAGCCAACTGCATCGGGTTTGTGCGTCGTGGAACATGGGACAGGAAAGCGGGTCTGGCGTGTGTGATGAGTAACGCAGGACCTGGTCAGATCAAGATGGCTGTTGGCGAAATGCATGCCGGTGAGAAGTGGACTGACATCCTTGGGTGGGAGGAGGGCGAGGTCGAGATCGACAGCGAAGGATACGGATTGTTCAATTGTCCAGGCACCAGTGTCGCGGTTTGGGTACGAAGCGATGCTGAAGGGCGGGACCAATTTCCTACAAACTTCGATGCGAACGTATACCACAAAGATTAGATAGGCGATGTTTTGTTGTAGAATGTGGTGGGGAGAGCATGCATCGTCTCTCGAAGAATTGAACACTGCGCCTGACGAACTGGCGGTGTGGACGTTATCAAGCCCCAAACTGCTTGCTTTTCTCTTATCAAGACCCTGTGCGCCGCATTCCAAGGTTGCAACTCATGGAACCTGCGGGAAGATGGTTGGGGAGATCGGCGATGAGGCTTCCGCTTCAGGACCAGCGCGGAACCAATCAATCGCGACAACGCCGACCATTTTAGACGTTTCGCGGCGTTTCTCTAGTAAGCGAGCATGCAGCGTACCCGCCGACAGTGTATACTCGATTCTCATGGTTGCAGGAGCGTCTATTGACGTCTACACAACATAGCCAACGGCTCCGTGATGCCGGAATTTGTTGCATGTGACATGTGACCCCCGCGATCGCTATGTCTAGATCGTGGGTCTCGTGTCAGGGTACCGCGCATCAATTTAACGCCGCTCCTCCGCTTTTCTAGCTTCTGTCGCCCTCGACGAGCCGAACACTCACGACCCCTTTGATTCTTCTCTTCACGCCTATTCTGCCCTGCGTTTCTAGCCACGAGCGTCCCGTTGCAGACTTCCCATGTCGCTGATTCAGCATGTTACACAGCAAGAGGGCACTGATCGCGAGGAGGCGTTGGTAGATTTGTTCTTACCGCCTGTCGACCGCCAGATTAGCCGACAGGATGCTGCGGAACGTCGGCTTTCTCTTGAGAGCGCCATCTCGGGAGCTGGCTTCTTGAGCGCACAAGGAAAGAGCGTGAGGCGAGTCATCAGTTACGACGTAATACCCAAGCCTGAGGAGCTCGCACCGGGCGAGGAACCAGGAGGCTTGACGCCATACAAGGTGCCGACAGGCAAGCGTATCGGTGAGTTTGGCTACATCGCATTCGCTTTCTGACCGCTAACATGCGATTGCAGCACAGGTCATCGTAACGGTTCTTGCGTGTTGGTTTGCTAGCGGGATCGTTTTCGGGTTTGCAGCTTTGAAGCCAATTCTTATCAAGGAAGGCGTTTTCAGAAATCTTTGCACACCCGAAGAGGTGGATGCCGACGTTGAAGTTTGCTTTGAGCAAGACCTCAGGTTGAACTTCTTTTTTTCTTTGGCATCGACCACGGCGAATGTTTCTGCTCTCCCCGTCGGTACCCTGCTCGATCGCTACGGGCCCAAGCTTTGCTTCCTTTCCGGTTCTTTCTGTCTCGCGCTTGGAAGTATCCTAATGAGTCTCGCATTTCAGATCGAGAATTTTGACGGATATACAATCGGAAACTTCTTTCTTGCCCTTGGAGGCACATTTGTCTTCCTGCCCTCTTTCCAGATTGCTAACGCCTTTCCCAAGTATGCGGGTAGCATCGTTGCGCTCGTTACCGGTGCATTCGATGCCTCAGCAGCAGTCTTCCTTTTCTACAGGCTCATGTACGATGCTAGCGACAGGGCGTTCAAGCCACAAACCTTCTTCCTGGTCTATCTCATCGTTCCAGCAGCCATCGCCATCGCGCAGCTCACCTTCTTACCGACCGAGAACTACAAGACTGAGGCACAGCTAGAGATGAAGATCCAGAGAGCCGAAGACGCTATGCGAGACGTCCATTCTTCGGATGATGAGCTACCCGATAACGAGATCTGGAAGCGAAGGAAGGCCCGTAGCACGCGTCGCAAGGAGAGACTGAGCAGACTTGACGAGCTCGTCGGAAATGAGGCGGCTCGTAAGATCCGAGAAGAGAAGGCTGAGCAGAGATTGGAGAATTCTGGTGTCTGGGGAGCACTACACAACAAGTCTGCCAAAGATCAGATGCTGACGCCCTGGTTCATACTTCTCACTGTCCTGACTGTCATCCAGATGGTGCGAATGAACTTCTTCAGTTAGTAAATCGTCCCAGCACGCTTGAATACTGCTAACAATCCACAGTTGCTACTATCCGCGAACAGTACACCTACATGCTTGGATCAGTCAAACTAGCAGAAAAGGTCAATGATTTCTTCGACGTTGCTCTGCCCGTCGCTGGAGTTATCGCAACCCCCTTCTTAGGCGCACTGCTCGATAATGTCAGCACACCCGGCGTCCTCTCGCTCCTCGTTATCATCATCGCCGCTATTGGAGTCATCGGCTCTATCTCGACTCTTTGGGCTGGATATGTCAACGTCCTTCTTTTCGTCTTCTTGCGCCCGCTGTACTACTCAGCCATGTCTGACTACGCGACCAAGGTCTTCGGTTTCGCTACGTTCGGACGTGTTTACGGGACCATCATCTGCGTGTCTGGCCTGTTCAATTTGTCACAGACTGCAATCGACGCCTTGACAAAGGGCTTGTGGCACGGCAACCCAATTCCAATCAACATCATCCTCGCTGCTTCAGCGTTTGTCGTAGGCACTGCACTCGTCATCTATGTCGCGGTACAGGTCTACCGTATGAGGAAGAGACTCGACGAGGAAGACGCCATTACCGTGACAAACACCGAAGTAGGTTCAATTATGGAAAGCCTGCTCGAAGAGGACGAGCCGAGGTCCTACGGCACAGTCAACCGTCCGCGACAGCCATGGGAGGTGTAATTGAGACGGCGCGAACTTCAACTTATCCTTGCCTTCGACATTTCTAAACGAGTTCGATGAGATTGCTTCGCTACTATTATTACGAGTACGATTCAGATACGGCCGTCATCGAATCACGCTTCCTATACTAATCGCTTTCCTACCTAACGTAATCAAAAGTTGCACTTTTCTGTACAAGCAGGCCTTTTTATTCATCGCACTATATTGCAGACTGTCGTCAGCCGAGCGTCGTTATCAATAATAGTCATCGTCAAGTGAGCGTTATGGGTACGGGTGTTCGGGTCATGTTACATCTCATTATGTTTTCGGCGCCAGATTGCGAGTCCATGTAGACTAGATTGCGATTTGTAGAAATTGTTCCGTGTCTCCGATATCCATTGTCATCGTCTGTTGCTGTTCCTTCTAGTTCGAATCAAATCCATGCAATTCATCTTTGCGTCAAGGCTGCGCGTTGTGAAGACTTCGTTCCCATCTAGGCAAGGCAATGACGCTAACAACACGCCCTTCTTAGCGCTGGTGTGGGGCTCTGCGGCCTAGCCCCCATTCTCGAGCTTTCGGTTGCCGAACCCCTCACGGATCATACGATACTGCCCATCCACCACGAGCAGGGAAGACGCCGATATCGCCTTTGGAAATGGACCGCCGCTAGTTTCAGAACCGTCACAATCGCTTGGTAAACATGATTGCTGTCTTGGAGCAATGGGCATGCTTTGCCTTCTGACGCGTTGCGGTGGTACGTCGTCTGCCTAAGCTGACGTCCTCGCCGCATACTGGGGTGTGCGTACACCGCTGTGCGGGAGCAGTCGACTTGACAAGTGGTTTCACGTGGATCTTTGGTGCAGGTAACTAGGAATACTGCTGGTGTCACGTGAGGGGGTTCACCTTGACTGTGCTGCTTCGTCCGTCGGCTACCTAGTCTTCCCTGCTGGCACGTCAGTGGCTCTCGAAGCATGACAGAGACGCGTGCACCCAAAAGATGCAGCTGTTTGACGTGTGGCGCGGTTTCTCAAGAAGCATATCGTTCTCGGAAACGCCCAAGGCGCATGAAATGGACATTTCTATCTGTAAAAAGATTTGGCATGCCGGAAAAGGTCGAAGACGAAAGACAGCCTGATACGACAAAGTCCTCCACGTCCTGGGAAAGGATATATCCCAGCACAGCCGAGTGAGCCCTCATCTTCAAGCTCAGCATGCTTCGCGAAACTCGTACTCTGTCGTCATGGCATCTGTATCTTCGTGGCGTTTTGCAATCGTCGACTCAACTCGAAACCTCAACCAGACAAATGATCAACGTTGAAAGTATCGTTTGCGTTGATGACAAGTATCTTTCTGCATGCCATCGTCATGGCCGCATGCAAGGTCTTCGCCTGGGGCCATCTTTACAACCCCAAACCTGCGCCACAGCCCCCGATTGCAGGTTTGGGGCCGATGGAGAGCGGCCATGCAGTACGCCTCCCTCAGGTCGTTGCGCAAGACGCAGTCGAGATGGAACAGAGCTGCTGATAATCCTAGACATAGGGAGAAGGCGTGGAAAACCGTCAAGGGTCAATGTAACATGTTGATAGCTTCTGACGCTTTGTCTTTCCGAGCTGCTCGGGTCCATTCAGCCTGGAAACATATATGTATGGCAGTCATTCTGCATGTATTCTCCCAAGTTCATCAACACATCAATCCTTTCCTCTCCCACATCCCCCCCTCAACTCTAGACCAACTTGAACCCATCTGCTGAAGCTCGCTTTTCATCATGGGTATCCGGTTTTCCAACTGGGTTGCTCTGTCCATTGTGTTTCACAATACTCTCACAACTGCTCTCGTCGTACCTAGAGCCGCGTACAGCGGATATGGCCAGCCCTATGGCACTGGAAACACCTACCCGACTACAGCAGCCGCGTCATCTTCCACAGCTTCTCAGGCTTCATCCCTTGGTATGTCCTGTGTTACCTCCGGGACCACAACCGTAACGCTATCAGGCTCGAGCATTGTGCCGCTGGCTTCGATAACTGGCACCTATCCTATCGCGAGCGGCCCTACAACCTATGGCGAGAATGAAGCAAATCCATGTCGACGTGCCACATCTAACAAGACCGCAGGTTGGCCATCGGCCCATTCCCCAAGCTCAATCGTATCGAGCAGCATTGTGGATTACCCCGTCAACCCCTCTGTACCACCTCCTGAGAATCCCGCGACTTTAGACTATCCTGCTGTCACTCCTACTTCGAATGTGGCTTCGTCTACTGGTGGCGGACATGGCCCTTCCCCTGCGCCTGTCCACCCGCACCCAAGTAAACTTGCAAGCAGTGCATATCCGGAGATTACCGTAACTCCAAGTACCTACAGTATGTCTTCTCATGTTATTAGCGCTCGGGTCCTCTACTACAACCCAGGAAAAGATAGTTGGAATACAGATGACTAAGCTTCCTAGAAACCCCCATACCGTATGCACCCAGTTACGCGGCAGGATCACCAGCACCCTATCCGACCTCCCCGCTCAATCTTGAAGGGGGACAGGTATCACACAGTGCAGGCCCAGGTAGCACTTCACCGACTCTCCATGTACCGATTCCGACAGGAAATGTTACATCGAAGCTCCCTTATGGAACGGGGTATCTGACGTCAAGCACCGTGCTGCCGTATCCGGAAGAAAGCGATACTTACTCATCGCAACGATCTGCCACATCATCTGCAACAGGTTCGTTGATTAGCACATCATGAAGTCGTATCAGGATGTGTCGCTGACGTTGTTAATTGCCCCAGTCCATCCAACACCATCCCCAGCTCTTCCCGTCTCGTCGGCACTATCTTCAGCCCCTCCTGGTTATTCGGCATCGCCCTCGGTCCCTCTCGTGTCATCGGCGTCATCTTCAGGCGCTCCTGTCTATTCGGCAACACCGGCTCTTCCTGTCACCTCAACACTCTCCTCAGCCTACCCTGTTTCGCCAGCATCGTCTTCTTCCCCGCCCATGTACTCGGTACCATCTTCAGCCCCCCCAGGCTATCCGACATCGCCTTCGGGTCATTCTACCCCTTCGACGTCGCTTTCTGCACCTCCTATGGATCAGACATCATCGTCAGGCTTTCCTGTCTATTCAGATGCTCCTGTTGAGCCAATGTCATCTTCAACTTCACTCGTAATACCTACTCCAATTGTCAGCTTTACGTCAAGCGTCCATGTTCCAGCCTCCTCTCTTCCGCCAGTGTCGGGGAGCATGACTACACAGTACCCAGCAGTTCCGTCTGTGGCTACTGGTTACCCGGCATCGCATGGACTACCTGCTTCCGAGATCTCCACAAATACTGGGGTGCCTGGTATGTATACCTGTTCGATCTTACCTGTCAATGTTTCCACGCTCACTCCACACCAGGTTATCTAGCGGCACCTAGTACCATGATCACCAGCGCTATTACGCCCTCCGCGACCCCGAACATGTATGACACGTCCACTCAGCCGATGGGAGGATATGCAGAGTTTGCTGGAGTTGGTACCTGAGTGTTCAGGATATGAAACTGGTGACTCTGCCCTATGGGCTGGAACTAGTGATCCAGCAGCCAACCCTAGGACTGACCTGTACTCGTACTCCTGTATTAGTTTCCTTTGTTCCAGGTGTTGACATCTGGGTAATGTTTTGGTTATTGGAGTTTGTACTCGTATTTAGAAAACCTACTGAATCCACTCGTTTACCAAATGATACACGATCAGAAAAAGGATTTTGTTCGACAGCTGCTTCGCCGTTTCTTATTGACAGGGTACATGCCCGGCTTGTCGGGATACTGAAAGAACACGACGTTCGCTGATCGACGGGTCTGTGCGGGCGCGTTGCTATGGTGCCAGGATGTAGCGTCGCGTGGTCGGCTAGCGCTGTTTACCGCTCACCGTCTGAGCTCGCACCACCACATATTACATAGACGTGCTGCACAACTTCCTTAGACTACCAAAGTTGAACAACCAAACTCATAGCAGGTGCTACCCTTCGACAACATACATAACCCCCCAAACCGTCGAGTTGGCGCGCCTCAAAGAATCCCCGGTCCAGATGGATCCGCCTCCACCTCTCTCGCCAAACAAGGCACCCTTCTCGCCTGGAATGCCCATCTTCCCTGCCAGCCCCGACCGCGGTGCTGGTTCAAGATCTCCGTACGGCGATTCTAGGGGCTCATCGCCAGTCCTCTCGCCCTCGACGCCCAACCTGCGCCCCCACTCGCCCCTACGACACACCCACCGCCGAACCGATTCCGATGTTTCCGTCACAGCCCTCGCCGGCATGTTCGAGAACCTCGAGGTTAAGGACCCACGGGAAGCATGCAGGCGCTTCAAGGAATTGCTCGACAAGGAGAGGATACGACATGCGGAGAAGTTGAATAAGATCGAGAAGGAACATGCCAAGAAGGAGCGCGACCATGAGTTGTCATCAAGCCGACGCGATGTGCGCATTGACGAACTCAAGAACGAGCTCGAGCAGACAAAGGAATCACTTGCGAATGCCGTTACCAAGGAAAGATTTGAGAAGAGGCTTAACGAGAGTAAAGCTGCCATCGACAAGTGGGCACAGGCTTTCAAGGACAATGAAGAGAAGTGGAAGAGTACACAGGCCAAAGTCGTGAGTGAGCCATGCTCTTATGTATAGTTTCTACCTACTGACATGTCTCAGATCGAAGCAGAACAGCGAAGTAAGACCTACGAAGGCAAATATCGACACGCTAAGAGGGAGTACATTGAAGCCAACAACGAGAAGCTCCGATGTTCCGCAATGATACCGCAGCTCCAGGCTAAAATTCAGAGCGTCCAACGCAGCTTGCAGCGGGCCGAGTCAGATGTCAAGTTCAAGACCGATGAAGCCGCCAAGTACAAGAACGAGGTGTACAGCCTGCAGGTGGAGATTGAGAGCGTTGGCAACCGACTGAACGAAGAAGTGCAGATACTAAAAGAGAAGCTGGGTCTCGTCGAGGGAGAGCGCGATGCTCTTAAGACGAGCTTGAAAGAAGAGGAGGTTCTGCGCATCGCTGCGGAAGGCCAAATACCGCTTCCATCGGCCGACCCGGAAGAGACTGATGAATTTGCATCACCCGTTCGATCGCCACGCAAGCCACGCAACGCTCCTCGCGAGGACGACGACAAGGAAAATGTGTCGCCAAAGAAGAACGCAGTTGATCTGCGCTTCATTCAGCAGGAGCTAGCCGCAGAGAGACGTGCTCGCGAGCGCGCCGAGGAGCAGATCGACTTCATGAAGATGGAGTGCCAGTTCCAATGCTGCTCTTGTCGCATCGCTGAGAACAGGGGAAAGCACTACGTCCACGATGACTCCCTCGAAGCTGAGATGCAGCGCATCAAGGTCTCGCTACCTATCTCTACGCCTCCAGCTAGCAACCACGGAGACGATGTCATGGAGGGTGTAGTGATCAAGCAAGAGTCTGTGGAGAACGAGCGTCCGATTACACCACCTGAGGATACTGTAGTCAAGACAGAGTCCGAAGAGCCCGAGACCGTTGTCGCCTTCTCTCCAGACACAGGAACCTTTCGCTCTGTGCCATCACCCATGAAGTCTCGTCCGTCGGCAGGCATCGTCACACCTGTAGAGCCATCAGCTGTGGTCGAGATGGCAGATGCACCAGCGCCTGACGCGGTCGCTCCTGCCAACGTGGCTTTGCCACAGTCACGTCCTGCATCGAGAGTCGACTTTGTTCTTCCTACCCGCAGGGAGAGCAAGGCTGTAGACATCAGTATCCACGAAGACGCCATTGACGACGACAGCGAGGACGAGGACATGTCACCACCGACGCCCGACAGGGAGCCTACTGGACCCGTAACGCCCTATCTCACTCGCACCATCACTACAACGACTACCATACCTCTCCACTTCTCCCCTGCCACTCCAGCGTTCAAGGCTGGTCGTGGGCCTATGACTCCCTCGACTGTAGCACACGCTGCAGCCAATGCACAGACCCCTGTTCTGGGTGAGCTATCACTGAACAAGCTAGGCATTGACCGAGAAGCCGCACTTGCAGCGATCCGTGAGCGCAGAGGACGTGCTAGAAGCATGGCCGCTGGTCACGGAACGCCGATGAAGCAGATGGTCGAAGGTGTAAAGGACCGCAGAGACATCAGTGCGCCTGTGACTCGGGTACGGAGTGTATCGCGGATACGAAGATGAGCGATCGAGGATGGACGTTGTGGAGGTGGCTGGTGACTGCCGTGCTGACTAGGGTGCAGCGAGAGTCGTGATACCATTGATTTCCTGTTGCGACTTTACCTTGCGCTTAGCGGCATTGCATGGCGTTGGAGGCTATTGCTGCATTTGAACTTTTCCGGCGTTGTCTGTATGTATGGATGTTTTGCACAAGCAGTGACTGCGTTATATACCACAGTTTTGCTTCTTGCTAGTTCTTACGATATTGTAATTGAGTGTTGACATGTTCAACTTTCTGCTGGCGTTCTGTGCTGAACTTGCTGTAGATGTGAATGGGTGTTCGTACTTGCGAACACTGTCATCTTGCACACGAACACAGCTCTGTAGTTGATACATTGGATGGCGAGGACGTCGGACAATCTTTTTCCGCGCGTGGTGTTCATGAGACGAGATGGACGGCCTCGGCGTGCGCACTCCCGCCAAGCCCCGCTAGCGCACGATTGGCGGTCGAAGCGAACGTCGAAATTGATCGCACTCGAACACCTGGATTATCTCTTGCGACAGCGACTACGAACTTTGACGCCCAACCCTCATTCTCCCTTCCACACCGACAACCGCAACCATGTCTGACAACGGAGAAATCGAGGTCGAGAACCCCACCGGCATTGCCATCCTCCCCAAGGATGTCACCGACGAGCAAGGCAGCGTCAAGCTGTTCAACAAGGCAGGCTTATTGTAACTTCCGCTCACACGCAACATACTGACTTTTCGCAGTGGTCCTACGAGGAGGTCGAGGTCCGCGACATCTCATTGACGTATGTTTCCCCCACGATACCGCGCCGCATACCCGTATAAAAGGACAATGGTGGCATTGGATACTTTGTATTACGCTGCGAGACCTTCGGCTAACTGAAGCCGCAGCGACTACATCCAGATCCGCTCGCCTGTCTACATCTCACACTCCGCCGGCCGATATGCCGTCAAGCGGTTCAGGAAGGCCCAGTGCCCCATCATTGAGCGTCTCACCAACTCGCTCATGATGAACGGCCGTAACAACGGAAAGAAGCTCATGGCTGTGCGCATCGTCGCTCACGCTTTCGAGATCGTACGTCTGCAATCTGCCAGGTTTCGGAATCGCGAAAATGGTACAACATGCACGTTGGGAGACGGCTGACATTTGCAGATCCACATCATGACCGACCAGAACCCCATCCAGGTCGCCGTCGATGCCATCGTCAACTGCGGTCCCCGTGAAGACTCCACCCGTATCGGTTCCGCCGGTACCGTCCGTCGCCAGGCCGTCGATGTCTCTCCCCTCCGCCGTGTCAACCAGGGTATCTCCCTCCTCACCATCGGTGCCCGTGAGGCCTCTTTCCGCAACGTCAAGAGCATTGCCGAGTGCCTTGCTGAGGAGCTGATCAACGCTGCCAAGGGTAGCAGCAACTCGTACGCCATCAAGAAGAAGGATGAGCTCGAGCGTGTCGCCAAGTCCAACCGATAAGGGCGTGCGTTCTGTGTATGGGTGTGCATGGTGTCTCTGGGAGGAGTTCTTTCGAATGGCTGTTCTGGTCGCTTTTTGATCGGACAGAATGAGGGATCTTATGCATGGCATGGCTTTCCTAGGCGATTAAGACCTCTTTCATGGTTGCATGACAAAAATGGACAATACGATACCACGTTCAGATGAGCAGTTACTGCGTGCGAGGTGATGTTGACGGCCACCGACAGGAGAAAGGAGGCCGGACCCGCTGTTGGATGGCATCGTGTAGCTGTGAAATGCCACTTCATGTATAACACAATGGCGGAAGTCATGTAGATCTCCGGTGAAGTTCAGTTCATCCAAATTCATCTATGGGTATCTTGTCTCTGTACTTTCTATGTACATGTCTATGCTGTCGCCCGCCCTAGCACAGCCCTCTCTAATATGACTCCAAACTCTTCGAAGCCGACTTTAC